TAACTCAAATGAGGCAGCAGAAGGTGCAGTTTGATTGGTAAACTAGCTGACACTCTCAGGTCAGCGTCAGTGAATTAATGAAGTAGTATTTTTCTCTTATTATTATCTAAAAACGCAATTATATTGTATTTATTTAGCAGTGTCAAACATGACGGTCTATCCAGCCCCTTTACCTAAATAAAACCAGTTTATTTCCAGCTGCTCGAGCGTCCCTGCCTGGAACAAGCAGTAGCTTGTGAAAACTCACATACCCTCTAGCGGGCTGAAGGCGAACTACAGACACTGTCGACTTAAAGGGACAATAAGCAACTTTTCAATTTTCAAATCATTTTCTTAAACCAGTATGTGCTAAAATCACTCTTTACATTTATTGTTAATGAAAGGCCACCCAGCCCCTATCGCCCCCCTGTGGCCACAGTATCGTATTTGCAACTTCACAGTTGCTGGTCTGATCTGCTGGGACTTGGGGCTGCTGTGTGGCTTCAGGACGTTTTCTGCATGTTTTAGATCATGAACCCAGCTTATTTGTTTAAATTAGTGAATAATCACTCCTCTAGACACCAAGAAACGCTGTAAGACGTTTCGGCTGGTGGTAGATTAAGGTGTTAAATGACAACCGCACAGCGAGATTGTTTCGTTTCTACAAACGGACACTGAGGGGTGCTAAAAGCAAGAAAAACTGGTTAGTATCCCTTAAAAGGGACTTTTCTCTTACTAAATTAAATTAGTTAGAAATTAAAAGTTTACAACATTTATTCAAAAAAGAGAAAGAGAGAGAGAGAGAGAGAGAGAGAGAGAGAGAGAGAGAGAGAGAGAGAGAGAGAGAGAGAGAGAGAGAGAGAGACCATTTAAGAGAACTAATTCCTAAATCTTGTCACTGACTCTGTATAACTTAGTGATGTGACTTTCACGAATGAATCAAATCTTTTGAACGGGGTTTCAAAGTGAATGATAAGAGCCGAGTCCCTGCAGAGAGCCGTTCATCTTAACAAACCTCCCCGGAAGTCGGTCAAACTCACCTCAGATTTCTGGTTCCTCAGCATCCAGCACATATGTTTCATGTTTATATATTTGGCAGACACTTTATTCAAAGCAACTTACAATTTTCAACCTAAAGGTGATGTTGTGATTTACCAAATAAATAAATATAAACATATAATTTAAAAATATATATTTGTGGAAGGTGAAAACTTTCATTTGTAACACCAAATTGAATACTGTGGGGTGCAAATACAATTTTGACTGTAAATGAAACCATGTTTGCTCATTAGGCTTTGTGAATCATTTGGGAAGGTGAATTAACACATGCCTACACGTGCTACTTAATTCTATATGTATCGTACTTTCTCCTGTCAGTATTTCTGATTGGGTAAGGTCATAAAATGATAACAATTATTTTTGACATTTCAGGAAGCCCTACATTCGCAGGGCATCAAAAAATTGAGGTAAACTCTTGTTGTTCCTCTCCACGGAAATCTTTAGTAAAAGGCGAAAGATTTATACGATCTGAAGAGAAACAAGAGTGATCTGATTGGTAGCTGTAAACCAGACTTATTATACCAAAGGTAATACAGTTACGGTGACGGGTCGTCTGACTTATTCGTAACAAATACTTTATAAAGTCAAAGAACACATTGTACACTAATATAAATGCGGTAAAATGAAATTTACAAATGTAATATCGAATTTTTACGTTTCTTTAACATAAACGTGTTAACCTACGCCGCAATGCATGACGGGAGATTTCTTCTTCCGCATCCGCAAGACACGCCTCTTAAACACGTCTAAGCAATAATAACAGCAGCAATAATTTCTCCAACATTTTATACAATAACGAACCACATGCTCGACTTAATTTGAGATAAAAACATTTTTTATTTACTATTTTAAAACATTATTCTGCTGTAGTCGTAACTCAAATGAGGCAGCAGAAGGTGCTGTTTATTGGTAAACTAGCTGACACTCTCAGGTCAGCGTCAGTGAATTAATGAAGTAGTTTTTTTCTCTTATTTTTATCTAAAAACGCAAATATTTTGTATTTATGTAGCAGTGTCAAACATGACGGTCTATCCAGCCCCTTTACCTAAATAAAACCAGTTTATTTCCAGCTGCTCGTCCCTGCCTGGAACAAGCAGTAGCTTGTGAAAACTCACATACCCTCTAGCGGGCTGAAGACGAACTACAGCCACTGTCGACTTAAAGGGACAATAAGCAACTTTTCAATTTTCAAATCATTTTCTTAAACCAGTATGTGCTAAAATCACTCTTTACATTGCTAATGAAAGGCCACCCAGCCCCTATCGCCCCCTGTGGCCACAGTATCGTATTTGCAACTTCACAGTTGCTGGTCTGATCTGCTGGGACTTGGGGCTGCTGTTTGGCTTCAGGACGTTTTCTGCATGTTTTAGATCATGAACCCAGCTTATTTGTTTAAATTAGTGAATAATCACTCCTCTAGACACTAAGAAACGCTGTAAGACGTTTCGGCTGGTGGTAGATTAAGGTGTTAAATGACAACCGCACAGCGAGATTGTTTCGTTTCTACAAACGGACACTGAGGGGTGCTAAAAGCAAGCAAAACTGGTTAGCATCCCTTAAAAGGGACTTTTCTCTTACTAAATTAAATTAGTTAGAAATTAAAATTCAACAGCTGTGCTTAATAGCAAAAATAAATAGATAACAATTTTGACTACCTGTCCACTGTAGTGACCATTATGCATCAAAGGGTTAATTCTTACAAATAATTTAATATAAAAAGTGAGATTTATTAAATTAAAATGATTAAATAACTGAAATAATCACCTGATTACTTCTTGAGGACGCTTAGGTCCTTCAATGTCGGTAGCAAGATGCTGCACATCTTCTACAAGTCTGTTGTTGAGAGTGTAATCGCTTCAGCCATCGTCTACTGGGGTAGCAGCATCAGAAGCAGGGACCCGAAAAGGCTAAACAGCCTAATAAAAAAGGTTGGTTCTGTCCTGGGGCAGGCTGTGGAACAACGGAGGAGATAATGCAAAGAAGGATTCTCCAGAGAATCAAGAAAATTCTGGACACCCCTGTGCATTCTCTTCACAAGACTGTCCGACAACTGAAGTTTCTTCAGTCAGAGGCTTCTTCAGTTTCGCTGCAACACTGACCGCTACTGGAGATACTTCCTGCCAACAGCCATTGTAATATACCATAACTCTTTGATGACTTGATTATTATTATTATTATTATTATTATTATTATTATTATTATTATTCTGAGCTACTACAGCAATCAATTTCCCTCTGGGATTAATAAAGTATTTTTGAAATGAATTGATTAATTGAACTATTATTTTTCTCTGAACAGACAAATCCTTATAGATGTTGGCCTGGACTTCCTTCCCATAAACAAACCACACGGTCCAAAACAAAAGCAACATTTGTACTTTTAATAGTCCCGACAAAAGACAGATATCCATTTAACCACCTAACAACCTTATGAACAAAAAAATGACACATTACTCTCTATGTTCAAATGACCCATTCTTCTTTTTGTAAACATATTTTCTTTTTATAATATTGGAAAAAATAACAGCCACAATTTATCACTGTGATTGACGTATTTTGTGGTGAACAGACAAATCACAAAAGGTGCATTCATCACATCATTTATAAAAATCCCTTATTTTACTTGTAACACCCCTGAGCGCATAATATAAAATACTTCTTTACTAGAACAGATTCATTAAATTATAGTGCAAGGTGTTGAAATATCAGCAAACCACTAACTGTGAAATCCAGTAAATTACCCTTACATAACAAAAGCATGCACACCAACTGCACCCATAATTATAATTACACAGGAGTAGGTTATTACACGTTAGAGTTACCAACAGCTAAAATAAAATACACATCTATGCAAGTTACTGGGAAAAACCAGCTCAAAGTATTAAGATATGTGCTTACTGAACTATTGTTTGTGAATTGTATATTGTTAAGCAGTGGTAAATTGTAAGATCATACTTAGTTTTTTTCCTAACACCTACATTTAAGTGCCTTTTATTTTGTACATATTAGTAACTCTAACACATAATCACCTACTCCCCTGAGCAATCATTTTGCACGCTTTTTCAAGTAATAGTAAGTAAGTAATGCTTATTTATTTAGCACTTTTTCCAGAAATAATCAAAGTGCTTCGCTAACAATAAAAATGGAGAACACAAAACCCACACACATAAAAACTGATTACAAAACAAAAACAATGTAAACACACACACACAGAAAACATAACAGCATGAAACAATGAATCACAAAATTGAAATGTATTTAAAAGCCTGAGTAAACAAATGCGTTCCAGCTGCTTTGTAGAAGACTTCACTGAAGTTAAAGAGCACAAGGCCAGGAGTAAAGCATCCTACAGTGTGGAGACCACTGCCTACAGTTCGGATCAAAGGAACTAATCAGATTTTACAGGGTGAAACAAATTATTACATCAAAAGCTTTTGATAACATGAGAAGCATTCTTTCATGCTTCCAACCATGTGTGACAAGGTGAGCATCCTGTCACTGTATCCCAACTGATCATACACCTTGGCTTCTTGGCCACAGGGATGACCCTTTGGCTGACTGGTTAGTCTGGGGATTGAATCCTGCCCGGGCCATGTTTCTCCACCTTGCCACAAATGTAAGAAGTTAAACTAAATTACTGAAATACTTTAATTGTAAATGCATTAGACCATTAACCAAACAGCAGAGAAAGAGTTTCCTTCTCGCTACAGCTGCTTAAGGTGACTGAGCAGCATCCCTAACAGACATCAGTCTACTGCACTTGAAATGCTTTACCTGAACGTTGACAGTGCTACTCTCTTGAACATCTTATGTCACTAACTTCAAATGTTTTGCTTTTGTGTGTTGGTTATTTTACATTTTGTGTTTTAGATTGATTGATTGTCCCTTGCCCCAAGCACCAAAATAAATTCCTCATGTGTGTAAAAAAACCTGACCTGTAAATTTACCTCATTCGGATTCTGATTAAAAACAAATTGTAGATAGTAATTTTGCAACTATACAAAGAAAATCTGTTGGATCACATTTTATTTTGTGTCCATTGATGGGGCTACAGGTGTCATAAAATAGAGAACTTTTCACTAACTGGAATGTTTTTGTAGTTAAGCGACTCCTGCTGAGAAATAAGAAAAAAGTTTTAAATAAAGTAAATTTAAAATAAACGACACAATGACTGTTCCCAGTAGCTTTCACAATGGGATCTGTGTCCAAAACTTTCACTTTCAAATCTGATCATTTACTCAATATAAAAATAAAGCCTTGACAAAACCTACTCAAAAGCTCAACATGGAGAAGAATATGCAGGTTTACATAGATTTTTCTTTTTTATACTGTAAACATTTGACATCCTGCATTCTTTGGTTATTTTGTCCTTTTTTATGATCCAGTTCTCATAAAAAGCTTCAGTATTTTTCTGACATGGAGGCTTGTCCACAGATTCTTCTCTAGAATGTAGTCATGGTTGGCATAAAAAATGACATTGGTTTTCTGGTGCCTTTCAACGTAGTAGTTAGAATATTTCCTGTAGTCTTCTGTCATGAACCCATATGCGCTCACCTGAGGAGGAAAGCACTCGACGTCAAGCAGTTTATACATACAATAATTACTGGAGTGGTTTCATGACTGTCTGTCTCTGACAGCGTTCAATAACAATTTGTTAATCTCGTGCTACCACTAGTTCATCTGTTGAATTACTTATAGATTAAATCAGATAAAGACAATAACATTTATTTTCTAAAGAAATTGAATCTGTACTAAGAAATCATAGAAACACCACTTGGTATATGTGTTGTGTGTGTGCGGCTATACATGTAAACTGAACTGAAGTGAATTAAAGCTGGGGTTCCATTAGGAACTACACAAAAATAGCTACAATTAACTCATTCACTGCCAATGACGACCAAAGTCGTCATTTGTAATTTTTTTTACTGTTTGAGCATCGGAACGAGCCCCCGCACTGAGAGAACAAACATCTCAGCCCTGAAGCCGATCATCATCCGCATACGTCACATGTCACATGATCAGGAAGCAGACCATCCATGTATTAGGAGATCGTTTTGGGCCGTTCCTGTAAAAAAAAGTGAGGCGCGAACTGGAAAAGCGTCTGCCGATCACAATTCAACAACGGATTATGAAAGAACGGATAACGCTCGAAACACGCGGCTTCTTCCTGATGTAAGAGGTGAGTCTCCGCTTTGTTTTGGTTGTTTTGGCATCGACATCATGCTAGCGCACAAAGTTCTGTGACTTAAAAAAACTGTAAAAACGGTGAGAAACGCTGGCAGCGAAGGCCGTTAGCGATCAGGAAACGGCTGGCAGTGAATGAGTTAATTTTGGGTCATCATCACATTCTATATCACTTTTATGCAGATGATACTGCGGATACGTCAAGGACAACATAAAGGTAGGTTTCATTCATATCTCAACACTGAGTCCTTCTCCTCTGTGTTGGTCATTAAAAGCAGTCTCATCTCATTTACGCCTTGCCCATGCAGGCTTGTATGTACACCTGGGTGTGAGTTTAGCCTCTTTGTGACGCCCCCACACACGACCCCCGAACACTCAGATGGTCTGTTACACATCTAAGTTTCTGGTTCTGATCAAGCGGCCTGAGCAACTAAACATGGGTGGTGTGTGGTTGGGGAGGTTAGTTTTGGCACTGTACTGGCACGGGCACATCCATGTGGGTTGAAATGGGGTCTGACCAAATGGCAGATGGAGGCCGCCCTCTACGTGGGGCCTGTGCTGCCAACTGTTTCGTCTCCCAGGACATGTGCAGCTTTCAGCCTGTCAATGGAAACTGAATCCCTATGCCCCTCCAGATCTAGGATGAAATGCTTGGGGCCAGATGCATCAGATGTAGCTGTGGGCACTGTGCTGGAACAGCACGTGGCAACCGCTCACCATTTTCAGTCGCTTATGTTCATGTTTATGTATTTAGCAGACGCTTTTGTCCAAAGCGACTTACAAGTGGTAATCGGCATGTTGCCCTTGAGGCTAACAACAACAATAACAACAACTTGACATCAATCATGGAGAGAAGGGAACAAAGGAGTGGACGGTAGATGGGGGGACGGGTGCAGGGAGGGTGCTAGTTTAGCTTGTTACGGAATAACAAGCAGCCAGCGTGGTAATCCTTCTGTTGCAGTGAAGCAGAGTTTGTGAGAACGGCTTGCACCTGAGCCGGGAGCTGACGGAGGAAAAAGAGGCTAAAGAGGAATTCTCCGTTGTCGGAACCAAGTAGGAAGAGCATCCTCTCCATAAGCTCCAAGGCGGTGCCATCTCCGAGTCCGGCAGGAGAGAGCAGCTTCTCCGCTCGTTCCGCATCAGAGAGGGTGCAGCATTGAACCAGCAGTTGTTTGAGGGCATTAAACTTCTCCCGGGCTGGAGGGTTCCAGAGCAGGTACATCACCCGGGTAGAAAGTGGATCCAGTGCAGCGTCCACATGGTGGTATTTCGTGTCGTCATAAGAAATGCCGCGCAGTGCAAACTGCTCTTCGATGTGAAAAAATTGTGCTGAAGGGTCATGGAGCCAAAAATCTGGAAGCTTAACAGCCACAGCAGACAAGAACCGTGGAGCCAGCTGTGGTCCAGCAGTAGGTAGTGGTGCTGGAACTTGGGCCGCTTCGTCGGTAAACATGTTTGCTCACAGGGTCACCAATGTGGAGGAGTAAAGGACGACACAAAGGTAGGTTTCATTCACATCTTTAGTATCTCAACACTGAGTCCTTTTCCTCTGTGTTGGTCATTAAAAGCAGTCTCAACACATTTATGTTTATGTACTTAGCAGACGCTTTTGTCCAAAGCGACTTACAAGTGATAATCGGCATGTTGCCCTTGAGGCTAACAACAACAACAATAACAACAACTTGACAACAATCATGGAGAGTAGGGAACAAGGAGTGGACAGTAGAGAGGGGTGACGGGTGCAGGGAGGGGTGCTAGTTAAGAAGATGCTCTCTGAAGAGCAGGGTCTTCAGGAGTTTCTTGAAAATTGAAAAGGAAGCCCCTGTTCTGGTAGTGCTTGGAAGGTCATTCCACATTTGTGGCACGATGCATGAGAAGAGTCTGGAATGTCCTGAGCGTGGTGTAGGCACTGCTAGCCGACGATCCTGTGATGACCGGAGCGGCCGGGCCGAGACGCAAGCCTTTGCAAGAGGATTCAGGTAGATGGGAGCCATACCATCTCAAACTTTGTAAGCTATTGTTAGCAATTTGAATTTGATGCGTGCTGCTAGCAGTAGCCAGTGGAGCTCAATGAATTGAGGGGTGACGTGTGCTCTTTTTGGCTGATTGAAGACCAGACGCGCCGCTGCGTTCTGGACCATTTGAAGAGGTCTCACAGTACAGCCTGGACGACCAGTTAGAAGGACATTGCAGTAATCGAGGCAGGAGATGACAGTAGATTGCACCAGGAGCTGGGTGGCATGTTGTGTTAGTTATGGTCTGATCTTTTGTATGTTATACAGCGCAAAGCTGCATGAACGAGCAACAGATGCAACATGATCTTTAAAGCTCAGGTGTTCATCAATCACAACAACCAGATTTCGAACTGCCTTTGAAGGAGCCAGAGATAGGAAGTCATTTTGAATTGAGATATTGTGCTGTATGGATGGTTTTGCTGGGATGACAGGTAGTTCAGTTTTAGAGAGGTGAGTTGGAGATGGTGGGATTTCATCCATGTTGATATGTCAGAGAGACAGTTTGATATTCGTGCAGAGACAGTGTGGTCGTCCGGTGGAAATGACAGATAGAGCTGGGTGTCGTCTGCATAGCAGACAAGCCTGCTTGGGCCTGCTTGGGCAAGGTGTCAACTATATTTACATACACACAGAAACAGTAAGCGTCCTGCCTGGCTGGCCAGGAGACGCCTTGGGATTCCCCCGAAGTTGGCCAAAGGCTGGGTAGAGGGAAGTCTGGGCCTCAGCTCTACTGCCCTGACCAGACTTCAACCCGACTCCAAATAAGCAATGGAAAATTGATGATAATTCCAACTCAGAATTGATGCTTAATGTTGATAGTCATAAAATATGATTCCACCCTTAGATGGTTGTTGTAAAGGAAACTACTTGGATGATAAAACTGGACTTAATATACAGCAGCTGCTAAACGAAACTACCTGTCCGTCCTGAAAAGGACTGAAGAGGATATTACCAGAAACACCTGCAGGCTTCAACTCTAATTAGAATTTCAGTGGATAAGATGAACATGTTACCTAGAATAAACATTTTAACTTCCATGATTCTACTTCCCCCTCCGGTGGGCTACTGGTGTACAATACTATGTATCAGCTTCCTTGAAAAATATTTTAAATTCTTTCTGTTTCTGCAGCTCTAGTCAGAGATATGGGCTTCAGTGTGCCAGTTTTTGCAACAGCAATTTTAACTTGTCACAGTACAACAGTGATACAGTTTATTTGTTCTCAACGAGCATGTCACTGGTTTGACTGGAACAGGCAATAAAATCTGTCACAGACCAGCTGTCATTTAAAATGTACATAAAATCAGTATCTTCTCGCCCATTGAGAGAAAATCCAAATAAAAATAATCTATGTTGCTTATTATCTTGGTTAAATATCAAGTAATTACTATACTGTTAGTTGCAATTAACTAGACCAATTAAAATTTGCATTTTTTTAAAATTCAACATTACAAACACATTTTTTATTTGTAGGACAAACACAAAAACTATGCAGTTCAAAAATACAACAGCAAAAGTCACCACTGGCATAAACCAATAATTATTAAGTAAACAGGTGAAGGAAGTGCGGTTTCACATTTCAGAGCACTATAAAATAGTAAAATATGCAACAAGGATGCAAGACCAAAGCAGATTTACCGTGTCGCACGAGTGTAGAGCCAAGAAGACAGCAAACGCTCCATTAGTCGGTCGGACAATATCCCAGAATCCTTTATTCAGGTTATCTGATTTTAAGAACCTGCAGGAGAATAAAAGGAGTCAAAACAAAAAAAATCTACCTGGAATTTAATATCTCACTGTAAACTGATATGTTTTACAGATTAACTCTTTTTGTAATTTGATTTTATTGGTTTTAAAATGTGAATGCCTCTAATTTAATGACAGCTCCTAAAAGATTAAGTGGTTGCAGTTATTTACTTCATCAGAGGGTCACTTCCTGTAATTCATTCTACCATACCATACCATACCATACCATACCATACCATACCATACCATACCATGCCATGCCACAACATACCACACCACTTTTGGTGTGTTCTTGCTGTGTTTAGTTTCAAATTCCATCTTTCAGTTCTTTTTAAAACACAGAAAAGGTTTATTTACCTGCAACGTTTCATTTGCGGCTGCAAACATCATCAGGCTGATGCAGATGGTGGCGTCACTTCCTTTGTTTATCCGCGGGCAGCAGAGGACGTTGTCGCCCTCTGCTGCCCGCTCTCCCCTCTCCGATGATGCAGTCCCATGCGCGATCCAACGAGTAAACTCCATCGTCTCTGTTCATGGTCTCACATCCACGTCTCCTTATCTCGATGGCTTCTTTTATCCATCTTTTGCATTTCTGTTGTTCGGTGTTTATGATCCTTGTGTTGTCCCAGTCCATTATATGGTTTTCTCTTGTGCAGTGATCTGTTGCAACTGACTTCTTTATTGTGCTTTCTGCTTCTTCTTTTGCTGCTCTTGTGTGTTTACGACTTGCCTCTTTCTCGCACTCCTTTCTATGTTGTTCGTGTGTTTAGTTGGCGTCCGGTTTCTCCTATGTGTTTTATTGCAAAGTTTGCATGGGATTTCGTAAATGACTCCACATTTAAGTCCAGCTGGTATCTTTTCTTTTGGGTGTACTAGTCTGTTTCTAACTGTTGTGTATGGTTTTGTTGGTGTGTTTATGTTGTGGTTTTTCATTGTTGCTTTTATTTTTTCTGGTATGTCTTTGATGCATAGTAAGGTTATCACTGGTTTTGGTTCTTGTCTTTCTGGGTTTCTGGTTCTTTGATTCGGTTGCTTTTTTCTTTCTGTTGTTGTTTGTTGTTTTCCTTTGTTCATTGCCCATGTCGGGTATCCTCAGGTCTATAAAGCATGTTGTATGTGTTTGTCCTCTTGTTTACGGTCTCTTTCATCTGTTACCATGTTTGCTCTGTGATATAATGTTCTGATTACTGACATTTTGTGTATGGTAGGGTGTTCTGATGTCCATAATAGATATTGGTTTGTGTGTATTGGTTTCCTGTATGTGTTTATGTTTAGGGTCCTGTCGGTCTGCCTGGTTATTTTCATGTCCATAAATGCTATGCTGCCTTCTGTTTCTGTCTCATATGTGAACTTTATGTTGCCTGTGTCGTCAATGTTATTCCAGTGTTGTGTTAGTGTTTCTGTTTGTCCTTTAGGTATGATTTCCAGTATGTCATCTACGTAGCGTTTCCATAATTTTATTTTGCAGTTTGGGGAAGCAGTGGCTATGGCTTTTTGTTCTAGGTCTTCCATGAAAAACTCGCACAGGGTGGCTGATAACAGGTTACCCATGGCGAAGCCTTCCAGTTGTTTGTATATTGTGTTATCATATGTGAAGTAAGTGGAGTTAGCTACCAGTCCTATCAGTTGTGCTATGTCATCTGCTGTGAGGTTTGTTCTTTCGTGTAAAGTTTTGTCCTGTCTGATTCTGTTAACTACTATGTCTATGGTTTTTTTTGGGTTGGTGTTTTTGTGAACAGGGATGTGACGTCATGTGAGATGAGTATGTCGTTATCTTCTATTGTAATCTCCTTTAGTTCTTTTGCCAGTTCTATATTATTTTTGCAGTGTTGATCTGTGTTACCTAATAACGGGCTGATGATTTTGCTGATTTCTCTTGCCATGTTGTATGATGGTGTACCTATGCTGTCAACTATTGGTCTAAGTGGGGTGTTTTGTTTGTGTATCCAACACTCTTTAAAGACCTGCAGATACCCGACATGGGCAATAAACAAAGGAAAGCAACAAACAACAACAGAAAGAAAAGATCAACCAAAGCAAAGAACCAGAAACCCAGAAAGACAAGAACCAAAACCAAAACCAGTGATAACCTTACCATACATAACAGAAAAAATAAGAGCAACAACGAAAAAACACAACATAAGCACACCAACAAAACCATACACAACAGTTAGAAACAGACTAGTACACCCAAGAGATAAGATACCAGCTGGACTGAAATGTCGAGTCATTTACGAAATCCCATGCAAACTCTGCAATAAAACATACATAGGAGAAACCGGACGCCAACTCAACACACGAACAATAGAACATAGAAAGGAGTGCGAGAAAGAGGCCAGTCAAAAACACACAAGAGCAGCAAAAGAAGAAGCAGAAAGCACAATAAAGAAGTCAGTTGTAACAGATCACTGCTCAAGAGAAAACCATATAATGGACTGGGACAACACAAGGATCATAAACACCGAACAACAGAAATACAAAAGATGGATAAAAGAAGCTATCGAGATAAGGAGACATGGATGTGAGACCATGAACAGAGACAATGGAGTTTACTTGTTGGATCGCGCATGGGACTGCATCATCGGAGAGGGGAGAGCGGGCAGCAGAGGGCGACAAAGTCCTCTGCTGCCCGCGGATAAACATAGGAAGTGACGCCACCATTGGCGTCAGCCTGATGATGTTTGCAGCTGCAAACGAAACGTTGCAGGTAAATAAACCTTTTCTGTGTTTTAAAAAGAACTGAAAGATGGAATTTCATACCACACTATACCATACCATACCATACCATGCCATGCCATGCCATGCCATGCCAGTTTATTTCTATAGCACATTTAAAATAAAGCACAGGAGCTGCCCAACGTGCTGCACAGGCAGCATCAATTGAAACTGAATAAAGGCAAAAACAACAAGGATTAAAAAATACTGAACAATAATAACAGATAAAAACAATATGAACAACAAGAAACACAACAAAACAATAAAACGATTAAATGAGTCACTGTCTAAAAGCCAAGTTGTAAAAGTAGGTATTTAAACAAGATCTAAAAACTGCCAAAGCTGCCCAACGGAAAGAGCTTTTATAATTTTTGTAATGTCAGAAACACATAAGTAAATATTTTGCTTTGAGTGTGTAATGAATGGCCTTGCCCTGTCTTATTTGTCTGTCCTGATTACTCTATATGTTCCTGCATCCTTCTTGAGGTCTGCTGATCTTCTTTTACTTCAAATGCAATGAAATAGAATCAATGCCCCCACACTCCCCCCACCATCCCTTACTCACTACCAAAGACCTACTTCTATGTCCTGGCGTTTGGCCAATGATTCTCCCTTGCTTTGTTTAATTACTGTGTACTGGTTTATCTGTTTTATCATTTGTATTTGATGTTGGTTTTATTGTACAGCACTTTGGGCAACTGTGTTTTAGAAATAAATTGGCATGGCATGGCAATTACAAGAGAGTGCAAAATAGTTGGATTATGAAAAATGTGGAAAGGATTGGGTTTAAAGACTGACCTGTTCCGCACATATCTCATGAAGTCCTGGTGCAGAACATAGTAGCGGCTCTCGTTGTACTGGCCAGAGTAATAATTTCTAGGACTGGATTAGAATCATAAAAGACACTGATGAGAATCAGAAAAACAATCTGCTCACAGTGCCAGCTTCCTTTCAAAGTTATTTGTTCAGTGGTTTGATAACTGAATCCTGTAAAACCAGTTAAAGGTTAGTTCAGGACAACATCTTTTTAAAGTACATCAGTGCACAAGTCGACACGCACACAGACAGGTTTTAATTGTAACAGCCAGTAAATTCTCACACTGATAATCACACAGTTGGAAATGTATATATATATATATATATATATATATATATATATATATATATATATATATATATATGCAATCATACACAGGCATTAAAAGGGGACATTTATTACTAATTTAATCATAAAAGGCCACAATCCCGTCCAATCAATTCAGAGCCGCTTTGCAATAATCAAACTGATGTCACCTGACCTGTAGCTAAATTGCTAGACTTTCATGTGTTTCATGTTGCAGCTTTGGAGAAAAAAAGAGTCTGTGAGCGGAACTTACAAGCATGGATTGCAAAAAGGTGCAGACTATGACATGTAATTATGACACAACCATTAAAAAAGTCAATTAGAAGATATATTCCCTATTTGTGTTTGACTTATTTTAAATAATCTTGTGCTCATTTGCTTACACAAGCATGAATCAAGCAATAATTGAAACACTTATAATCAGATTTTAAATAATTACAATGAAATTATTCTGCCAATGAAGCTGCAAATGTTTACACAAAGCTGTCATGAGATAAGATGCAGGATAAAACATGTTTTTATTTTCATACATTCTAAGTGATTCTGATGTGTTAGGCTGATAGTTACTTTGTATTTTGATAGTTTCCTTCTTTAAAAAGAGCCTTGAGCCACTGGAAGTCCCTCATCCCCTCAGGAATCAGGACATACTTTATCCCCTGTGAATGGACAAACATATATTCATGCATACGTGCGAAATATAAGATATTACACTACTAGTGTAGCTTTAATACCTTGTCGTGTGGTGCAGATTGGTATCCGTACTTCTTGAGAATATAAAGTGATTGAGTGATTGAGAAGGAAGTGTGAACATAAACTGATGTTTTGTTCCCAACGTCTTCCTCATAACCTTTGATTGCTGCTCCATTCACCCTGTCACACAAACAAACCAGATACTTGCATTATATTTCATGTTATGGCCACCAGCCTGGCCCCTTCAGGTGGAGGAGCCAGGATCACCCAGCCCCGGTGATCAACCAGACACCGCCCCTCCTCCTCCTCTCTTCCAGGCTGCTGAGGAGCACAGCTGAGACGAATCCTTCTGATGACCAACACCTGGGATAAAAAAGCTGTTCCTTCAGCAGTCTGGGAGGCAGCAGTGCAGGGGTTCTGCTGTCCTCCAGGCCTCATTTTGTTTTAAACCCCTTTGTTTGTGATCAGTTTTAACTTCTTAAGTTTCAACTCTGAGTTGATGAGTTTTAAAAGGGTAAAACTGAGCGACCCAAAGGGATCTTTGGTTGATGTCAACTTGGTTGACTGTGTTTTAAGGTTAACTCTGTTTTGGTTTTTAGACTTTTATCAACTTTGTTGTGTTTTTAAAACACCTTCAGTTTAGGTAAAACTTTTAATAAAGTGTTAACCAGGTGTTCTATAGAGTTTATAAGTTGTCTTTTAACTGTTAACCTTATAGTGAATTTTTCATTTTGCATTATTTTAATAATGCTCGCCATCTGTTTGCACTTGTTTTTAGAACCTTTTATAACAATTGAACCCATTTTAAATCCACTGTCGCAATTCTCATGTTACCCCCCCCCCCCCCCTCACATTTTAACACCTCCTGTCGGAGAAGTAACATTTCAGCTTCCAACAAATAAGACAACCCTAACCCACGCTTGTGAAAATAACATGCAAACTCTTGCAGAAAGGCTGCAGCCAACAGTACTACAAACTGCACCATGCAGCTGCTTAAGATTAAATTGTCTTTGAATACGTCAGACAGGCTACACATGACTTTCTGAAAAAACAAGAAAACTGCAAAAACCTGTTCAGCTTCTAACAGAAATGCTATTGGTTTGTTTTCATTTACTTTAAAAGATCAATTCCAACATCCTGAAGTGGTTTAATAAAACAGGAAGGACTTTTAACTAATTTTATTTCTACAGCAGTTTTCAAAACAAAACTCATCTTAAAGCACTAAAGCAACAAGTCCAAATCAGGTCCAGGTTTAATCTAGTTGTTCAGCTCAGTTTAAATAAAATTCACTAGGTTATCAAATGTGTGCTATAGAATATAATACTTATAATAAATAAGCATATTTAACATGCACAGACATGTGAAATGCATCAGAATCGACAAGAAATAAAAATCCCAGTCATCTCTATCACCAACCAATTCTGTCTGTAAGCAAAACAAACAGCAATTCACACAAAATGTCGTATTAAAATGTGAGAAAAGCACAAGAAAGTTCAAAGTGAAATTACAAGTGGGAGTCTGAGTATGTGAGTGTGTGTGTAGGTAGGTAGGGATGACTGAAGGCAAATATTTAGGTTCAACCTGTTATCAACGACTGAAAGGCATCTCCACAAACATGTGCATGACTAAAGCCTGAGTCATGCTTCTGCGTCAGCTCCACAAGGGACAGACACGCACGGACTGATGGAAGCATTTTGCTCTCATACTTTCCTGTTTGCTGAAGGGGTGTTGCAAAGCAATTCTCCACCAGGACGACAGAGGGCATAGCGTAGATAGCAGTACAGTGACGTCTTACTATTTCCTTGGAAATCACTTTGCAGTCTGAAAAATGGCAAGCAACGCGAGAAAGAGAATTTTATCGAGTTGGGACTGTGTGATCTAGACGAAGAAATGCTTATCTTGCTGAAATACAGTGGGGCAAAAAAGTATTTAGCCAGCCACCGATTGTGCAATTTCTCCCACTTAAAATGATGACAGAGGTCAGTAATTTACTTCAAAGGTACACTTCAACTGTGAGAGACAGAATGTGAAAAAAAATATCCATGAATTCACATGGCAGGATTTTTAAAGAATTTATTTGTAAATAAGGGTGGAAAATAAGTAGGGGGGTTGAGGCGTTTTTTTGCATAGTAAAGCTACGCCCTGCCGGGAGTAACTCTGGTATGCCCTTTTTTTCCCTCCCCCAATCTATCCTCATGTAATTCCCTTTTTCATCTATTAAGGTAGCGCGACTCATGTTGTGAAGGACCACAGTCACCAATTCTTGTTATGTGTCTTGCCCATGTATGTCTGATCTCTGAATTACGTGTCCTGAAGCTCAATTTCATTTCTCTGTATGTCTTGCACATGTGGTAGAAGTGACAATAAAACGACTTTGACTTTGACTTTAAAGTTAACAAATAAAATTGCAGGAAATAGTGCAATTAAGATAGAAATAAAAGAAGAAAGTAGTAGAGTGTAGAAAGTGGTCATTATGTCCTCCAGCAGCCTAAGCCTATAGAAGCATAACTACAGAGATAACTCTGGATAACCTTGCCTTTTAGATGGGGGCAGGGCAAGGGAGAGCCATCTTTATTGACTGTATTTTCCACTGTACCCTCCACCTCTCTTTACTCCCCCACTTGTCCAAATCTGGGCTAACATCAGATTTTAACCATAGGCCCTATCGAATAAAAATGTTTTAAGCCTAGTCCTAAAAGTATACGAGGTGTCTGCCTCATGGACTAAAGCTGGGAGCTGGTTATTTATTATAAGTCAAAATTCCATTAGGTAGGATGCTAATGATTTTGTTTCTAATAGAGTTAATTTTATTTGTGAAGAATCCCACAAAGTCATTTTTGCTGAAGGCTAAGGGAATAGATGGATCAGAGCTATGATTCTGTGTTTGGGAACTGTACTGAAAAGAAATTTAGGATTATTCTTATTCTCCTCAATTAGCAATAAAAAATATGCGGTTCTAGCTTGTCAAAGCTCTTTTTTATAAAGCACTAGGCAATTTTTCCAGGATAACCTCTTCTTTCCACCGGAGCTGTCAGCAGCACGTTACTGCAGCAGCACGTCATAGCTGCTGATAGGAACCGCTGTGGTCAACAGAACCTTTTCCACCGGAGCTGTCAGCAGCGTGAGTCGGCCGCATCTCAGGAGCAGCATGTCGCGGCCCTTACGCGCCGGTTCTATTTTCTACGCGCTATGCCTCTGAAACGGGTCAAGTTCGACATTTTTGGGGAAGGAAAGACAGGAAATCGGACGCGGAAACGGAGCGAAGCTTCCCGAGATTTTCAGAATAAAGAAACGTACTGCCTTCCGGTTGCTTTACTTTTAAAAAAGTTACTAACTGTGCGGCCCCGTGAGAAGTTATCACCTAGCTAGCGGTCTCCTTTGTTTTTCAGGTCCGTATTGGCGATTTTAAAATGGACAGAACATAAAACACAAACCTTTAGGAGCCATGTTGTAGTTTTCTCCTGCTTGTTGTTGTGTTTATAGACGAAGTCACTCGTGTGACTTTGTGCTCAGTCGGTGACAGCTGCTCCCCTGCTGCTTCGCGTCTCGTGGGAAGGGCCAAGCAGCAGCTTACGCAAGCAAGACGTGCTGCTGCAGTAACGTGCTGCTGACGGCTCCGGTGGAAAGAAGGGGTTAGTAGGACTCGTGTAGAGCACCATGTTCTCTCCAATTTTCTAGAGTTCAGTTTTAACGTACACAGTTCAGAATTAAACCAGGGAGCCAACTTCCTGTGCTTAATTACTTTCTTTTTCAAAGGAGCAACATTATCTAATGCCACACGTAAAGAAGAAGTACCATTATAAACTAGACCATCAGTTTGTGAAGGGTTAGAAATTAAAATATTGTCCTCTGCTACGTTCCTCTGAGATACTGAAGACAGTAAAGATGGAACAGTTAAGATGCAACAGCATTGTCAGATAGAGACAGACTATAGTGAAATTTACTTTCATGTCTAAAGAACTCAGTTATAATAAACTCAAAGGCTATCAAAAAGTGGTCCGAGAGGACTGGTTGTGTGGAAATATGGTTATTTCCTCACACTCTATGCCATAAGTCAGCACAAGGTCTAATGTATGATGGCAGGAGTGGGTGGAGCTATGTATTCTTTAAGTAAAACTAATAGAGTCTAAGATATTACTAAAAGCTACATTGAGGCTATCACTTTCAATGTCCACATGAATGTTAAAATCCCCCACTACAATGACCTTGTCAGATCTGATCCAAAAACTCAGAGTAAGGGCCTGGTGGACGATACAAAACTACAAACAAGAGTGGTTTTACAGTTTTGCAATCTGAATTAGGAAAACTAAGAATAAGATGTTCAAAAGAACTGTAACTATTAATTGGTAAGGGATTAAAATAGTTCTGAATGAAAAATTGTTGTTAATCTTCCTCCTTTCCCTGTACTTTGAGCAATATGATGCTTTAAAAAATCAGAGGGAGTCGACTCATTTGAACTAACAAAGTACTCTTGGTGCAGCCAGGATACTGTGAAATCACAAATCAAGTCGCACATTTAATTGTTCTAGTTTTCTGTTCATTTGAATTTGTTCTAATTTTATTAGATGTCCATGATTTGCTCTATTAAGCCTGTGTGATTTTGGCCGTGGGCAGGACACTGTCTCATTGGGGTAGTGGGTGGGTAACAGTACAGAAGCTACAGAGTGGTGTGTTAAACTACGACTTTTCTTCCTGGTCTGGACCCTGGACATGAAACCTTTACTGAGCCCATTGGTAAAAGAATAAAGAAACTTTATTTCTAACTAATGTCGTGACCAGATAGATAGTATCTGGTGCACATGCAATACCAACTTTTTTAAACCACTTCCTTTCATAGAAAACTTTCTAAAAGTATGATTGAAAATAATTAATGATGTTTAAAACTTGAGAAGGCTAGGCCAAGTCACCAGTGTTTACACATCCTACCCACGCCTCTGCTGCAAATAGTGTTTCCACATACAAACGCTGATAAAGAAAACAGAGGAAAGAACAAAATGTTCCTTGCTTGATGCAAGCGCTGTTTTAATTAGCTTCTACACAGTGGAATTTTCTTGCAGTATCAAGTACAATCCTTTGAGCTATTGAACTCATTGTTATAAAATATTTGTCTGCTACTCTTTCACTATTGCACGTACTGTGAAATAAGATTGCACTTAGACTTTTCAGCAATGCCAGGTGCAATCTGATGCAAAAAGGGTCAAATAAATTCTCACAGCGGCTCAACAAGATGAATGTGTTTGTATTGGAATTTGATTAATACTGCTTTGTGAATATAAATGAAACACGTGGACGTTGCCAACGAGGAAATGTTTGAAAAAAATAAAAATAAAAAACAGATGTTGAACATCTTTAGTGAGCCGGGGCCTCGATGAATGTGTGCATTTAAATAACTTCATGTCTTTTTTCCTTTTTTTCTCAAATTTGTCAAATAATTATTTTCAATTGTCAGAATTTAACACAAGCATGTCAAAGGGGAAAAAAAATCCCTACATTTTTGGTGTAATTGTTTTCAGTCAGTCATTGTATGTTATGAGGTTAGGAAAAGCAGGTCCTATTTTTCCTCCCTTCAGTAGTTACACAACTGTAAAAAAAAGTTGTCATTGCAAGGCACCCATTTGAGCATGAGTTTACGATTCCCTGTTTACCCAAGGAATAAGCTGTGTCAGACAACCACTAGAGCAACTACATTGTTTGAACACTGAAGTACAGCATCACAAATTCATCCATCCATCCATCCGTCTGTCCGTCCTTTGTCAGAACCCGCTTTGTTTGATGTCTAAATGTAATCAGGTGAAACAAGACATTTTTAAATAATAAGAAACAATTTTTCAAAAAGCACCCGTCAAGATAAAAATCACAAGATGCTTCACAAGAACAACAAAATGAAAAATGATTAAGAACATGCAGATAAAAGACAAAGAAAATGAATAAGAAAAGGTAATCATATGATCCAGAGAAAGGCAGAATGGAATGTTTTCATCTGACTTTGAGTCACGTCAACTACGTTAATTATACACCCGGAATTAATCACTCTCTGGAGAATGCTGAGTAATGTTCTGCTCACTCGTGACAATTACTTTCTGTAAAGATGTTTTGTAACTTCATTGCAAAACAAATCCAAATCAGAGTTTTTTTTTCTTACTATAAAACATAGGTCTACCAAATATTCACTTTCAAAATAAAAACTTTAAAGCCATACTTTACAACTTTGTCATATTTTTAAATAGTAGGGAGCCTAAGTCACTTCCGCATCATGGGTCCCCGGAAGAATGAAAAAAATTAATGCAAGTCAATAGGGCTAAAAACGCTTTTTAAGAATTCTGCTTGTTTTGTGCCATTGATTGACAGATGATGTCCATGAAATTTAAACACGCATTTTAATACCAAGAAGGTGCTTATTTTCGAACGGGGTGGGGGGGGGGGGGGGGGGGGGGGAGTACAAATGTGCTTCACGAAAGTGACGTCATCGAACCAGACATGGAGAAAACTGAGGGTAAAGGGCTGTAAGTTCAGCAAACTTCCTACAGGAGGAAAGAACCATCATAAATCTGGTCATTTGGTAGGTACCCGCTACTTTGGGGAGAGGAGATTATGTGGTGACGTCACATATGCGACGTGCCGATTTCTTGTTTGTAGTCATGCTAATTACGGACTTTTACAAGCTAATAGATCTTAAAGTACATGACTGGTGTGGTCGAAACACCCATCAATAGTTTTCATTTAAATTGCAGTACAACATGCAAAGCGGATTAAAAAATAACGTTTTTAGCCCTGTTGACTTGCATTCATTTTTTCGTTCTTCTGGGGACCCATGGTGCGGAAGTGAGTTAGGCTCCCTATTTCTTTCAGCCAATATGTGCTAAAATTACCCTTTGCAGAGTTAATGAAATGTCACTCAGACCCCGCCACCATCTATGGCCAGAATACCGCACTTTCAACTTCAGAGTGCCGGTCTGTTCCTTGTTGGACTCAGTAAAGTGGTCAGTATCATTCAGGCATCATTAGTACCCGAATGATGCTAAGAGCTATGTTGTCGGGGTGCATTGCATTTCCATGTAGGGGGTCCTCCATTACAAATTGCTCCTGGGTGGAGGGTAAAACAAGACGTGGTTTACAAGACCCTTTATGAGTGTACAAACAAAAACCAAGCTTCACCAAGTTAGCTTCTACCATAGACATGAATATGTAGACGCCCCATTGGGCGCTGGGGAGCGTAACAGCGTCATCACCATATTGGATGGGTCTCTTCATTCTCCAGAGTCAAAGCAGAGTGACCCACTGTGCCGTTTTTGTGCAGCCTACTGTTGCAACAACCAGCACACTATTAAAAATAGATCTTGTGCAATTACAGTAGACTTTTCTAGCCTACCTGATGGGATTTTATACTAAAATTTATTTTGTTTAATTGTATTAATATTTAAATATTGTGTCTGATTTTGTGGAAAAACTTGATAAAGTGTGTTTTTAGTTGGGTAAGCACTTTCTTAATGAATGCACTGCAGGCAAATGGAGACCCATGTACTGTAAATTGGCGGCCGCTGGCCGGCCACTATGGCAACTTCGATATGCAGCGCCAGTCCATGGGGCATCCACGTATATTTGTTTGTGGTCGAGACGTTTTCTGCTGTTTCCTGGATGCTAAACCAACAACAACCAGATCTGTCAGGCTTTTCAAATTCTAGAGTTTCACCATCTATTTTCTATCAGAAGCTGCAGGAGATAGATGTAGGAGACTATTTTCATGTTCAGCTTGCCTAAAAAACATGAGTGACCAATTATAATCAGAATGAGTGACCAATTCTGATCAGAAATAATAATTAAAAAACGTTTTTCAGTGATGCTGACCTTTATACAAACAGTGTATTTACAGTTGTCATGTTCAACATGTCAAAACTGGGATACATACTTGATCTTTTAAAATCCTTTTAGCTCTTTGTTTTATTTCCAAATGTAACCCAAGTAACTAATTCCCCCACTTTTTGATACTTACCGGAAAACATAGTCATGAGCATCAATCTCTGCTCCCATTTTTGAGCCATTGAGAATTCCTCCAGTTCCCACTACAGCACAGTGAACACAGCCGTCACCGCCCGGTTTAGGAAGAAGAAGTGGTTCTGTTGGCTTTGGAATCAGCTTCACTGCATCTAAAACATCTGTACACAAAAATAAAGAAGATTAATGTTCATACCTTTCAAGTGGCAGTAGAATACTGTTTTTAAACAGGGCTGTCAATTCTCATGCAATGTGTGTGAAACACATGAAGTTAACGACGGTATCTTGCCAAAAAAGGGAATTTATCTGAAATACACATTGCGTAGTGCTACAAGTTCAGTTTTAAATTGACCTTAAATGAGCGAGAAGGGGGAATTCACGAGCTCCAACAGGTTCCATTAATACAGGTAATGAGTGGAGGACATAGGAGCCTCTTACAGAAGGAGTTACATATCTGTGAGAGCCAGAAACATTGCTTGTTTGTAGGAAACCAAATACTTATTTTCACCATAATTTGCAAAATAATTTTTAACAAAGCAGACAATGTGGTTTTCTGGATTTTCTTTCATTTTGTCTCATAGTTGAGGCATACCTATGATGCAAATTACAGGCCTCTTCCATCTTTTTAAGTGGAAGAACCTGCAGAATTGGTCATCATCAGGTAAAAAATAAGTATGAAAAAGGTGTTAAAGGTGTGGAACGACGGTATCTTGCCAAAAAAGGGAATTTATCTGAAATACACATTGCGTAGTGCTACAAGTTCAGTTTTAAATTGACCTTAAATGAGCGAGAAGGGGGAATTCACGAGCTCCAACAGGTTCCATTAATACAGGTAATGAGTGGAGGACATAGGAGCCTCTTACAGAAGGAGTTACATATCTGTGAGAGCCAGAAACATTGCTTGTTTGTAGGAAACCAAATACTTATTTTCACCATAATTTGCAAAATAATTTTTAACAAAGCAGACAATGTGGTTTTCTGGATTTTCTTTCATTTTGTCTCATAGTTGAGGCATACCTATGATGCAAATTACAGGCCTCTTCCATCTTTTTAAGTGGAAGAACCTGCAGAATTGGTGGCTATTTTGTTGTCCCATGGTATCTGTCCCTCCATTATCTAATTTATTCGACTCTGTGGCTCAAAACAAGAATGAGGTGACCCTTCAACTAACTGATAAGAATCCCATAGATGAGCCTATCAACCATGTTAGTTTTGTACTTCAGCTCAGGTTATTTTCCTGCCAACACATTGGCATCCCAGAATCCTTGTTCAGCATCAAAGTGAATTTCTTTCATCTAAAGAAAATCACACACACAAAAATTCTGCATAGGTCAAGTGGATGCTTTGTTTAAAACTCTTAGATAAAGTTACCTTGCATCAGACAACAGTTTTCTAGAATATTTACACCAAGAACCCCATGTTTAATTTGTCTCCAACAGCAGCTGAATGACATCCTCCTTCCGATAATCTTGACTAAACCTCTGTGACGCCTTTAGGCCACAGATATTTATTAAGTTCATTATGGGAAAAGTTTGAATGATAAGGTAATAAATAGTACAAGTGAATTAATGATAAAAAGGTTAACATGTTTTAGGTTTTTAAAACAAATCAAAGTGAGATATCGCTGTTACAGACAATCATTGTTATACTGTCTGTGCGAAACACGCCAGAGTGCTCTCAACTCAGACCTATGACATATAGTTTCCGTTTTCTGTGCTGGACATTCGCTCCCTGTGTTTACATTTTACATTTAGGCAAAACAAAACAAAACAAAACAAAACAAAAAAACGGATGAAGAACGCTATGATTTAGCTTTATACGTTCGTGCCATGGAGCACATTTGTCTTTGTAAGTAGTGATTTGTTTAGGGAATGTTTGAATGTGTGTTAAAGCAGTTTAGTTGATAAAATTAAGCAGCATAAGCATACACATGCTAAGCTAATTGCTAAGTGTGGCACTAAGACATCTGTAATAGTCAGTAATGTATGTATGCTCTCTGATTCTGTATATTGTAGTTATGGTGATAAAACATTTACCTCCATTTAAGAAAAGCAAGCCTTCAGTAAAGATCCTTGTGTTTGTTTTAGTTGGCTGATTGCGGACTAGCCTTCTGGATGTCTCTGAGGGGAGGTGTTTCAGGCATGTCCTTCTGGCAGGGGAACCCTGGGTTATCCCAGGAGTCAGGACAAACTGGAGGGATTATATTTAAGCTGTCATAGAAATGCCTTAAGCCTAATTTATACTTCTCCATCTGCGTCAGTGCGGAGACACACAGCGCCATTATGCGTTGGTGCAAGAGCTATCTGATGGGCTCACAGAGGGTGATGGAGACATGCCCCAATTTTTAACTATATGTCCAAAGATGCAAAGATACGCTTCTAGCCAGCTGTAACATGTTTCTTGACAAACAAAAAAAACAATCTCAAATACTGACTGAGTTAGTTCAGGTGAAGTTGATGTAACTAAGCAGCTTTTGATCAAAATCTACAACATCACTTGAATAATTGTAAAGTTTAAGGTTTGAAGTTTTTCTAGATAGAGACTTAGCTCTACAATCATCTTGCATTTTAACTCTTTACTGAGAACTTGCCTACAAGTCTCCAAACTGAGATGTTTAATAACTGAATTGGCTTCACTGGAGGATTTGAATGATCAATACAGACTTTAAGGCAGAGAGGAAAATTATCTCTGCCTGACCCAAACAAAGTATTGTTATCCAATCTGACGCCATAAGCAGCCTTGGAGTTGTGTGCAAAAAACCCCACAATGGAAGGAATGCTGTGCTTTCCCGTGACCTCCCTCCCACCTGTGGATTCAGTTGGCCGAGCGCCACACAGGCTGCTCCCGCTGAGGAAACCAGGGTCCCAGCCCCTCCCCCCCTACCTATCGGGTCTCATGTTGTGAACTGTGACGTTTGTGCTTGTATGTTGGGTGTTTTTTTGCATAGTAGAGCTACACCCTGCCGGTGTAGCTCTGTTAATGCCTTTTTCTCCCTCCCCGAACTCTCCTCATGTAATCCCCTCTTCATCTACTGAAATGAGCGCCGTTACGGCTGCTCTCGCGGTCTGCCTGTATCTGTCCTGTCTATATGTGTGTGTGTAATCTTGGTCAGGCTGTACTGTGGAGTCAAGTTCCTATGCTCTGGATCGCTTGAGCGCTGGCAATAAAATTCATTCTGATTCTGATTCTGATTCAGATTCTGAACTGAGAACTCTTTGATCATCATCAGGTAAAAAATAAGTATGAAAAAGGTGTTAAAGGTGTGGAACACTCGTTTTATCAGCACATATGTGGGAAATGAATGCATTGCAACTCGTACTCTGTGAACAAAAGCCCTTGTGCATCCGTTTCAGGAATTAGGAGACTGTCAGATCAAACGAGAGCTTCAGAAAACAGGCATTTGAGTCTTATTTTGTGACATTTGGACATCTCCTGGAGCCTGGAGCTGAATGTACAGAAGAAAGTGGAGATGATTGTGGGCTTCTGGAGAGTTTCAGCTCTACTGGCCCTTATAAACATCATGGACATCCCCATCTCAACTGTGGAATCCTTCCGTTTGCTCAAGACCACCAAATGGGAGAAATCAATTAGCTCCCTCATCAAGAAGGCCCAGCAGAGGATGTTCTTCCTCCATCAGCTAACAAAACTCAGAATGCCAACCATGATGATGGTCCAATTCTATATGACCGTCTTAAGGTCCATCCTAACTACTGCTGTCACTGTGTGGTATGCAGGGGTTACTGCGAGAGACAAACATTAGTGAGCTCAGTGGAAAAGATGATCGCTTGCAGCCTCCCATTGATCCAAGTTGTGCACCTCCAGGGCTGTGAGGCATGCTGATCGCATCGCAGCTGACCCCTCTCATCCTGGTCATGGGCTGTTTAATACACTACCCTCAGGGAGGAGGTTCAGGTCCTTATAGACAAGAACCTCACACCACTAAATCAGCCCATCTGCTGTAAGACTCCTGAACATCCAATAATGGTCACAATCACACAAAGCTGCACCATTCATCTATGTTTCTATGATTCTGATGTTTTTCTTGCTATGTATACTAATTTTTTTAATTGCCTGAGGTGTATGTTTGCACCATGCCATTGATGTTGATGTTTTATCTCCACAAGTAACACAAGCCTGAAAGAGTTCTGCTGTGTGGTGAAGTTGCTAACTTTAACAGTTAGCCTCAACTAGTCGAGACATTCTCCGCTATTTCCTGGACATGAAACCAACAACAGCCTTCCCTGTCGTGAGTCATGTTAAGTAACAGCGTGACATAGATCTGCCAGGATTTTCAGATCCTCGAGTTCCACCGTCTATTTTCTATCAGAAGCTAATGCAGGAGAAAGGTGTAGCAGACTATTTTCATGTTCAGCCTGCGTGAAAACTCAAAGTGACTGATTATAATCAGAGATAATCATATAAAACATGATTTTTCAGTGTTCCACCCCTTTAAAGCAAATACCTACCATCATATTTCATTTCCATAAAACCAAATGGATTGTTAAAATGTGAAAGCCGGTTCCAGTCTTTAATGTTGAAGTTGTCTTTGTGCATAAACACACGGATGTTTGGTAGAAAAGCCTTTTGGAAGTCCTCATCCTTGGAGTTACGCAGAGACTGTGGACATGTCTGAGTGAGAAAATAAAGGAAAGTCAAACGTTGATATTTTGACACAGAGAGGCAAAAGCACGGTGAGTAAAATGTCTAATAAGAAAACAGAAAAGCAAACACAGACAAAAACAAAGCACGCCAAAGACACACACGTGAAGATCTTAACCAAACTTCTAACACTCACTCTTGTTTTAAAAAAAGAAACTCACTGTCAGGCTTGGTGGAGCATCCTGGTGATAAATATCCTCAAAATCCCACTGAGGAATCTTATGGAAGTTCTTCTTGAATAGAAGGGAAATGGGATTCTCAGCTGGGGTGGTTTGAGGCCTTATCACTGAGTTTCCTTTTATATTGTTGGATGGAATCAACACTTTTGTTTTCCCCCACAATTTACCAATATTTAACAAATGGCCATCTCGAGACCTATTGTATCCTGAGAAGGCAGTCCAGCTGTATTTAAAATGAGACAAAATAATTTTTTTCTTATAAGAATACCTCTACAAGTTTTGCTTATAAGAACAAAGCATTTTATCCTCTTGAACAAAAATATTCATTTAAAAATCTTACCTTATATTTTCTGGTAAACTTTCCTCTGATATAATAAAAAAAATGATGCTCAATAAAATCACCAGTAGCAACAACAGAAGTCTGACTTTATGGTTTGCCATTTCCGGACGGTCCTTTCAGGTCACACAAAGTCACAAATATGTAGATGTTACAACGAAAGTGATGTCATCTTATGAAGCAATCTTCGACTGGAACAAGTCATGAATCACACCTTGAAGAAAAGTCAAACTGGTTCTGGCAGATGAGATAGAAAGGCATTTGTTTAAAGATTAAGAAACTAGAACGTACACGGATGGGACTGGGCAGGGCTTCGGTATTATTTACCAAAGACTAAACCTTTGCTCCTTCTCAGGCTGGATTAAACAATAACCTGCAAGTGATGGAAGTGCACATCTTCATTGTATTTATGTGCTAAATTTAAGAGAGTGATAAGATATAGAAGACAATGTTGTATTTGTCCCAATTATTTAGTTTTAAGGTGCAGTGGATGTTTTATGGACCTTTTTTTTGCCACATTGCTTAAACTACTCTTCATATATTGATGGCAAACAATAACTTAGTAGTTATATGAACAAGTTGAACAATTTTTTATCACATCTGAAATATACAGTTCTGGGAAAACCTTATCCTTATCCAATATCATTGTTCTGTTCTTAATATTTGGATCATGCTCCATCTGCTGATATTGCTGTTTAATGATAAGATGTGGAGGAGACAGTTACATTTGAAACAGAAAGGTGTTAATGAAAATGCAAATGTGTTTATTAATGGAAACAGGTTATCTGGGTTTTTAGAGGGTACTGGATAAATCCTGGACTGAGCAAGCATCTTTAGGTGGAGAGGTGGATCCCTTTCTGGAGAAGTGTCAGAGCTCCCAATCTTAAATCCTCTCAGATCATCTCTCAGGTTTTTCCCCTGTAATTGTACTGTTTTACCACTAATGAGTACTGTTGATACTGTAAATGAGTGTTGTTTACTGTTCTGTCATGTCAGCTCCAACATTACCTATCTTGTGCAAGCTCAGATGTCATAAAAAACGAAAATAAAAATAATGCAAATCCTATATGCAAATCACATAACATTACACTTTGAATTTACCCAAATAAGAAAGCAAAACCAAATGCCGGTTCCACTTGCGTTTGGGCAATGCGTGCTTGCTCCTCAAATAAATCCCAACAATGAAGGCAATAAGGACTAAACAGATGGGCTAACAGAAAAAAGTTACAAAGCAGATGTCTGTCTTAAACTATCAAAAACATCATTTGTTACTAGATGCTAGAAAACTGGACTTAAACACTGCTCATGGGTAGGACAACCGAGAGTTTTATATGTACATATCGAAATCTGGGAGGGGCTGCAGATCTGTTTGCTGGGAAATTACATGAAACACCAAACACACACACACACGCACGCACGCACGCACGCACACACACACACACACACACACACACACACACACCCTTGGTTCTCCTTTCAGAAAATATTCCTAATAGTTACTATAATCCTGGTGTCACCGAATTTCCACTTTTATTATGGATCAGTTATTTCCTATCACTGCCATAAAACTTTGGGTTAACAGTTTTCTAAATTCCCTGCATGAATCTATAAGCTGTGTTTGGTCCTTTTGTCAGTGTATTAACAGATGTGGTAATAAATTCACAAAACGTAAATGACGCCTGATCATTGTCTAGCAATTCTCAGGAATAATCGGCGCATTCTGTCAAGAATTCATCCTTTAGATCAATTTGTGGTGTTAACTCTTACATTATGAAGATATAGATATTAAATCCAACGGTCCAGTTCCGAAAACTGGAGGTGCCCCGATTATGTAATATAAGATTATAAACAAGCCAAATCTACGCCACATTTGAAATATAGATATAAATCTATATGTATCGCTACACTTGTGTTCACAGACTTGTAACTGAAAATGATACACACAACTTTATTTTATTTCACATGCATGTGAGTTTTTCTTACAAATACACATTTATCTTTACAAGTTTATGCATGTTGGTGTGCAGCTTCTCACAATCTATTGCACATACACACACACACATTTCAAGCTCAAATCAGGTTGTACAAACACATACAACAGATCTACAAGTTTGTGCATTTTGAAACAGATTTGCCTGCATACACTTGATTGCGTGTCGGCAAGCTAATAGAGTGTTGCATTTCTATTTTTTTAGGCCTTTGCGTAACCCGGTCTATTGCCATCTTTGAAATTGAAGCGTGATGAGCGCCTTGATGGCTGTTCTCGTGGTCTTCCTGTATCTTTTTTTTCCTACATGTCAGTGTGGTAAACCTTGTTCGGCCTGTACTGTGGAGACACTTTTCAATGCTTCAGGTCGCTAGGGCATTGACAAAGTTGATTCTGATTTTGGGTGAAATCGGGGTTTGATTACTCATCCTTGTGACGCCATTTCAGTGTGTTTTTTCTTGTCCCCACAAACTGAATTTGTGTTCACAGTCAGGAAATCCTCAAAGTCAAAGAAGTTTGATTTGCATTCACAAAATTTTTCTTTCACAGCTTTTAGATTTGTACCCTCATAAGAAAATCCTAAGCTTCACAATTTCCAGACTCACAAATATGACTGAGCTGGCAATACTTCACAATACAATTTTCTCGTCTGTCTTTCACAAATATTGAATATTGAAATGAATAATGAAAAAAAATTCTCACAGAGCTTTTTAAGCATTAATCACATTGACCCAACTCTTGATGCTGTAACAACACTTGGCATTATTTCAGCCTTCTGTTTCAGTTCTCTGATACAGCTTTAGTATTTTTCTGTCATGAAAGCTCTTCCACAGGTTCTTCTCCATTATGTAGTCATGGTTGGCAAAAAAGATAACATGGGTTTTTTCAAACTTTTGAAAATAGTAGTTGGAGTATTTACTGTGGTCTTCTGTCATGAATCCATATGCTTTCACCTGGGGATGACAGAAAGAGAGGAAACATGGAGTTATTTTTAAATAACCAGTTCACTTGGTGGAATACCCTAAAGATATAATCTCTTCCACATGCTCCGGGATGGCGCTAGGTCCCTCTTCGCAGGAGGACATGGCTGAAATACCTCCACAGGTAGGGAGGAGTCCATGGGTCATCCAAACCACACGTTAAGGCAACCAAAACTTACTTTTCTCAACATGGAGCCTCTTTATGTATATCACTAAAACGTTAAACCAGTTACAGAGCTTTAACTGTTTGAAATTAGTTGGAGAAAAAAAAAGTGTAAGAAAATGCAGATTTGGAGCCATACTGATTGAAGGTGTTGAACACTCAGTACATTTGCAGGTATCTAGTAGGAATGAAGGACTTGTAAGTTGTACTCTGGGGAACAAAAGTCCAGAAGTGCCTGAAACTGTACAGAGAATTCAGATGGAGGAGAAAGTAGCTTCAGACAACAGGATTTGCAGTCTTACTTCCTGATATGTGGACATCTCACCTAAGATTGGATAGCGACAACACGACTCTACCACTGACTTTGTTTTCTTTGCAAAGTGGATGTTTAATATCCACAAACAACACAAGCCTGAAGGAGTTCTGCTATGTGGTAGAGTTGCTAATGCTAATAGTTAGCTTCTACTAGTCAAGTTGTTCTCTGCTGTTTCCTGGACGCTAAGCCAACAACAGCCTTCCTGTCACGAGTCAAGATGGGCGAGTCCATGCATGTTCAGTGACAGTGTGACGTAGATCTCTCAGGCTTTTCAAATCCTAGAATTTCACTGTCTATTTTTTATCAAAAGCAGGAAACAGTTGTAGGAGACTTTTCATGTTCAGCGGGCATGAAAAATTCAGAGTGACCGATTATGATCATAAATAATAATTACAAATGTTTTTCAGTGTTCCACACCTTTAAGCATTTATGATGTTTTCCATTTGCCAAAATTGTTATACAGAAGATTAGTCCTAATTTGTTCACAGTTTCTACTTGTTTTATTTCCTGTAATTTTTATTATTATCATTATTTTGTCATGGAGTGAATATCAGATTTTATAAGTCACAAATTCCTTTAACATTCTCACATTTATTGCTCTTCCTCTACCAGAACCTAAACTGAGAGGTGCTCTAGTTGCGCAAAATTTGAGAAACAAATTTCTTGAACAACAGGAGAATGAGGGAAACGAGGAACCATTATGTTTTCATTGCATTTTGGAAACTACATCACAATTTGTTGCCACTGGCTTTAGCACAGTGAGATATGGGTTTTACATTCTTGGTTGCTGATCTGATATACTTATACACATGTCCACGTGCTGCCTGTAACCAACTGACATGTTCAATAATTGTAAACATTTGTTTTAAAATCCATGCCTGGTCTGGTGTGGTAGGGATGGGGTCCAGCCCTGCTCACTTAAAGATACAAGTGTACAAGTGTATAAGACACTTCCGTTCATCTCCAAGATCTTGGAAAAGGTTGTGGCTAAACAACTCACAGCTGCTCTTGATGAACATAACATCTATGATCACTTCTAGTCAGGTTTTTGTAGAGCTCATTCTACTGAAACAGCTCTTCTTAGGGTCTCTAATGACCTTCTGACTCACAGTGATGAAGGGGACTGTTCTGTTCTGGTCCTGCTGGACCTGACGGCAGCCTTTGACACTGTTGACCATCACCTGCTACTGGAGAGGCTTAGAGACTGGGTAGGCCTATCAGGATCTGCTCTGGAGTGGTTCTCCTCTTATCTCTCTGAACGCTCCTTTTCTGTGGCCATCTCCAAGTTTAGGTCCTCCACCACCTCCCTTACCCATGGTGTCCCACAAGGTTCTGTGCTGGGGCCTCTGCTCTTCCTCCTCTATCTGTTTCCTCTTCAGCACATCCTGAGGTCCTTCAAAGGAATCTCCTACCATCTTTATGCAGATGACATCCAACTGTACATCTCCTTTAAGCCCCATGAGATGTCTAAGCTGCAGCTGTTACACACCTGCTAAGACTCTATTAAAACCTGGATGGCTGGGAGCTTTCTACAGCTGAATGAAGATAAGACTGAGATCCTCGTCTGTGCCCCAGACAAGCTGGTTCCCAAAGTCAGAGACTCTCTTGGTCAGCTTGCTTCTCACACCAAACTTTCTGTCAGGAATCTTGGCATGACCTTTGACCCAGCTCTCACCCTGGATTCTCATGTCAGTTCTCTTGTTCGCTCTTCCTTCTTCCATCTCAGGAACATTGCTAAGCTGAGTCCCATTCTGTCCCGCTCTGAACTTGAGACAGTTATCCACACTTTCATCTTCTCACGCTTAGACTACTGCAACTCTCTTTTCACATGTCTGAGCAGAACCTCCCTGAACCGTCTACAGGTGGTTCAGAATGCCTGTGCTCGGCTTCTGACCAAGTCCTCCAAACACACCCACATCGCCCCACTTCTCCTCCAGCTTCACTGGCTGCCAGTCAACTTCAGAGTTCATTTCAAGATCCTGGTTCTGGTCTATAGGACCTTACATGGACAAGCACCATCTTACATTGGTGATCTTCTTAGTCCCTACACCCCCAGCAGGTCCCTGAGGTCCAGTGATCAAAGCCTACTGGTTGTGCAGCGCACCAGGCTAAAGACCAAAGGTGACAGATCATTTGTTGCTGTGGCCCTCAGACTCTGGAACTCTCTCCCCCTGAGCCTGAGATCAGTGGACTCAGTGGTCTCCTTCAAAAAGCAGCTGAAGACTCACTTGTTCAAGCTGGCCTTTGTATGACCTTCTTCACCACTCTCTATTCAGCTCTCCACACCAATTCCACCTTCCTCAGGATCCACTGATTTCCCTCTTTCGTTTTCAATTTCTCTCTTTCTTAACATTTTTTAATCCCAATTGCCTATTTTTGCTCATTTTAAATATATTTTTAAACATTTTCTAAATGCTATTTTATATTTTTACATTTTTTGTTTTTGTGAAGCGCCTCGTGATTTTTATCTTGAGAGATGCTATAGAAATGATACTTTCTTCTTCTTCTTCTTCTTCTTCTTCAAAGCACTTGTTGAAGTTTGAAAATACGATATCTCCTGGGATATAATTACCAAAAACCTGGTAAATGTATATTTGTAAAGATTAAAGTTGAGATATTTCACGTTAATTCCAAATTAGAAAACAGCTCTGATCTCTGAGAAATGGATGCTTATTTCCTGGTTCAAATAAACATAGGCATAATCCTTGTGTGCAAGTTAAACCAATCCAGTGAGGAGATGTGCTGCTTGATTGACAGACAAAGTTGAAATTCAAAGCGTTTTTTTTAGAGATGGAAAGGCAAGATGGAAAACAAAAGCAGAAATCACTGCTCATTGCATATGTACATACTGCACCTGGGAGGGAAATGTGTCACTTTGAATCTGTGCCATGTGGTTAGACCTGATGATCATAATGACAAGGCAAATTGAAGAGGAATTTTCTAATGAACACAGTGTGCAGTGACTTTACGCTTTTGTTTTCCACTTAGAAAAATCCCTTTCTAGAGAGAGAGAGAGAGAGAGAGAGAGAGAGAGAGAGAGAGAGAGAGAGAGAGAGAGAGAGAGAGAGAGAGAGAAGGGGTCAGCTGCATATTCTAACTTTGGATTTAGGAGGAACAATGTGGTTTTTGCCTAGTGAGTGGAACACTGCAAAAGCTATACCCTTAGCAGAAAGAGTTCACAAGAGTTCACCTAACCCGACTAAGCTTTATACGCTTAGCAGAGAGTTCACCTAATTCGTCCACGTGTGTTTCATGGACTTGGAGAAGGCATTCGACGGTGTTCCTCAGGATGTCTTATGGGAATACCTCCAAATCTGAAGCCTGGTTCTTGGAACAGCTAGGGTAGAATGCATTTCTTGGTCGGGGCAAAGACCTGCCCCATGCAGAGGACTTTAACTGTTTCTGGGCCTTGTTCAGAAATGAGGGAAAGATGGAGCAGTAGATCGATTGGTGAGTTAGTGACGTGTCTACAGTGATGCAGACATTGTACTGGTTCATCACATTGAAGAGAGACCTGAGCCAGAAAGGTGAAGCTCTTGATTTATTGGTCGGTCTACATTCCAACCCTCATCAATGGTCACGACCTATAGCGACCAAAAGAATGAGAATGTGGATACAAGCAGGAAGCTGGTTTTCTTTGCAGGGTGTCTGGGCTCTCCCTTAGAGATAAGGTGAGAAGCTTGGTTATCTGGGAGGGGCTCGAAGTAGATCCGCTGCTCCTCCACTTCAAGGGGAGCCAGTCGAGGTGACTCGGGCATCTGATTGAGAGGCTTCCTTGATGCGTCCCTGGTCAGGTTTTACGGGCACGTCCTTTTAGGAGAAGACCTAAGGGAAGACCCAGGACACGCTAGAGGAACTATGCTCCTCAGGAAGTCTATGCCTCTCTGCTTAAGCTACTGCCCTAGCAACCCAACTCCAGATAAGTCGAGAAAAGCACAGATGGATGGACAAAAAATAACTTACTGTGTCACATGCGTGCAGTGCCAGGAAGAGAGCAAATGCTCCATTAGTTGGTCGGACAATCGCCCAGTATTTCTGGTTCAGGCTGTTTGATCTTAGGTACCTGTAGGTTCAATAAAGCAGATTTGATTTATTCAGTTGCAGTTAGTTTGTCTGGCTGAGCATGTATTAAGGAACAAAAAAGAAGTCACGGGTCATAAATCATGGTAACAATTTTCTCTTTAATTATTTAAGTGGCACAAATAATTTCCTACAAAAGATAATAAATGAGAAACTCTTAATGGGACATTTAAAATTATTGGATGAGGGGTTTAAGGACTGAACCTTTAAGAGGCAATTAATATTATTCATTTTTTGACAAAACTTTTAATCTGTTTGTTTCCATCAGTTAGTAAAGAGCATTTTAAGCAAAATGGCAGAAGAAGAAAAAAAACCTTCCAGAAAGTGTTTATTTATTTTACTTAATTATCCACTGTAATGTACCAAAGGTCAAATTTTCACCAACATGAACAGAAATTAACTTTTCATTTGCAGCCACAAACTACATCACACATCCAGGGATGCATTACAGCTGTCTGGCCTCCAAAACAGAGAGCTCTGCACCAGCCCTTGTTATCGTACAAGAAGACATAACATTTTCAGCCAAGGTCTCATGCAGAAGCAATCTTAATCGTCGCTCTGAATAAAGTTCACCTTCCTTAAAGTTCCTAAGTGATTTTGCACAAATTGCGTTGAATGGTTTTATAAACAAATCTCAAGTATTTTTTTAATAAACTTCCGCAGTTAGAAACCTGACTACTTTCATATCTGACACCAATCTGCAGCCCTCTGCTGACCAAAAACTGCACTTGATAGATTTGAGGAGTGAGTAGACTGTGTTCTAGGGGGTGCTTTTTTCCTGCTTCATGGCTGTTAGCTTTAATGCTAATTTTCAGTTTGATGACGCTAGTGGTTAGCATTTTCAGTTTACTGATCGTAAATAAAAAGCACAAGAAGAAGAAAAAGTAGAAGTTTACTTTTTCTGTTGGCATCATGGTGGAGCCTGGAAGTAAAAGTGAGAGAGTAAAATTTTCAAGGCAAAGCAAAGAGCTAAAACTGGGGCTGCCTACATTAAACTGAGGGAGCTAAAGGAGGCTACAATATCACAGACTGATGATGAGCTTGCTTTGTTGCTACATGACTTGTAAGTAATAATATTTTTTGTTCAAGAGAGTGGATCCGTTTGCTCATGTTAGTGTTAGCTTGTTGTTAGTGCTAGCTACAGAAAGATTGTTTACGACAGTTGTAATTTCACTTTCAACCAGTAAGGTGGAGGATCAGGAAACTTCTCACTGTTACTTTAAGTATCGACACTTGAACACAGTTTAAATGTGACTTTCTTGAGATCCTCTGAAAAATTCTAACATAAATGAGTGCTCAATTAAAGTGTTACAGAAAAGTCAACGTGTTCACGTTTTTAACATTAAATTTATGTTAAAAATATAAATATGTTTCTTACATTCTCTACTTACATCGCTATAGAGGCTTGCTAAAGAAGATGTACACCTTTTTGATTCTTTGTATTTCAACTCATTGTTTGCTTGCCACTTTATTTATTTTTTTCATTGACAGAATAATTAATAGAAACTTCTGTAATTTAATTAAGTCCTGTTTTGCCTTACAAACTTTAAGAGAGTTTCAGATTTGGTTGATGGTTAAAGTTTACACTTCAGGCAGTGATGGCTGTGTTCACTGTGCTGTGGTGGGAACTGGAGAAAACATTAATCTCTCTAAAATGGGAGCAGAAAAACATGCCCATTATTTCCTTTTCCATTAAGAACCAAGAAGCGGGCAAACTGGTTGTTGGGTTATTTTTGCATTTGAATCACACAACTGAAAGGATCGAGTATTCCAGTCTGACATGTTATCGTGACACACAGCTGTAAATAAACTGTTTGCTTGAACTGGAAACATATTTAACGAAGGTGTGGGGGAATGTGTGTACTCATATGAAACAAAAACATATGACTGTAGCTGTAGATTTAAAATAACTCTCATCTTTTCAGTAACTTAGATTTCTGTGATTTTTGTCACAGAAATGTTTTGACAAGTATGTGAGTGATGGAGAACACCTTCATGTAAATCAACGTGTTTTGGAAGCAAATTCAGTCATCTAACTTCCATATATGACATCATCAGGCTGCCATATTGGAATGCATCATTTTTACAGATGTTCCTTCTTATTTTTTACACATTTTTATTAAATTTCCATTTGTTTTAGAAATTTATAAAGTTCTTTTGAAACTTTATTTATTTATTTTCATGTTTTATATTGATATTATTGTCACCATTAGTAATGTTTTTACCATCCTTTATACACCCACTATGTCCTGAACATGGTGAAACAAGCTTCAGATCATGTTTGTGCAGATTGTTTACTCCCATGAAGCACACTCTGCTGCCGCATGGAACTGCAATGTCACTTTCTTGCTCACTGGACGAGTGAAAGTCTTCATCACAGGGTGAATATTCCTCTTCAGAATCAGAGTTATCAGTCCAAGAACGTTGTCAACGAACAGAGCTGTCAGCATTGCAAGAATTTCCTCTATAATCACCCTCTGTGTGCTCTGCTCATCTTCTCTCCTCCACTGGGACCCTCCCGGCAGGAGGTGGTTTTCAATCACTATAAACTCCAAAAATTTCAATATAAACACACCCAAAAGTGTTGCTCAGATTGAAGTTACACATCTCCACTATCTTATGGTGTAGAGTAATAACTTCACATGGGATCATATTTACAGCTGTGGCTCAGTGTAACGTACCAAAAAGGTTAATTTTCACCTATATATTGACCAACATAATAACCTTTCATCTACAGAAATAAACCCACTTTCTATTTGGCCTTCCAGAACCAATATGTATTAATGGCTACATCAGCAATGACGCTAGACGCAACTTTGCGACTTTGGCGCTTAAAGGGTTTAAGATAAGATGCCATCTGAATACACCAACTCACTGAAAAGACAGTAGCTCAGCAAAACAGCTCATAAACACATATCTGAATTCATCCTTCAACAAATGCTACTGTAAAAGGAGGCGGTTGTGACTTCTGCTGTTGTCTTTTTAGGCGTTTAATATCCACATGTTAACCTCGTTTCTGTGCATATCTATTTACTGTTCCATCAATGAAGGAACTTAACTTCAGTGAAATAATGGGTATGCTTATTAAATGGTGCACATTCTGTCTTTATAGGGGCTGTAAGGAAGAACCCCTCATCTGCCAGTGCAGTGGATACTGACCTTGGCTGTTTTGCTATCCGCTGGTTTAACCTCGCATCTGACCGTGGAGGTGGTCGGAAAGAACGGCAAAAAGTGCATTGCTCAACCGAAACTTCCTGATTAGGAATAGAGCCACTGGGGTATAGGACATTCTCAAACTGTTTGAAAATGTTTTTGTTTGTTTGTTGTTGTGGACTGTTTAGTTCAGTTGTTGTGCTACTGAGCAGTGGTTTATTCTACTATAATAACAATGAATTCAGTTTTTTCCAAACATGGAAAAATCCTGTTTAATGTTAAGGTCATTAGTAGAGTATCGCATATTTGTTCTGTGAGCTACATGCTTTGTTTTAATAATTAAAGCACAGTTTTACTGTGTTGTACTTTTTAATTACATGTACAATGTCAGCATTTAATGTAGTTTTTTTTTACATAAACATCATTCAACTTTAACTTTGATATATTTTCATAATCATAATAAATTGTTTTTAGAACATGTACAGTTCCTTTCATCTTAAAATATATAATTTCAAAATAGCAAATTGTTTTTAAACTTGTCACTTATTTTAATTGCTGCACTGTTTCAGTATGTGTCTCAAAACAGATCTGCACTAGTATTGACCCGGTATGCGAAAGGACACTGGCCCAAGTTCATTATGCGGATCTGGGCCAGAACTGTAGTGGGCTCCGGGCTTGATCTGGGTCAAATCATTTTTTGCTATCTGGGTTGGACCTGGGCCTGACTTGGGCCAGATGTGGTCCAGAACTGGGCCAGAGTGGGGCCGGATTAAATAGTAAGGATCTGCATCCGGGCCAGTGCAGGTCCAGTTTTGGCCCTGATTCAGAAAACTGATCCGCACCGGTATTAGCCCGGTGTGCAAAAGGGCACTCCGCTTAGCGGATCCGGGCCAGATGTTACTTAGGCTCCGGGCCAGATAGGGTCCAGATTTGTCCTTGAACTGGGCTGGATCACAACTTAAGAATCCACATCCGGCCCGGTGCCGGTCCAGTTTTGGCCCTGATTCGGAAAGATGGATCCGCGCCAGTATTGGCCCAGTATGCAAAAGGACACTGGCCCGGGTTTGTTTTGCGGATCTGGGCCAGATCTGGGCCAAATGATTTTTGCTATCTGGGATTTTCCCTGATAAAAAAGACATGAGACATTTTTCTGGGCTTTAACTTTCATTGAATTAAGTAATTTTTATATTGATGATGATGTTCTTTAAACCATTTCCACATACTGTAATTAGCTTTTCAAGTCTGTGTAGGGGAGTAGGCTGAACTTTCAGACCAAAATGCAGATCTGGTGAGACTCTGGATCAAAAAGAGCAGCTGCTGTACCTGGAGAGCTCTAGTTTTGGTTTGTGGTTGGTAAATTTCATTGAAAGAGTTGTTTTAAACTCGTAATGGGACTCTTAATTGGAGTCTGGTTCTTGTTGGGAAATATTTTGACAAATAAATATATCACACACCCATTACCATATATATCTATACACATCTCTCTCTCTCTCTCTCTCTCTCTCTCTCTCTCTCTCTCTCTCTCTCTCTAGAGAGAGAGAGAGAGAGAGAAATAATGCACATTTCACACCAACCAGTTAATCTTTTGATTTAACTGTGTATGAGTGTATGATAGTGGACACACTAGTGGCTAAAAACATCAGTTTTCCAATAGTGAAAATAATGTTTCAAAGATCTAAAGACTGACCTGTTTCGTACATATCTCATGAAGTCCTGGTGCAGAACGTAGAAGCGGGTCTCATTGTACTGGCCTGAGTAGTAAGTTCTGGCACTGGAGGGTGAAAACACAGCAACCATTACAGTCAGTAATACACACACACACACACACACACACACACACACACACACACACACACACACACACACACACACACACGCTCATTGTACACACTGGCTCAGTTTACTTGAGCAACACGGTAAGACATTAGCAGACTTTTTTTGTTAGATGAACTCTTGAACACAGCTGAGAAAATGTATTTGATCCTTTTCAGTTTGCAAAGGCTCATCAGGAATGATTTTAGGACCACATGGGGAGCTGAGCACCCAGACATGAAGATACATTTCACTGTCAGTCCAATCTCTGTTCCAGCTGGGGGAGCGTTCCCTTGATTGCTACGAGAGCAGGTTTCCTCTGATTGCTTTAGGGGTGGGTGGGTAGGACTCAAATTTAACATGGGCTTGAAATACCTATGCTACTCATTCTTGTGCCATTATCAATAGCATATGTTCACATCAAAGTAGAAACTTCATTACCTGGAAGGTTGAAAAGCTTTTTCATGCTGCCTTGTCTGGTTTAGTTTATCAGGTTATTTCCACTAAAACTTCTTTAAAAAGAAATGCTTAGAGGATGAGTGTGTAAACAGGTTGACGTCCTAAATAATTTTCTTTATTTTTATTATTTCAACCAGCTTCTATCGCATTTCCTCTGCTTAATTAACATAAGACAACTAAGAGGCTCCACATTGTTCTTTCACTTGCAAGAAAGAAATAATGAAAAAACTATCAAAAACTCTCATAATACAATTGCAATTTCATTGTAAATAAATCAAATGCTATATGTGCCAAACAACCCATCCTGTTACGAACACACAGGGTGTTTCAGACACTATGAATGAGTTTATATTCACTTTCTGTTCTTGTATTCGCCTTTAGCAACCCGTTCACCCTTGATAACAGCCTGGAGCCACTCGAAGTCCCTCGTCCCCTCAGGAATCAGAACATATTTTATTCCCTGTGACAAGGATGAAAAATGACAAATGTGTTTTTAATATTATGTGAGAAACATAAAGAAAAATTTGCTGTTGTTTGAGCCTTAATACCTCATCGTGCGGGGCCTCTCTATATCCGTACTTCTGGTAGAAAGCTAGTGATGCAGTGATTGAGTGGGCTGTGTGGACATACACCGATGTCCGGTTCCCTACATCTTCCTCAAAACCTTTGATCACTGCTGCATTCATCCTATCACACAAATCAGAGACATGCTTTAAAACATTCCTTTAGTCAGCTTTTGCTGTGTTTAAGAAGAAAACCCCTCATAAATAAATAATACTTAAAATAAATCAATGTAGCTGTTTCTATTATTTTTCATGACACAAGAAATAAGCAGCAAAATGTATAAAAATGCTAAATTGAACAAACTTAACAGTTTTAAACATTTGAGTGCAAAACTTATTAAAAAACTTCACAGAAAACAAAAGTATTGTACCCTTATCCACCTTATTTTTCCCTTTCCTCGTGGAGAAACGACGATGTAAGCAACATCCCGTGAGATACTGAAACTAGTGCATACCCATTGGTTTGCACGGTGAGGTTTCGTTGCTAGTAGCAGTTTCTTTGAACATTTGAAGATGATTTAAAAAATTATTTACCCCAAAAAATGTACTCGCATGGCTTGGAAAGATGTTGCGCTGTTTGCGGTTGTAACAGCAACCAGGGAAAATTAAATTTGTGGCTACAAGAGCGACATTTAGAACATGCACCTTGGAATAAGGGAGCGTGTGGCTGCTATCGGTGCAGCTTTAACCCCCCGAGATGAGCAACCTAGAAGGATGTGGCAGAAAAATCTTAACTTAAAAACCACCCCAAACTTAATTTGTGCCTTTGATTAATTTTGTTGTGAAAACCAAGAGAGGAACATCTTCATCCTACTTTGTTGTTGGACATGACAAACCTCCGGAGAAGAGACACCGAGTAGTAAAGAGATCTGACAGCAGTCTCACAAACAACAGGTATGATTTCATGTGTACAATTTTCTGAATAATTACAATTTAGCGTGTGTTTAGACTGCCATTATTAACCTAAAAGTGCCGTCCTGCAGTTTGTATTTCACCTGATGTAGATGCTAAAACTCAGGCTTGGTGATGAGGAGTAAGACTCTGACTCAGCTCTACATCTGCTTTTAAGTAAATAAAATTTTGTCCCACCTCTTTCAACAAAACTCAACCAACCTTGTTGCTATGTAGGTACTGATAAGCCTCTGAGCTTTTAAGATTATTTCTTTCCTTGCTGTAGCTAATTTGACAGGGTGAGCATCCTGTAACTGTATTCCGATTGATCATACGCCCCGGCTACTTGGCCACAGGGATATTATTTTGGCTGACTGGTTAGCGCGCGTGACTCTGACTCGAGAGTCTAGGGATTGAATCCCACCCGGGCCCTCGTTTCGCCACCATGCAAAAACGCTACTATTTGTTAGCTTTGGTCATATTTTAAAATAATCCTCTCTCCCCATCGGCGGAAGAAATGAAACGGTGTCCCGTCTGAACTGTGACAGCTGGTGTTTACATGTTTTCCGTCTCCTAAAGCCCATAAAAGGAGGATTTGCGCGAAGGGATCTCATTGTCTCAATGTAAAAAAATGTGGACGGGAAGTTGCTTACATCTTTCGCGCAAAGAATCACAGCCCGTAAGAATAAGGTGGATAGAACACAACTGGCTGGATCCCATGTTTACTTGATGGATGAAAATGTCTGAATAAAATAAGTTCTGGGAGTTTGTAAACCATCGACCACAGACAGGATGTGTTTCCGTTTTAACCTCCAAGTGTTTTCCATCCCAATATAGTGTCTAAATTCTTCTAATGTAAGTGACATAAAAATGTTGGAACTCTGGTTTCCGTTAATGGAGTTGCTAATGCTAATGATTAGCTTCTACTAGTTGAGGCATTCTCTGCTGATTCCTGGACGCTACAGACTTTCCAGAATGTTAAGTGACAGTGTGATGTAGATAGGTGTAGGAGACTATTTTCATGTTGATCCGATAGAGCTCTACTGGTAATTAACTACAATGTAGCACAGCTGCCTGGGGCACACTGATGGAAGCGAAGCTGATGAGTAGTGCCGCCACTGGTCCCTCTGACCACCACCAGACATTATAATGATATTGTATAAATGTGATAAACATATAACTGTGAGAATTTGAAAATGGCATTGTAAGAACAACAAAGTTACAGGATATGTATTTGGATGGTTAGCAGCGCTGAGTCACTGTACCGACACACATAATAGGAATGTCTCACAAAGAAAGAATTCAAGTTGAAATACATGTCCCCCCCCCCCCCCCCTTCTTTTTTTCTGTTCAACATAATTAAAATCCTACCAACCAGTTGCTCTTGATTCTTACCGGAAAACATAGTCATGAGCATCGATCTCTGCTCCCATTTTTGAGCCATTGAGAATCCCTCCAGTTCCCACTACAGCACAGCGAACACAGCCGTCACCACCCGGTTTAGGAAGAAGAAGTGGTTCTGTTGGCTTTGGAATCAGCTTCACTGCATCTAAAACATCTGTACACAAAAATAAAGATGAGTGTTTGTTTTGTGGTTGTTGTGTAAGTTAACTATACTAAAATGATGGCTACAAGGTGATCCACTCGCATGTATTTAACTGTAAACTTTACCTGAAGCTTCTAAAGTTTGTAAAGAGAAGTAATTGACTAAAAACAAAAACTAAAGAAGCTTTGATTAATCGTTTTGTTTAAAAGAGTATATCTGGAAAAAAAAAACGCTCATGAAAAATGAGACATGACATAAAAACACAAGTTTCTATTACACTAAATATACTCTAAAAATCATTCCTAATTTCTTGGGTAATTATTGTTAAAGTCTCACGGATGCTCAAAATTCAACACGTGTTTAGGTTCATAGTTTTAGTGAAGACATAATATTAGGCAAAAATCTGATCATTACATTAAAGATCATTTGTTTTTTGATTAATTTTTTTATGTGATTTTTAAGTTTAGAAATGTGCAAAAGTGCCAGATGGCTTAATTTAAAGTATTTTTGTCCCAAATAGTAGCAGGTTTTGAAATATCAGTTTTGCAGAATGAAAATGTGAAAAGTAATTTTGAAGCTTTACAGTAGCGTTGAAGCAACACCTACCATCATATTTCATGTCCATAAAACCAAACGGATTGTTAAAATGTGAAAGTCTGTTCCAGTCTTTAATGTTGAAGTTGTCTTTGTGCATAAACACACGGATGTTTGGTAGAAAAGCCTTTTGGAAGTCCTCATCCTTGGAGTTACGCAGAGACTGTGGACATGTCTGAGTGAGCAAATAAAGGAAAGTCAAACGTTTATATTTTAACTCCGAGAGGCAAAAGCACTGTGAGTAAAATGTCTAATTAGAAAACAGAAAAGCAAACAGAGAAAAACAAAGCACGCCAAAGACACACACGTGAAGATCTTAACCAAACTTCTAACACTCACTCTTGTTTAAAAAAATAACTCACTGTCAGGCTTGGTGGAGCATCCTGGTGATAAATATCCTCAAAATCCCACTGAGGAATCCTATTAAAGTTCTTCCTGAATAGGAGGGCAATGGGATTCTCCGCTGGAGTGGTTTGAGGCTTAGAAATGTTAAAGAAGCTGTCATCACTAGCTCTATTATTTCCAGAGGGGGATGCCCAGCTGTATCTTAAACTTAATTTAAAAAACATCAGTTAAATGAATAATTATAGTAAAAACATGACTAAAGCTCTCAGCTACCTACGCATGAATGTTAGTCTTACCTGATATTTTCTGGTAAACCTTCCTCTGACATAATTAAAAGAATGATACTTAATAAAACCACCAGCAGCAGCAACAGAAGTCTGACTTGCTGGTTTGCCATTTCTGAGAAGTGAATTAATGTCAGATAAAGCATCAGATATCGAAACCTGTATGACAGTAATCTCATCATGTGAAGCAACCTTGGACTGAACAAGTCATGAATCACACCTTTAAGATAAGACGAACAGCTGGCAGAGGAAAGAGAGTGGGTGTTTTCTAAGGAAACTACACAGATGAGACTGGGCAGGGCTTCAGTGCTATTTGCCGTTCCGTCTTGGCTTGGATAAATAGTATCCTGCAGGAATGGAGAGTGGTGATCAGACAGAGAACATAAATTTTTTTAAATGAGGGAACTGTAGATGTGTTTATTACTAGAAACCCATTTTCTGAGGTGTTTTGGGCACTGGATAAATCATGGAGTGCTTGGTGGAGAAGTGGATTACTTTCTGGAGAAATTTCAGATGACGTGTAGTTTGAGCTCCCAATTTGTTTTCCTCTGAGATGCAGACTTTTCCTGTAATTTTACCACCTGCTTTGAATGTCATCACCTCATTCAATGGCCGTTGTTCACAGTTATCGTCCCCACTGAATGGTCCCAGTCTGCCACCTCTTAGGAGGAGAATTTTACGACTAAAATACTGCTCATACTGTCAATGTGTGCTATTTACTGTTTTGCATGCTAGATCATATGTGCCAGCAATCAAAGTAAATATTAAGGTGTATTAAAACTCAGATGTTCTGTGTGATTTTACAACATGGTTACAGGGTGAACAGTTAGAGCACAACAGTGGTTTCAGTCTAGGTCACACCTGCCTGCATCTAATCAATACGACTCTCTCTCAATAGAGGCTAACAACTCATCAGGGGGTAGAGAGAAGGGGAATCAGAGTAGCTTCTGCTTGCTAAGTAACAGTAGACAGCTACAGCTTATGAGCTTGACACTCCCATATTCCCGTCAGGATTGACAAAGTTCCTCGGACGAGAAGTGAATCGTCTTCAAGAAACCAAAGAAGTCCAGTTGCCTTCATTTGAACCTTTTGGGTTACCGTGACCTGGATGACTGAGAACCTTCACCAGCACAACAGTGTTTTGTCATGTCCACCATCATCCATGAAAATGCGTGCATAACTCAGCAGCAAGCTGTGTTGAAGCTGTTATCAGCTGATCGGGGAGCTAAAGGGGTGGATGTTTGCATCCAAGCACGTCACGGCCAGTGAAGAATGAGGAAGACGTCAGACTGCAGACCCATAGACCTACAAATTTGCTGCTGAAGGCTGCTGGACTTCCCATGTAAAGAAGATCCACTCACCTGTTCACAGCTCGGATGCCAGTTCATTAATTCCTCATCACGATCTTCCATCTTTCTAGATCATCCTCGTCATCCAAGTGGAACCAGTTAGTGTTCCTGATCATTTAGTAGATTGCATCAGTTTCAGAATACGTCATGGGCACTCAGGTGTTACTAACTGTGTCTTTATCAGCCAGCTTTATTGCTTACACATTTGGGTCCGACCCAAGTTACTAAATTTAAGTCCTCCATCAGATTTATGCCTGTTCTAGTGTCATTTTTATTTATAGATATGATGTCACTAGATTATGAGTAATAGAAATGCTAAAAAAAAAAACTCACTCCTGCATCCAAATGAAACAGGAAAATTTTGTATGGTGCAATATTCCATTTATATGATCAATTCAGTTTCTCTTAATAGTGCCAAATCACGACAAGAGTTGTCTGAAGGCACTTCACAAAGTAAAACATTCCAACTGAGTTCAGTTCATAATCCAAATTAGTTAATAGTTATATCTAAACACCCATTGAAAGTTATTGTTTACATCCAAGCTACTTCATCCTGCCTCCAGCTATTGTCTCTGCGATTTAAGCAAACCAAAAACCTAGAGATTTAGATAGAACTACTTCAGATCATCTAACACACAGATGAACAAAAAAAAAAGAAGGATCTCAAGGTGTCATGGTTCTGGCCTTCGAGTCCCAGCCTAATCACCCCTGAACCCCTCCTCCTTCCTGGTCTGGAGCTCCCATGCTCACTTTGCTAAGTGGCTTCGCCGTGGCTCATGATTCTCGCCAAGCGGTCACAGCTTGCATCTGTTCCTGTCCGGCTCCCAGTTTCATGCTGGACGACTCAGGGGTTCCACGCACACCTCATCCAGCTACACCTTAACAAGCGCATAGGCTCAATAGGTCACGTCGAGCGCCTGGAGCTCACACAGTCACTCCACTCTTTAGTTCCCTGGTTGGTGTGGCACAGATTCACGCTGGACGGTTATAGCTTTCTCTCAATTCTGTCGTTGCAGCTCAGATTTGTGCTGGATGACCCAGAGCATTCACGCTCACCTTACCTACCTGCAGCTGAACAGTAAGCCAGTTCTTTTTATTTTCTGAAATGCCCCCACACCTTCATTTCCCCCTGAGGCTTGTGTCGTCCTTCCTAGATTAACTGCCTGACAGACGTCTCCCATCGCTATCACTTCTGCTTTTCTGCTTAGCTTTCCTAGGGCGCCAAATGGTCTAGGACCGCCCCTGGATGCAGGCGTTGTACCGATTAGTCATGAATCTTTTCTTATTCTTGTTTTTAAGGCCAGGCTCTACCAATAACAAATATTCAGCTTTAACATTTTATCAATGACTCCCATACAGTGAAAGGCTGTCTCCACATACCTTGACATGCATGACTGACACTGAGGTTCCAGGAAACCAATGTAATCTCTGAGCCAACTAACACGTTTGCAAATATGTTTTTAAAAACTTTTTTTAATTTAGTTAAAAATAATAACACGAATGATAAAAAACTGAAGGTAAAAAAGTTCTGTCTGCTTCTGATGTTGGCTTGACCTCAGTGCAGCTTTCTACTGTTCATAGCAGACCACAACACTTAGCTTATTGAACAGACTAAATGTTCTGGCTGGCATCTCTGGTCCTGCATTAGACTGGCTCTCCTCTTATCATTCAAACAGAATTGTCTCTATGAAGACAGAAACAATTTCTTAGACGCTACCCCACTTACATGAGGAGCCCCACAAGACTCGGTTCTGGGAACTTCCTATATCCTTCCTTTGGCTACCGTCATTCAGTCTTTCTTGGACGTCTCATATCACTTCTACACTGATTAAAATCACCTGTACATGTCCTTCAAGCCCCACCATTTGACCATTCTTGTGCTCTGTCTGACACAGATCAGTAACTGGCTGTCCAGCAACTTTCTTGTTCTTAATACCAACAAAATTTAGACCATGTTCATTGCACTCACAGAATTTAAGCCTAAAGCCTGATTCATGCTTCTCCGTCAGCTCGAGCTGACGGCGACGTTTTGCTCTCATACGTCTCCTGGGGAGTGTTGGAAAGCAATTCCCCGTCAGCACAACAGAGGGCTGTTCTGTGGTATCCTGCCATGTATCGGTCCAAGATAGTGTGTTTCTATTGTGTTTTTTTGTATATAAGAGACTTTTTAACACGGACAAATTTGTCTCTCCACCTCTTCATGCGCTCACCACCTCTAAACCCACGTTTCCTGTCATTTCCGTCCACAAATGAAATGCCTGCTGCATATCTTTTCACTCCTCCAGTCACTGGGGAATTAAACATTCATATTTTTAGAGTTTTTTTGCTAGGTGTTTTTCAAGCTTCTCCGTGTCTGCCGCTAGTTATTCAACGCTCTCTTTATGTTTTTGAGGGCACAATGGTGGCGGTGTAGACGACAGCAGTGCCCTGACCAATCACAAGCTTGCGTTCTCCGTCTCGATGGACGGATGTTTAGAAAAGAGAGCTCCACTCTGTACGTCCTTGCGGGGCTCTCCAGCAGGCCCGCAAGAACGGATAATGGCATTGCGTGTCTCCTCACTGACGCAGACGCAGAAGCAAGAATCAGGCTCAAAATTGAACAGATGGTTGCTTTCTTATGCTCATCAGCCAAGCCTAGTGTACGAAATCCAGGAGTTGCATTAGTTAAAGCAGACTATGATTGTCTGATCAGATCAAATCACATTTTCTGACCCATCTGTGCAGAAATCCACATACTGACTCCAAAAGGTTCACATACTTTTTCTTGCAACTGTAAAGCCTGATCACTGCATGTTTTTCATTGTTGAAAAGTAAGTATCCCATTTACAGTTGAAACCATGACGTGTTTTTTTAAACCAAGGCTTTCAGCTGATAGGTGTGAGGTCCAGCCACTCACATGCATGCAATCATGCTGTTTTAAAGTTTTAAGTAGTAAATTCAAAATAAACATTCCAGAGAAATAATTATTAAAACGTACTGCTTAAAAGAACTACATGAAACCACAGCTGGAAAGATTTTTTTTTTTTTTACTGGAACAATGGATTTAGAGTGAGGAGCGCTTGTGTTGGAACAACGTATTCTCACTCCTAAAGCATCGAAAACTGACGCTGGGTGACAAAGCTTTTGTTGTGAGTCCCAATGCGTTGGAAACAGCGTCGGATTCCGACGTCTGAGGTAATACACAACTGTCACTGAATTCTGACCTTTACCCTCTTGCTATTTAACCTTCCCCTCACCCCCATCCTAACCGTAACCTTTTTGCACATTCAAAAGTTTGTTCCTTACGTCCCTCTCCAAAATGGTTAACGAGAAAAAAAGAACCAAAAATGCAGTTAGAAACCAAACACAGCAAGAACACACCAAAGATGGTTAATGAGAAGTTTAGAATGAGCAACAGGGTTAATGTTAGAATGGGGTGAGGGGAAGGTTAAATAGCAAGAGGTTAGAGGTTAAATATCAATGAAATGTGTGTTTTACCGCGGGCATTGGAAATCGACGAGGCTGTCAAGCGTCGGTTTCAGATGCGTTGGCACTACTAATGCATGAGAAACAAAAGCTTGGTCACCCAGCGTCATTTTTCGATGCTTTGGGAGTGAGAATGTGTTGGTTAGTTTCTGGTTTAATTTTCATTCCATCACAGTCCTGTTCTTATTCATGTCAAGGATAAAAATGCAACGAAAGACTTCATTCCTCAACAGTTGATGCAATTCATAAAGAAAATTTTGTTTTGTCGTTTTGTGGTCTAATGAATCAACCTCTGATCAGACGTCCTCAGTCACTGACATACATTGTTAAAAATATGTGAAGAATGTCACACAGAAATGAACTATTGTTCTGCAATCTTTAAGTACAACTGCTTACATGAGTTTTGTTTGATCTAGTCCACCATACCCACCCATTAAGTACAATTACTGTTTAAGCAAACGATCCATTTACAGTTGTCATGTTAACATGTCAAACCTGATCTTTTCAAATCCTTTTAACTATGTTTTAAATCCAAATGCAACACAACCAACTGGTTCCCTAACTTATTGGTTTTTCCTTGAAAGGATAGTTTTGCATCGATCCCTCCTCCTGTTTTAAACCTTAGAGGATCAAGATTAAAATTAAAGTCCCATAGTTGTCACACACACTGGTGTGGTGTGTGAAAAATTTCCTGCTCATTTGACCTATCCCTGTGGGGATGCTGCGTTCGGGAACTATTTGGTGGTTTAACCCCCTCAATCTAACCCTTTAAAGCTGAGTGACAAGCAGTGAGGCATTGGGCCCCCATTTTAAAGTCTTTGGTATGACCCAACCAGGATTTGAACTCCAATCTCCCAGTCGCTGGGTGGAAACTCTACCACTAGGCCACTGAGCTGGTGCATCCCCATTGAGCTTCCTCTGCTTGATGCATGCCAATGATCTGACCATTCTCAAACATACTAACAATTTTCTATGACCACTAAATGAGAAGCAACTCATCGCATCAGCTGGGGTTAAATAATTATCCAATAGGAGGCTCCTACCTATTAGCGATGTGTCGGTCGCGAACGAACCGGCTCTAAGAGCCGGCTCTTTGAAGTGAACGACGGAAGCCGGCTCGTCATTGGGAGCCGTGCCCTCCCCTCCCCCCTCCCCTCTTGCTTTGGTGAAAGCTACAGGCGATTGGTCAACATGTGTAACTGCGTGTCCAGACTGACCACACACAGAGCAGTAGGGGCGGGGAAGAGGGAGGATCAGACTCACACAGCAGAGCACATGCGGGTGGAGGGAGACGGGATGGAATGAGGAGGTAGTAAAAGGCGAGCGAGAGAGAGGAGAGTGCGACAAAGACTGTGAGAAAATGAGAGCCAGCAGTCGGAAAGTGGAGATTTCTGAAAGTGTTCAGTTATTAAATCCATAGAAATGATAAATATTTGATATTGCATTTTTTTACATTAGTAAAGCATTTTACATATAGTTTTGCATTATTTTGGTTATAAATGAACTCTTAACACAACAGAAAATCCGAGGAGCTGCTTGGGAGCCGAAAGAGCCGGCTCTTTTTGGTGAGCTAAGCCAAAAGAACCGGCTCTCTAAAAAGAGCCGGAATTGCCATCACTACTACCTATTTGCTTTGTTAAATCCAGGTGGCAACAGCATATAAACTTAGATTTAAAAATATGTTTAGAGGGGGGAAAGAAAACTATTGTTAGTTCTGATAAAACCTGATGAAGGGTTCGTTTGTAGCTAATAAGTAATTTTTGATCAGTCCTTCAATGCTCTGCTGATGAAGTGTTGCAACCAGTGCTGCCAGAAAATGTTCAAAACAAATGACTAATAACTGGTATTTTATTGATCCCCCGGGGAAATTCTTTCTCTGCGTTTGACCCATCCCTGTGGAGTAGCCGCTGTTTTCACAGAGCCCAGGGACAACTTTCAGGGTTTATAACCTTGCTCAAGAATGTGGTCTGCTAGGGCCTGCGATAGAACCACTCACTTTCCAATACACAAACTGGTTCATTTAGGTATAAATGACTATACCAGCTACAGGGTTAACATTTTAAAACACATTTCATATGTTTTTTTAATATATTTTAATTTAAATACATTAATATTCACACATTTTCAGTGGAAGCTTAAAACACATTATTTTTTCCCTTCCCTGTCCCAAGAATACATTTTTAACAAACATCTTCTTCATGTTACGAACTCTTGAAATTATTATAAAAATGTTGCTCAACAACAATCCTCCGTGCATTTAACCGTAGATTTTCTGTACACACAGAACTAATAAAAACATTTTTTAAATGTATGAATATTTTTTAAATGACCTGCATTTTTTAAAACGCATTTTCTTCACAGAAAACCTTCATAAAACCTAAAAAAAATAAAGAGCGAATCACATCATTTGTGTAAAAACTGGTTTCTCGTACTGACCTTGTCTCCATGCTTGTTTCCCAAACTAGCTGTAGTTAATTAAACAAGTTAATGTTGCTTCGAATGTCCTAAAAGTTGTGGATTTAAAGAAATATGGAAAATATTTTAAAGAATCCCTGTGCTGATGAAGAAATTCTGACAGAAAACTTAACTGAAGTTGCAGTGGATGTACATAACTGATTTGCAACAGTAAATATTTCACTAAATGACGATTATCTTTGATAAATGGTAAATGTTCCTTCTGAAGCGCTTCATCAATCACAAGGACTCCAAAGCACTTTACGACATCCAGAAATCCCCCCATTCACATTTTGATTCACAGCAAAAATATATGAATTAAAATAGTGCATTTCAAAATTTGTTAAAAGGAGATATTCCTAACAGGTTCATTTTGCAGATGACAATTCTGGTTTTTGAAAAAGAGACGTAAACATGTTGACTCTATTCTCTCTGTGTTAGCTATTCTTCTTAGTCCATCATCCTTCTGTTCTTTGATACAGCTTTATTATCTTTTTATCATGGAAACTCTTCCACAAGTTCTTCTCCTGAATGAGATCATGGTTGGCATAGAAAATGACTTCACTTTTACTTTGCTTTTCAGCATAGTAGTTGGAGAATTGAGCGTAGTTGTCTGTCATGAATCCGTAGGCACTCACCTGAGAATGATAAAAAAAAGTCAAAGATCAGAAGATGATCCAGATGTTAAGATCAGAATCATGGACGTAATTTTCACTTTAGAAGTGGGGGGACATGGGGGGAGGGGGGGGGGTATCTTTACAGTATGCACAACTGGGAAAAAGGCTTCAACACAAACGGTTGTTTTCCGCTTGGTCCTAGAGCTCAACCAGTGTCAATTTAATATAGCGTAATATTGTTTTTGGATGGTAAAAAGTGCAGGGGTCAAAACTTGACTTTGGAAAAAATGGGGGGACATGTCCCCCCCCCCCAAAAAAAATTATGGCCATGATCAGAATTATGTTATAAACAACTTTTTCATCAAATATTACTAAAGATACTTGTTCATGCAGTTATGTCTATTATGTGCCAGATTTCACAATTTCTTCTAAACCAGTTTTCAGTTTTTGAAAAAAAAAGTTTTTGTGCAGACAATTAAAGAATAAACATTTGAATAAGTTGCAACTGAAGGGCTTCATGAGGGTGCAGTTGGTGGTACTGTTGCCTTGCAGTGAGAAGGTTCCAGGCTCAAATCCTGGCTGCACCATTACTGTGTGGAGAAAGCATGTTCCACCCAAGCATGCATACGTTTTCTGAGCAGTTTCCTCAAATGAGGGTTACAACTAATGAATGTGTGACAGTTTGGTATGCAATAACTAACGTAGTTCTACTAATCTGTGGACAACGCTTATAAATTCAGTTTCAGTGCCTTAAAGTGTCTTAAACAGTGTCCTTGTTTGACATTTTGACTTGCCACAGCATGAAAAGCTAATGGGATTATCAGTAAGCTGCAAAAGAGTGAGTTTCCCTCAGGGGAATGCTGTCCACAAAAATCCACCATTTCTAGAATCACCATTTTCAGAAATAGTTACTTTTGTTGAATTAGAGGAAGAAAAAAACACGTCAGTAAGCAGCATGCTACACATTGTAGATGTGTATTTGTTTTATGGACCAATTTATCTAAAATCTTCTAACTATCAATTCAATTCTTACTCATTTTAGGCCTCGGAAGGTTAATCACATGAGATAACAAATGACCAATAACGATTTTTATCTTTGACAGCCAGAATAACTCAAAAATACCCAACTAATGTGGCATGCAATCAACAAAAAATGTCTCCCTCTCAAGCTCCTCTATAGTCTCTGAGGTCAGATGAGGTTAACGGGAGTGAGTAACCGCTTCAGGTGCGACCACAGAGCCCATACTTACTGTGTCACAAGTGTGCAGAGCCAAGAAGAGGGTGAATGCCCCATTGGTTGGTCGCACAATCGACCAGATGTCGTCATTCAGATAACCTGATTTTAAAAACCTATGGGAAAGAAAAAGGAGTTGAACTGATAAGAAACACGGAAACATCTTCATTAAAGTCTCCCAGGAATATTTTAATCTTGTGTGGGATTTAAACTCTAAGCTGCCACTTTACCACAAGACTTTTTGAACTGGGTACAGTAAGAGTGTGAACATGGACAGTATGTACACTTCTGCTCTGGCTCACTTTGCTGACATGCTCACTGAGGTGTCTTTGAACGCTTTTGCCGTCAAATAAATGACACAAAGACACAGAATTCTGTCTCTTGACTGAATCAGGAAGTACAAGTCAAGTCAAGTCAAGTGGCCTTGACTCTTAGTCCAGTTCACAGAAGTAGAAAGACATTGTACAGATTAGATCAAATGAAATGAGCCCAATGACACACTAAAGCATAAGAGAACAAAAACAAGAGACAAATCATAACAGTGCTGTGAAAATGAAGTATAATTTATAGTAACTCCCTAATCTAAAAAAGAAAGACTGTTATACCAGTGTTTCTGCATGTGACTGGTAACATATTGTACACGGGTACTGGTTAGATTTAAAACAATCACATATTTAGAAATTTTCAGCCTATAAATTAATTTTTAAACAAAATATCTTTAAACGGCTTGTAGGGTGCTTACCCTCGCATTTACAAAAGTCTCACTTCTACTCGTCCATCCAGGCTTCCTTTACTTCATCAGAACAAGACCCAAACTTATAAGTGAGTGTATTTCCCTGAGCGTATAACATACGGCACTGCCTATATATGTCAACATCTCTGTCATGTCCTCTCTGATGATATGAAATGCTATGATATATTATGTGATATGATACTTTCTTGGTGACACTACAGCAGAGGTGGGGAACCCTGGTCCATCAAGGGCCGCTATCCAGCTTATTTTAGTTTCAACCCTGCATCATCACACCTGATTTCAATCAGCAGGTGATTAACAGGCTTCTGCAGAGCCTGATGAGCTGCAGAACAGGTGAATCAACCATATCAGAAGTGTTGGAGCGCAGACATGCAGGATACCGGCCCTCGAGGACCAGGGTTCCCCACTCCTGCACTACAGTGTTTGACAGATAAAACTCTGGAAACTTCATCTGCTTGTCCTCCTTGGCCCGGCAAATCAAAACGGCACTTTTAGCTGCTGTATACACATTGTTGTGTTCTACTCCACAGGCAGAGCATATATCTAGTAACTGCTGCAGGCCAGCAGTGCTTGAACTTAGAACCACTAAGTCATCTGCATACATCAGATGATTTATGAGAACACCACCAGCTGCACAACCAGTCCTGCAGGCTTTTAATCTCACTGACGAGTCATCCATGTACAGGTTAAAAAGAAGAGGAGATAGAATGCCTCCTTGTCTGACTCCATTAGACAGCTCTGAGATACTGTTACGGCATTTTATCTCTGGAACATTTGCTGACCATACCAATAAACCAAGATGCGTAAGTATCTTGGGACACCTCTTTGCAGCAGCTTCATTAATAGTTATATGGTTAACTCTATCAAATGCATGAATGCATCTATGATGCACATAGAGACTAAGGACTTCTGGTTTCTGTATTTGGTCACCATCTCCTTTAGAGCACATACACATGTCTGTACCAAGCTCAGACTTTAAGCCAAACTGATTATCTGTGATTTTTAACCCTCTCAGGTTCAAAATAAGTTTTGACAAAAGGACGAACTACTAATTCCTTCAGGGGTACTTCTGAGTTAAAAAATGCTCATGAAATACGTATGTGGAGTCACCAGGTAGGTAGTTTTTAATGTTGTAAATCTGCAACGCCTTCCTCCAGAGGGTTAAGGTGTTGTTAATTATTTCCAGCAGAATTCTTTCCAAGGCTTTAGAGAATATGCTAGCAGGAGCAATGGGCCTATAGTTATCCAGGTTACCATCTCCCACCCTTGTATTTCATCACTGGGACCAACAGAGCAGCTAGGATTGGATCAGGCCAACATCCATGTACAAGAAAAGCATAATTCAATTCAATTCAAAAATACTTTATTAATCCCAGAGGGAAATTGAAGGGTATATAGCAAGGAGTGGTGCTAATCTACTGCTTGCATACTTTAGCTGTTCGGCAAGTACGCCATCCAACCCAGTGGCTTTATTATTAGACAGTTTAGTAATGGCTCGATGGACCTCATGTGACATGGTTTCATCTATACTTTCACTTTTATCCATTATGTAAGGTTCACTTGTACACAATTAAACAATTCATAATAATGTTGTCTCCACTACTTTAAGATAATTTCAGTTCCTGGGAGCCCATCAAACACACAGGGTGTGGGTGTTTTTCTTCCTGTAGTGTCTCACTTCTTTCCAGAAGTTTTTTGCATTGTAATTGAGGAGTTTCAGAGCCAGAGACTCAGCTCTCATAGCTCGATCATTTTTACTAATAAAACGCACTGCATATTTGTATTTTCCATTTGTAGTCCTTTGACACTCAAACACAGACCTATGTCTAGGTCTCCCCACAAGCGCCCACTCTTTTGAGGCCTCACGTCCTTCAGCATGATACTCAGACACAAGTCAGCAGGAGGAGAAAGTAGCATCAGACGGCAGGTTTTGGACACTTATTTCCAGATATTTGGAAATCTCACCTCAGATTGTTAAACAGCAGTGAAACTCTTCGACTGACTGCGCTTACTATTCAACGATGATTATTTATCTCCACAAATAACACAATCCTGAAAGAGTTGGAATAGCTAATGCTAACAGTTATCGTCTGCTAGTCGAGACATTTCCTGTTTCCTGGAAGCGAAACCAACAACTTCCTTCCCCGTCGCAAGTTAAGATGGGTGAGTCCATGAATGTTAAGTGACAGTGTGACGTAGATCTGTTGGGATTTTCAAATCCTTGAGTTTCACCTTCTATTTTCCATCAGAATCTGATGCAGGAGATAGGTGTAAGAGACTATTTTCATGTTCAACCTGCATGAAAAACTCAGAGTGATTGATTATAATCAGAAACAATCATTAAAAATGTTTTTTCTGTGTTTCGCACCTTTGGAAACATTCAATAGATTTTTTATTTAATTGATTTTAGGTTGAACAGAAAAAAACTCTCAATAACAAATGATCTGCTGTCAGTTAATTTGCGGGATTATAACCTAATTTCAGCAAGATTGCACAGTAAGTTTAGAAAAGAAAACTTTGTTCTGATTTTTGAACGTATCAAACTCGTAAGATGGTTTGGCGAGGTGTTAGTGTTTCCTGAGAGTTTAAAATAAGGTAAATGCACTTCAGATAACCGCTGACCCGTGTCACCCTGGACACACTCGTTTTGACTCGCTCCCATCAGGCTGGAGGCTCAGATCCATTTGGACCAGAAACTCTCACCACAAGAATGTTTCTTCCTCTCTGCTGCTGAACTTGTGAAAAACAATCCAAGGTCTGCCAACTCCAGTCACTTGGTTTCAGTCACATGACCCTGTGTTGCGTTTGTACCTGAACTGTTCTTCTCTGATTAGTACCTATACACTGTCTTGTATATAGTAGCCATTTTTCTAATTATTTCCAATTTATATTATTATTTTACCATGACTATATTCTTCCTATATTTACTTATCTCTATATTAATCTTTCTTTTTGCACCAAGTACCAAGTAGCAATTTCCTAATGTTGTGATTTCTCACACATATGGCAATTAAACCCTTCTGATTCTGAACTTCTTTTGTTATATTTTGTTTCTTCTCTAACCCAAGAGGCTTTTTCAGCACTAAAACTTGGGTTGGAAGTAGGAGGCTGTAATCAGAAACCATCAACTAATGAGGCCATCAAGGTCACAAGTCTCTGGTCATAACCTCAATTGAGTGATTTCACTCCTCTCTAAAACCCTCCCTCTCCCCTGTCCAAATTGTGTACATCACGGTCTCCTAAGTAGTGACCTTTGTCCTAGCCTTTTTCCTAGAGATGCAAAGGATGCCTCTGTTGGTGCTGCTGCCCCCGCAACCAAGACCCAGCTATGCAGAGGAAATGGACGGACATAAAATTCATATAGATATTTCTAAAACTACTACTGTGCTATCGCCCCTCACTACAAGATGATTTGTATATATTTATACACATTTATATTTTATAGACTCACCTGTTCCGTACATATCTCATGAAATCCTGGTGCAGGACATAGAAGCGACTCATGTTGTATTGTCCTGAGTAGTAAGCTCTGGGACTGAAAGGTCAAGATGTACACACATGGATCAATGGCTATGAAGGGATGGTCTATTCACATCTCCATATAAATTGTCTGGCCTGCTACATACTTAGTCACTACTTATTTCTTTAAATGCATATTCAAAATATTCTGAAATGATATTTACTTTTCGTTTTGAAAATCACTATCAGAGATTTTTTCTCCTTTAATAAGAGCCTTGAGCCAATGGAAGTCCCTCAAACCCTCAGGAATCAGGACATACTTTATTCCCTGTCAAAGAACAAAAAGGTAAAGGCTTTTTTACATTGCATGGAGAGAACTTTAAACAAATTCACAGTTTTAAAGTACCTCATCATGTGGAGCAGACCTGTATCCATATGGGCTGAAGATAATAGGTGATTGTGTGATTGAGAAGGATGTATGAACATATACTGAGGTCTTGTTTCCTACATCTTCCTCATAACCCTTGATCACTGCTGCGTTCATCCTGTCACAAAAAATCAGATCTATAATTACATTTTCATTAAAATCATTTATGTGACCAATTTAGAACCACTTTAGATTTTATTTAAAGTGAGTATGTATTTACAGTAGTCTACAGTCAGCGTGAAATCAGTTTGTAAAATCTGGGGACAATTTTCAGACAAACTAACATCTTGAAGGTTTTATTGTAATGTATTGATTTTCTATCAGATGGACATTAAAACTTGGGACTGTCAAAGGTAATGGTGACATGCAATGCAAATCTCACTTTCCATTCTTATGTGTCTTCATATGGGTCTCTACTCTCTAGTTTTGTGATCTGCATGCAGACAAAAAAAGTCCAAGGTGATCAGTAAACATTGCGTGGTGGTATGTATGCCACACAAAAACACAACACAGCACAACAACGGTGGTGATCTTGAACATTCTCCTCAGTCTCTGGCTTTTTGTTAGACTTGGAACCAGGAAGGGGCTGCAGGCAACAAGGAAGTAGGCCAAAAGCTTTGGAACAACCAGTGACTCCACCTTCCAGCCAATGAATGATCAACAGTTGCATTTCCAGAGTGGCAGAGCATGCTCTGCACCACAATGAAGCAGGTACTCAATAGTTGGGGGAAAATACAGTCAAACCGAACTGCACCCATCCAAGTCACGGTGAGCAGTGCTGTTGGAAAACCCCTAATGGACATCTAATGGAGCTTAAAAGAGATGTGCAGTTGGATGTCATATACGTAAAGATGGTAAGATATTGCTTTAAAGGGAAACTAGGCAGTTTTGACTAGTGTCTGTGCATTCATCGTTTTAAGACCTTAAACTGTCTCCCAGCCTTCATTAATTTCTACAGGAGTGATTCATCATTAAATTAAACAAATACGCTTTGTTCATGTACACATGCAGGAAACATGCTGGAGCCAGACTGCAGCTCCAGGTATGTCAGCTCAAAATTTTCTAAGTCCCAAAAGAGAGGCTAAAGTTGCAAGTGGAATATTCTGGCCACAGGGTGCAATAGGAGCGTGGTGGCTTTTCAGTAACCTTGTAAAGGGTAATTTTTGCACACATTGATTCAAGAAAATTATTAAAAAATATGAAAAAGTTGCAAAGTATCCCTTTAAAAAGCCCAGGATGTGGTGGAGAGGAAGCAGATAAAGGGGAAACAGTGGAGGCTCTAGCACAGAAACTTGTGGGACACCATGGGTGGCAGGGGAGGGCCGAAACTTGGAGATGGCCACAGAGAAAGAACACTCACACAGGTTGAGAGGAAAACCACTCCAGTACAGTTCCTGATAAGCCAACCCAGTCTCTCAGCCTATCCAGTAGCAGGTGATATGCTGTGTCTGAATCCATGCTTGTGAGGACACATTTTGGGGCCAATGACATAACAGCAAAGAGACGACAGTTGTCAGAATTTGAAGGATACTCATCCTTGCATCCTCAAATGCATCCTTGTTCCACTCAAACTTTGAGGATGGGTCTCGTGTACTCTCACCAGCAAAGGCTATCCCAGAATGCTTTTCGCGCCAGCCATTGGATTTTAAAACAGGAAAGAGAAACAGGAGAGCAGCAAAGTTTTAAACGTAAGTTTGCAGAAAAATAGCTTTAGAAAACTAAAAAGCTTAAAGTGGTTCTGTTTATAGGCATTTTTCATTTTTATATTTATTTTTTTAATGACATTTTAGGGAGAAATCACACATGCTGGAATCAATGGACCCAAAAGCCCTTTTAAACTATGATGGGGGTATGTCGAAGGGGCACACAGAGAGAGTTTGGTTAGCTCAGGTAGAGAAAGAGGAGCAAAACTATGTGGAATGACAGGCTGGGTTGGAGTTGGAATAGGCAGAGCGAAAGCTGAAGAAATACTAGATCTAATCAAGACTTTATTAAAAAGATAGGCAAACCCTGTCCCAGCTTTCTGTGTTTTTTTAAAGCTAAATGGACGGTTCTGATCGCCGCCATCTTGGCTGTACCACATGTCTCGTCATGCCCAGACAATCCACAAATGGGAAAAGAGGTGAAACTGAGAGTAGGGCTGTGAGGGTGGGAGCAAAGAATTGACACCCATTAACTCTGAACCAATGTAGCAATGTGCTAACCTTAAGCTATCACGGAGCTTGGAGCCAATGAGGGTAGCTACGAACTACCTGAGCAAATCCAGTGCTAACCCAAAGCTAACGGAGGTTTTCTGGCACTTTTAGCCAGAAAAACACAGTTGAGCAACTCAAAAGTGAAGCATGCATTACTGATACAAAAGAACTTTTGCACCATAATCTACTTAATTTAATGGAGCGTAATGATATTTATTACTCGTGTTTGTACTCCATACTCAAATGTAAGTACTTGTACTTAGTTAGAAAAATATTTGGTGTTGGTGTATTCCTATTGAGTATTGAGGATTTGTTTGTGTATTTAGATCATAAACAGATTTGTTCAACCACAAATAGTACTGGTGCTGAGATCTAATGTTGGAATAATAAAATCAATGTCATATGATCTTGCGTTTCTCTGAGCTGGATTGCAAGTCTTTGTGCAATTCTGGTTCATATAAAGAAGCTTGCTTGAGCGTGCTCAGCTTTCTTCATTGTTCCACCACTAAACCACACACACAAGCTAAACTGCATTCTCCTACTCTGGTGTCCACACCTCAACACAAGAGTGATGCTGCTAATGGAATGAGCAAACCAGACGTAATCTCTGAAACATCTGTCTCTAATATAATGACTTTGTTTTTACAACGTTTTCACAAATGTAACAAGTGCCCTCACATGAAAGTCTGTTTATAAATATCTGCAAATTATTTCACACCGAGTGAATCTAAACACGCCGATGATGCTGGGTGTTTGATTACTGTCAGTATATTACCCATATGTCAATGAGGGTGCAACAATAAACAACACAGGAGTTTCTTTTGGCTACAACTGCACCAAACAATTACAATGATAGTGTGAGACTAATAGTAACTAATTCAATTCAATTCAAAATACTTTATTAATCCCAGAGGGAAATTGATTGCTTTAGTAGCTCAGAATAATAATAATAATAAATTCATCAAAGAGTTATGGTATATTACAATGGCTGTTGGCAGGAAGGATCTCCAGTAGCGGTCAGTGTTGCATCGAAACTGAAGAAGCCTCTGACTGAAGACACTCTTCCGTTGTCGGACAGTCTTGTGAAGAGAATGCTCAGGGTTGTCCAGAATTTTTTTGATTCTCTGGAGAATCCTTCTTTGCATTATCTCCTCCAGTGGTTCCACAGTCTGCCCCAGAACAGAACCAGCCTTTTTTATTAGGCTGTTTAGCCTTTTCAGGTCCCTGCTTCTGATGCTGCTACCCCAACAGACGACGGCTGAAGAGATTACACTCTCAACAACAGACTGGTAGAAGATGTGCAGCATCTTGCTACAGACATTGAAGGACCTAAAGCATCCTCAAGAAGTGCAGTCGGCTGTGTCCCTTCTTGTAAACGACTTCGCTGTTCTTTCTCCAGTCCAGTCTGTTGTCCAGGTGAACTCCAAGGTATTTGTATTCCTCAACCACCTCCACTTCTTCTCCCATGATGGAAACAGTGTTTGACTCCACCCTGTTTCTTCTGAAGTCTAAAATCATCTCCTTTGTTTTGTTCACATTCAAGATCAGATGATTGTTTCCACACCATGCCACAAAGCGCTCCACCAGCTCTCTGTACTCAGCTTCCTGTCCATCTCTGATACACCCGACAACTGCAGAGTCATCTGAGTATTTCTGTAGATGACAGGTCTCTGATTTGTACTGGAAGTCTGAGGTGTACAGGGTGAAAAGGAATGGTGAGAGTACAGTAGTGGTGTGCATCTCTACCTGCCTCACGATTCGATCCGATTCCGATTATCTGCCTAACGATTCGATTTGAGTCTGAAATGCATCACGATTCTTCACACAAAAATTTTCATTACTTAATAAAAGCAGTAGAATAGTTTTCAATTTCTTTTTGAAATCCCTGAAAAACAGAACATTCATCTATTCACTATAGTGAGCAATAATGTTTAAAGTGTGCTGCCTATAATTACTTAAATAATTCAAGAAATAATGTTTTCGGTAGAGCAGCTTTAAGATAGAATATTACTGAACTTAAAAATAGTAAACAAATACTGTGTTAAGTGATTCTTTCACATCCAGGATCCCAAAACAGAAATTAGCCCAGACATCCGATTTAAATGTAACGGGTACATCTTTGATTACTGGTAATGTTGGCCCTGTATCCCTGTCCAATTGCTTCTAGGACAACACAGTGCGCATGTCATTGCAACTCTGCCCCAGAAGTAATACCTCAAAATTTTGTTGTCCTCGCATAGACATAGACCAGGGGTCGGCAACCTGTTCCCATCAAAGAGCCATTATTACCCATTTCCCACAGTAAAGAAAACACCGCAGCAGCCGCGGCGTTGTGGGCGGGGCCTACCCTCAGACAGCAGCCGGTACCGGTCGGTCGCTCGTGTACGTCAAAGTTATCTTTCATAAGAAGATAATCAATAAAACGATTTATATAAAGTGGATCCAGAAGTTGTAGCCCGTCTCTGCCTACAGTATTTTGATATTTTTCACCCTGTTGGTGGTTTTACTGAGCAGGTGTCACTTTTGTCATACGTTTCTTTTTAAAACATGTTTAGACTGTTCAGAATACAAATCCAGGCTCTGTCACGTTTGATTGTTGTAATTAAACTTTGTAGGTGGGGAAGGTCAGAAAAGGATCCGATCATTTTGTTTTTCCCTCATTTACAGTGACGGAGACAACGGTGCAGTGCTCCTGGCTTTGGTGTTAATCAAGTTAAATTTAACTATTTTCACAAGAAAACAAAACAGTTAAAACCAGGGCTTGTGTTGTGTTGACCGGATAGTTCCCGTTTTTGACTATTTATTTTGACGGAGAAAGAACAGAAAGAATTACCCCGACGCATGCAGACGAACTGACATTTTATTCGTTTTGCGCAGATGTAGCTAAATCGCTCAAGAAAAGATTCCCATCTGAGCTGGACACGGAGCTCAGCGCGGCTTGCTGTCAGCGCGTACGTACGGCGCACAGTGAGCTGAAGATGTGGAGAGGGGCTTGGAGCACGTCGCAGAACCAGGGCGCATGCAGGACGATTCCTCCGACTGAAGCGAGTCTTGTCACTTAGAAAATGCTCCCTGATTATGAAACTTTGGCTGAATAGCACTTGTTCCTGTCTCCAATGTGGCAACACATCCAGGAGCCTGTCTGAGGAGAATCCCAGAATCTCACATCCTCGTCAGCTCAGAACACGCATATGATTACGCACAAGCGTGACGCGTCTACCCGGTCTCACAGTAAGACCGGGTTGGAACTGTTCAGGTTTACGCAGACAATCTTTACATTTAGAATTGGCATACAGATGCAAAATTAATGCAGTAAAATATAAAGCATTTTATTTAAATATCCATTCATTATTTTACAAGCACAGAGAGCCGCATCAGATGGATGGAAGAGCTGCATGCGTCTCCAGAGCCGCGGTTGCCGACCCCCGACATAGACATAGGGAGAGAATCTCATTATGTCACGTTGCTGCATCGATGCGGAATCGTGCACGGCTGAATCGCGATGCATCTTAGAATCGATCATTTTTCCCACCTCTAGAGTACAGTCCCCTGTGGTGCTCCAATGTTAATGATCACCTGGTTTGATGTGCATTTCTTCAGCCTCACAAACTGTGGTCTGTTTGTCAGGTAGTCTTTAATCCAGGTGATAGTTGAGGCCCCCACCTGTGTCTTCTGGAGTTTCTGGCAAAGTACATCAGGCTGAATTGTGTTAAATGCACTGGAGAAATCAAAGAACATGACCCTCACAGTGCTGCCTGCTTTGTCCAGATGACAGTGGATTGGTTGAAGCAGCTGGATGATGGCATGTTCAACTCCAACTCCATGGTGATAAGCAAACTGCAGCGGGTCCTGATATGTTCCAGTTTGCTTATTCAGGCCAACAGGAGTCTCTCCAGGACCTTCATGATGTGGGATGTGAGGGCAACCGGTCTGTAGTCGTCATTGACTGATGGGCGAGTTTTCTTTGGAACTGGAACAAGGCAGGATGTCTTCCACAGGACTGGAACCTTCTCCTAAGCCAGGCTGAGGTTGAAGAGGTGCTGCAGAATCCCACAGAGCTGCTCTGCACAGGCCTTCAGTACCCTGGGGCTGACACCATCTGGACCTGCAGCCTTGTTCCTGTTCAGTCTCTCCAGCTGCCTCTTCACCTGACTTCTAGAGACAGATAGGTGGGAGGAGGTGGTAAATGGGGCAGCAGCATCTCCTGACTTGGTTGAAGACAGATCTATAGAACCAGACGAGTCCATGACTGCGTTAGAGGACAAAAGAGCTGGTGTGTGACAGGAAAATGTTGGATCAGAGGAGGAGGGATGTCTGATTGGCTGGGGACAGGCGAGGAGGACGCTGGGTTTGTTTCTGAACTAAACCTATTGAAGAACTTCTTCAGTTCATTGGCTGTGTCCAGGCTGCCATCTGTGCAATCCTTCCTCTGCTTGAAGCCTGTGATCTTCTTCATCCCTGACCAGACATCTCTGATATTGTTCCTCTGTAGTTTGTTCTCCAGCTTCTTCCTGTATGCCTCCTTGATGTCTCTGATCTTGATCTTCAGTTGCTTCTGTATACTCCTCAATAATTCCCTGTCTCCCTCCTTGAAGGCTCTTTTTTTCCTCATTTATTTTTCTCTTTCCCCATTACAAAGTTTGAGTTTCTAAATTGGACCATTCCTACCTGTTGGTGTTTTTTTAATCTGAAAAGGCATCACATATTTCAAGAATGGGGTAAAAAAAAAGAGCGCATAAGGAATTCAGTCTGTCACTGGCTAACTGCTCAGAAACGCAACCCAAGAAGAACTAATGACTGCTGTCAAAGTACTATACTCCACTCTCTGTGACGTTAAGGCACATACACCCAAAACTAAAACGCACTGCTCCTCAGATTAAACTTGACAAGAGTTTGGTGAAAAAAAAATAAATAAATAAAAAACACTCATTTCATCCCAGGCTTTTACTTGCTCTCAGAAAGGATGCTTGCAGTTAGCAAGAAGCCATGTTCTAAAAAGCAGCTAGATGATGCTTGGATGAATATGAAAGAGCTCATAATGCCCAATTCTAACTAGGGTTGTAAAACATTTCAAGTTTGCCCTAAACTAGAACTACAAGACTGAACAACAAGCTCGACATCACCCAAACCAAAAAGTTTTAATGATTTTCTTTGACAGACTAATAAATAAAAACCTTAAAAATCTGAGGGACCAAAATGACCAACCTCTAATTTATCATCTCAATTAAAAAATCTTCAAGATCATCAAGACACTGGTAGGTTGTATAGTTATATAGTTGAGTTTCATAGAATTGATTAATAATTCTTAACGTTTGCCAAAAAGGTTTCAAGAACTAACCCAAAGCTTCACCAAAGTAATAGATCCTGTGTCAGTTTGATTCATGTCTGAGAGGAAAACGAAAGCAGCTACATTTAAAAACCACCACTGTGCAAAGAAGTAGTTTGGACGTCCTACAGACGTGGTCTGGACCAACAGACTCAATATAGACATCATCTGCACGTCCATGCGACGTTGACTGTTTACAGGGACAAAGAGCAGAAAAATTAATAATAATGATTAATAATTAATACTATTCTACAAACTGTCTATTTTGTCATTACTGTGTTTTTTATATAGCTGATTTAATCATGTTTCATTTGGAAGTTTTTATCATGTTTCTTGTGACCTTGAGTTTTGAAAGGCATCATCATCATCATTATCATCATTATTATTATTATTGTTATTATAATTGGGACAGCGGCAGCTCAGAAGGTAGAGCGGGTTGTCCAGTAATCAAAAGGTTGCGGGTTCGATCCCGGCCCCGACCAGAGACTGCTGCTGTTGTGTCCTTGAAACTTAACCCACCTTGCCTGCTGGTGGTGGTTGGAGAGACCGGTGGCGCCTGTGTATGGCAGGCCTCGCCTCTGTTAGTGCACCGCAGGGCTGCTGTGGCTACATTGTGAATGAGTGTGTGAATGAGTGAATGACTGTGTTGTGAAGCACCTTAGGGGGTTGTAGAAGGCACTACAAATACAGGCAATTTACCATTATTAATAATAATTTGGTTAAAACTGATACAGACAGAAACAGAAACATATTGTGTAATTCTTCAGGTGTGTGTCATCAAATACCTTCCCCACCCAATATTAAATATAGCCTTTAATAGGCTGTGCAACGTCATAGAAAACATCCCCACATCAACTATTTAGCTACGCTCAATGCCAAGTGCTCTTACACTGATAGAGTTGACCAAATTGCTTTCAGTGATCAGTTTAAAATTCCCCCCACGCATGACAAACTCAACCAACAGGTTAGTTTTACTTTTCCTCCTTCTTACCGGAAAACATAATCATGAGCGTCAATTTCTGCTCCCATTTTTGAGCCGTAGAGGATTCCTCCAGATCCCACCACAGCACAGTGCACACATCCATCACCGCCCGGTTTAGGAAGCAAAAGTGGTTGTATTGGCTTTGGAATCAGCTTCACCGCTGACCAAACTTCTGTAGAAATAAAACAACTAATCAGCATGTTTATTTAGCGGTTGCTTTAGTACTTTGCCATTATTGGATGGACAGATTGCCGGTTGCCAGATCTGGGTGTGTGAGTTTCTTATGTTTGTGAGGCAAGTTAAAACATGTTTGATGTTTACACACTTAAAGGAAAGTTATAAACAGAACAGCTAGAGTTTGTATTCACTTCATTTTATCTGCAATATTAGATTTATTTTTAGTAGCAAAATATTTCACCAACTCTGGTAAAAAAAGCTAAACTTAAATTATCAAAAGCACAAAAAAGTGCATTTCATACATTTGCCAAAATGATTCAACAGTTTCGCAACTGCTGCATTAAAGAAGGAATTAAAGACTGTCTGCTGTTCCCACAGAGTTTTAAATAGTATTTATTCAAATACCCACCGTCGTATTTCATTTGCATAAAACCAAACGGGTTGTTAAAATGTGAAAGCCGGTTCCACTCTTTCATGTTGAAGTTGTATCTGTGCATAAACAGGCGTATGTTTGGAAGAAAAGCTTTCTGGAAGACCTCATCCTTGGATTTACGCAGAGACTGAGGACATGTCTGGAAACATACGACAACTCAAACATTATTTTATTTTAGCTAAAAATCATATATATAAAGTCTAGGTTTGATCAGCTAAATGAAAAACGACAACAAATGCAGATTATAATAAACACAAAAATGAACATAAAGTTAAAAACGTTTTAAAGGTCTTGTCCTGTCTGGTCATCAAACACTTACATTGGGTTTAGGTGGAGAATCCTGGTTATATATATCATCAAAGTCCCACTGCGGGAGCCTTTGGAAAGCTTTTAGAGACAACATGGGAATAGGGGTGTCTTCAGGAGAACTTTTAGGCTTCGTCACAAAGTCCCTTCCACTCGTTACGTCTGTTTTTGTATTCTGTGGCGATGTAGACGACTCTCTTTTGTTGTGCCAAAATTCAACAATTTCAAACAACATGTTCTTTCCTCTGAATCTCCCATGTCCTGAGAGGTATGCCAAGCTGCATTTTCAATTTAAAAACAGAAATAAAGTCATTCACCCTTTCTCAATCACAGCTAACCGAGTTACAGCGTAAAGCAAACATTTAAAAGCTCCCATTTAATAACTTCTTTGTCAGTAATTACAAAAACGTACCTGTTTACTGGTAATTCCTCCTGGTATAGAACCACAAAAAATATGCTGAGTAAAATCACCAGCAACAAAGAAAAAATCCCTACTTTTAGCTTTGCCATTTGAAAAGGAGAAGCTCAGCACCACGGTTTGACACCAACTGACAGGTTACGAGTCGGTGTTCCAGGTACTTTAAACAGGTAATGCCTGAAACGCCAGCCACAGGGTTAGCTCAGAGATAATGGAGCGATCCGCAGCTGGAGCTTAGTAATCACAAGTGAGTGGGCAGGGCTACAGCACTCATTTCTAGGCATAAAAGACATGTGACGGAAAACCACAACACACACACACACACAGTTTCAAAATGTTTTGGTTTATTACACAGGAAAGGAAATATAATTCAGATGTAACTAGACAACACTCCTTTATTCCTTTTCCAGTCATTTTTGCATCACTACCTGTGGCAAGTGTGGGGATACATCATGGATGTGACCAAACATTTTAAAACACCAAATGAGCAGCTGCTGTGATAGAGGACACGGTAGCTGCTGAATACTGCAAACAGATTTATTTTAAATAACTGGCATAAAGTTCTGGATAAAAAAAAACACTGGAGATGGAGGAAGGTCAGATGGAGTAGAGTCGGAGCTGATCCTCTAAGTCTCCCTCAGATATGTCCCCAAATGTCTCCTTGTTGTCTTTCAAAAGCTGGAAGATGGCGGCCAGCTGCTCATGCTGGACCCTGTAGCAACAAAAATGTGTAAAAAATGCAATGGAATTAGTTTATATAGAAAGTCAAACGAATGACTCCTTCTAATATGGAAAATATTACTTTTATATAAAAAATAAAGCTTTTCTTACAGCCAAAAGATACAAACTCTCACATTAGACAAAGATATTGAAAAATAAAAAAATAAAAACAAATTGATCAAAAATGGAAATGACACATAAAGTTATATAAATCATTAAACAGATAACAAACCTCCAGCTGTTTCTTTGACCCTACTGAATGGCCTCTGTTTGGTGAAACAGCTAATGAATCAGAAAACAGCTCCACACCTTCACAGAGGTCCATAACCCTTCATTTATGCATGTGAAGAATGGTGTGACTATTTATAGGAAAATATGTGGTTACAAGTGTAAATACCAGCAGCAGCAGTAAACAAAACACGTTTTCAGAGGCATCCAGGGTCAAGGACTGAAGGCATTTTTAGATATATTCTACTAAAATATGTTAATATTTATAATAGAAACATTTGAATAAACTCTGTGACGTTGAGAATATTAAAGTTACTTACAGACCAGTTCTAAAGCAGAGTTATAGTGTTAAAATAAATTTTATAACTTTGTTCCATTATCTTATACCTTCATTGCCAGCTCTGCATTACACGGCTATCTTGACAGAAATATTTTTAGAACCTACCATGTTTGACCCCTGGATGGACCGGTTGATGGTGATCTTTATCAATAATCAGAGAATTCTATGTAGCAAATTTGCAATGCAAAACTTGACACTGGTGTAAAAGTTTATAAGTAACATTCACATGAGAAACTATGAAATTTAGAAGGTAGGATCTGTTTGCAGACAGCAAACAAACGCTTTGGTCTTGTCGGCACGTACTGTCCTTGAAGCCCTCAGCTTGGCGTTTTCAGTGGACCCCGGCTACGGTGGGGCTTCAACAGGTTTTAAGAGGAAGAAGATGTCAGTGTGACATGTTGCCAAACTACTTCGTTTCTGTTGTTTCAACCCCATTTAAACTACTGTGCTCTAACAGACAGACCAGGGCTGGGTGGATTTGTTTACACAGAAGGTGAGCCAAAAGCAAATATAGCACAAAATCCTCTGATTTATCGCGTTGCCTGGTTACAAATGCACACATGAATCAAAAAAAGGAATGTGAAGAATCTACGTGTTGCAATCAGAGTCAGTGTTGGGAACTCTGTGTGGCTGATTAATAGGAACAGACTTCAGAGGCGAGACTCTTTAACAAACATCCACGTTTTAAGGAAGATTAACCACTTAATGGTCTGTTTGTCACAACTTTACATCAAACCTCTTCTGGCCAGCCAGAGGACAACCAGTCCTACATGTCTACTGCCCTCTGGTGGAGGGTTACAGGTTACAAGTGCCAGTCGTTTTTTATTTATAAAATTAGGCCAAATTGTGAGAAATTTATATAAAGAGAACATTTTTATTTATGTCGTAAGTACACTGAAATGCATCACATACTGTCCTTCACCAGAAATTCAGGAAATAACTAAACTTGCCGCAGACTCAACACAGAACCTGGTCAACAAGTCCCAGTAAATCCACCGCTGTGCTTCACTGAAACTGCTCAGTGATCGTGTAATCTCTTTAAAAACTATAAAAAGATCCATCATCAGGACATGCATAAGTGATGTTGACTTTTGCAGGTGTACATGATCTGCAATGGTTGATGCGATCCAGTGAAACTACAAAAAAAAATGTAAATTTCTTTGATCTATTCTAAGAAATCAGTAAATGTAGAAAGCAATCTGTAATCTGGAGTATAGAACAAACTGCAGTGCTATAAGAACGTTTTAGCCACACTGCTGATTTACTCTGTTTCTGCAAGTTTTCTCACAATTAAATGTTTTCAGAACAGATTGTAGGTGGAACTCTCATGACTGAATCCATATGAAGAGACAAAATATTTTACCTTTTTTTATTATTCATCTAAAGTGTATTTTAATAAAAAGGCACACTAAGTTAATGTGCGAACATCCAGGTAATCCTAAAAGCTTCTTTGAAAGTTAGCTTTGGGTATTTTCTTTCAGTTTAACATTAAACAAAGGTTTCTCGTGCTTTCTGAATGAATTGTATAATTATGTGCAACACCAGTGGTTGATTTCATCCCACCCAGTTAAACCCATTCTGTGGTCTTTCATCCAACTGCTAAATATCCAGAAATCACATAGCTGATGATTGTAGTGCAGTTCCTAGTTTTCTACGTTCTCAAAGACTTAGACTGGAAATGGATTTTGTTTTGGCCGTTTGAGTTTGACAGCTGGATCAACCACTTCAGTCCAGTTTCATTTCCAGTCTTAAAGTAATCTGGCTCCCCCTTGTGGTGAAACAAAGACGTGTTCTCAAATAATTAACTAACACCTAGGGCACAATCAACACTTGCTGTCACGCACCTGAGGGGCTGGTGTCTAATGGGGAATGACTGAGCAGTAAAGGGAGAAAAGGTGGGATGAGATGAGCGACACTGCACTGTCGCATCAGTCGCTTCGTGGCCAAGTGAGAATAAGAAGCTGCTGAAGCAAATATCACCGCTGAAGTCAAGACTGTAGTTGCAAATTAGCTGAGAGTTTGTTTGTTTTTCCCTACAGTGGCCAGAAAGTGACTCTCTTGGGACAAACGGGTGAGCATAACTCATACTTTACCACAGATTTGTTCCTTTCTCAGGTTAATAGACAGTTTATTTCTGTGCTGGAGTTTCTCCTGCAATGATGCAATAAGAGCAGGACAAACAGAGACGAATGGATTTTTTTACCTGGAGTAGCCGTGCATTTTTACCTTCTGTATTTATTAGAGTGTGCTCTTAAATATCCTACTTTACTGTCAGACTGCTAATGCTTGGCAGAGATTCAATCTGGCCTTAGCCAGTCGCCTAAAGCTGAGCAGTGATAAAGCAGACGGTCACGGGAAACAGTGAGAGGGACAAAGGAGAAGGTGGGGGTGATGACACTGGACAACACTCATTTGGAATGGTTTGTGTAGATCTGTGATTAAAAAAGTATTCTGTGACAGATACTGAAGGAACAAATTAATTTATTTTCTGTTCCTTGTTCACACAAATCAACTAAAGAATCACAAAGTCGCCATGTTGTTAAAAATCGTCTACCTCAAAAAGTGTTCTTCATAAAAGAGAATTAACTTCTTTACATTTGTGTTTTTCTTTACTTTTTTACCAACCTCTGCTCTTCCTCCAGCTCCTCTTTGGACATCATCATCTCTAAATGGTGCGACCGCATCTTTCCAGGAACATACTTCAAGGAGTTATTTGCATCCGATTCCACCGTCTCTGCTGTTAAGGAAAAAAACATTTAATTTTTGAAGCTTTTATTTTGAAATGCAAAAATAAAGTGGTTATTTATTCTTAACTATTGAAGTCGTAAGTGGTTAACTATGCTCACCGTTGTTCCCCGGGCTCTCTGCGGCTCCTTCAGTCTGGGGGTAGGAGAAAGCACGTTTTAGGAGCTCCGTATCAGAGAGCCCAATGAACGACCTACGACCCCTCCCTGATGAGGCTTCAGATGATGAGTCTACCTCTAAACTGATGTCTCTGGATCCAGAACTGGGGACAGACAAGCTGGATGTGGAGGTGGAGTGCTCAACAACGTCTTCAGTGGGAGCATGGGGGTAATTCTGCTCCTGTCAGAGAATGATAAGCTTTTTTAAACCACCAGTGTCTTCTTCCTGACTTTTCAATTTTAAACTTCAGCACGTCATGTACATTTTATTCGATAGAAGTTTATCCTTCGGAAGCAAATTCTTTGTGGTTCAGGTTTTTCTGTTTGTTCCTGGCAACCCCCATGGTCCTTTATAAAAGGTAGAAAAAGGTTGGCCATAATGACCCAAGGTCAGACGAGGTGCCTTTACCAAAGGTGTGGATCATTGAAAAACAATTTTTTATAACTTTTTGATAATTAGTCACTCTGAGTTTTACATACAGGCTGAACATGAAAATAGTCTCCTACACCTATCTCCTGCATTAGCTCCTGATAGAAAATAAACGGTCAAACTCTAGGATTAGAAAATCCTGACAGATCTACGTCACACCGTCACTTAACAGTCATGGACTCACCCATCTTGACTCATGGCGAGAAAGATTGTAGTTGGTTTAGCATCCAGGAAACAGCAGAGAACGTCTCAGCAAGTACAAGCTAACCATTAGCATAAGCAACTGCACCACACAGCAGATCTCCTTTAAAAAGCAGCTGAAAACTCACTTGTTCAGGCTGGCCTTTGTACTCACTCTTTATTCTGCTCTCCCCACCTATTCCACCTTCCTCAGGATCCACTGATTTCCTGTCTCTCTCTTTCTTTACAATTTCTAATCACAATTGTCTATTTTTTGCTCATTTAAAATATATTTGTAACCATTTTCTAAATTCTTTTTAATTTTTACTTTTTTTTTGTTTTTGTGAAGCGCCTCATGATTTTTATCTTGAGAGGCGCTATAGAAAAGATATTTCTTCTTCTTCTTCTTCTTCAGACTTGTTATTTGTGGAGATAAAACATCAACGTTGCAGATTCAGTGGTAGAGTCACATTTCTGTTACCCAATCAGGGGTGAGATGTCCAAATATCAGGAAATAAAACTCCAAACGTTTTTATTTGTTTTTGAGTCATTCCTTTTATTATTTTGCTTTTCTACACCAGAATGTTTTTTATTTTTTAAATTAGACTCCAAATCCTGCCGTGTCAAGCTCAGTTGTGATGTGGCTCCCCTCTGGTTCCTGAAAATGGTGCACCAGAGCTACTTAAACATCAAACTGGGAATAAAAAAAAAACTCCTGCATGGAAGATCTGTTTGTGCTATTGTGATTTGGATCTTAGTGATTCATAGACTGAGAGAAAGATCGACTTTTTTCAATTGCTGCTTGGAAATGATGCTTCCACCAATGGTGCATTGTTTTTTGAGTCACCAAAGATTCAGCTGGTGATCAGAACTGGCCAATATTCTGGGAGATCATTGATTGGTCAGATATCTTTCGTCTACTCTGTGAATGCACTATCACCAAGAAGCAATTACAAAACTCAACACTCTTCCCAGTCCCTGAATTCATCATCATTAAAAGACAATTCACACCAATAATAGCAAATATTCCATGTGGAAAGTCATATATTGATCTTAATCTGAAATGGTAAAAAATAAATTGTATTTTGTTAATTATGGTTTTTAGAGATGAGTTGGTCTAAATCATAGGTTACCATTGAGCAAGGCCAAAATCATGTGGCCTATCAGTTCACAAATCCAGAGTTGGTGCATATCTGTAATAAAAATTAATTATCAGAGAATATAAATTGCATACGTGTGATTTTTCTGGGGTGATTGTTTATCTTCCTGGATTAAGATTGCCAAACAGCATCTAAAATTCTGACACTTTCACAAGCGTGTGAACTCACCATTGCTAAGTGCTCATTTGTGCTAGCAAAAAAGTCTTCATTTATATTTAACATTCAAAATAATTTTACAATGAGTCAAGAAGTGTGTGTGGAGGAGGTGTACTCTGATCATTGTAAATATTAGAGATGGTTTGAAAAGGTTAGAATTGGCATTGGCAGGAATCAGAAATCGGTATCGGTGTCAAAACTAGAATTGGTGCATTATTTTATTGTAATAAGTAATTTATTACAGGCTCCAAATACATTATCAAGAATATCAGTGGTGTTTATTTTGATGCACGTATCTAGACTGCAATAGCCACATGGTTCAGTTTGTGTTTATTGAAACTGTTTCTGAAGAGTACTTAACTCAGATTAGGACAGAATTATGTAACGTAAACACATCAGCAGAGCAAACACACACCTGAGTGACACAGATTAGAGGTTACCTACTGAAAGCACAGATTTGACCACATCCCAGTGATCGTGGGAGCTCCCGCTAATCTCGCTCCAGCTCTCCGCTTCCTTCTTCTTCTTCTCCTCGGCTACATGGCCGTTCTGCTTGGCCTCGGGCTTCTCTAATCCCCGGTGCTCAAAGTAACTCCGCGCGTTTGCAAAGTCCGCTGCAGGCGAGGAGCCGCTGAGCAGCGACGTGGCGACCACGACAGCCAGAAGCGTGAAGATGATGGCGGACAAAACAAAAGTCAGATCCATGTCGTCCCGCTCTGCCTTCACCGGAGCCTTCGTCTCACTCAACCATCTCGCTGCTTCTGCTAATCCTCGAACATCAGCGGTAACGGACAGCGTTTATGGGATCCAGCACAATCTGCTCTCCGATCCGCACGTCACATCCTCTGGTAACGCCCCCCTCCTCCCAGCCCTACAGGGCAGGACAGGTGGGCAGGCAACGTGCGCGGCTCCGCTCTCCCTGTGTCTTCAAGGAATAATCCCATAAACTCGGGACAAACTGCAGGACCCAAATGGTTTCTGACAGAACCCGTGGACTGGAGGTGCGAGCTGATAAAGTTCAAGCCGGTTTAGCGTCAGCTGAGGGGACAGTCCTCTCACCTGAGGAATTACAGGCACGAACAGATCCAAGCTGAGAGGAAAATAACCTGCAGACATCACTTCTACTCCCTTTGGTTCATTTATGATGCACAAATTCACAGGGGGATTAAACTATAATCGTATCAAGGATTTTAGGGGTTACATTTTGGAAAGCTCTAAGAAAAACGCAAATTATTAACTATGTGAGTGTGTAAGAATTCAAAGCTTTATTTAGAATATTCTTGCAACATGAATATGATTAACACTAATTTAGGTTTAAACGGAGACATTTGCTTAATATAAATGAACTCAATACTTAATATCTTCACGACTTGCTGCCTTCAGAAAACCAGAAACATCCAAAAGGACTCAACCCACCCTGCCAAACATCTCTTTAAACTTATTCCATCTGGCAAAACGATCCAGGACAATAAAAAACACCAGCTTTTATACAGGAGCCATCACTGACCTGAATACTGATGCTAGGAGGTCACTAACAGTGATTCTGTGGGACACTCAGTGCTCTACAGCACCTTAGCATTTAGCTCAGGGGTGTCAAACATGCGGCCCGCGGGCCGGATCCGGCCCGCAAGCTGGTTAAATCCGGCCCGCAAGATGGTTGTGTAAACTTTATTTTCATACTTTACAATGTAGAGTGAAAACAAACTTATCTTTGTGAGCAAGTTTTCTCTGTAATGAGTATAAATAAAACAAAGCTGCACTCAAGGCTCACACAAGAACTTGAATCACATTCTAAAGTTGGCCGCCACTCAGGATGTGACTTCTGATGTTGATGTGCTGGTGAAAGCTAAAAGATGAAAAGTAAAATGAGTCAAATATACTTTGAGTGCTGCATGAAACTGATCTTGCCATGTGATCTGTAAGCTCTTTGAATCACTAAGGAATGTTTTTTTTATTTGTTGATTTATTATTATTATTTTTTTTTTTTTTCAAATTTTCAAGTACACTTCTGGTGTTGTACTTGTACTACACTGTCCTCAGGCTCCAGCCTTGTTTCATATTGATTGTATTAAAACAAAGAAAACAATCTGAAGTTTTTTTTTAATTTACCGGTCCGGCCCACTTGGGACTAGATTTCCCTCAATGTGGCCCCTGAGCTAAAATGAGTTTGACACCCCTGATTTAGCTAGCTAATCCTGATACCTCAACATGTGACTGTTTCCATTCACTATCTGTTTACCTGTATTTCACTTTATATTAGATTGTCTTATTACCGTGTTTCCTTTTATACTCATATCTGTGCACCTTAAACTGACTGGGTTTGCAAAAGGTGTGTGTGTGTGTGTGTGTGTGTGTGTGTGTGTGTGTGTGTGTGTGTGTGTGTGTGTGTGTGCATGCATGATATCAATTTTAGCCTTGTTTATGTATTCTTTATTTAACCAGGAAGGTCCCATTGAGATTAAAAACCTCATTTTCAAGGCAGTGCTGGGAAAGAGACTGAAAAAATTACAGTTACATTTGTTTTAGCAACACATATATGTTATTTACAAAATTACAGAAGGCAGTTACAACACAGGGAATCTGTCTCAAGGGCTCTCAGTCTGGGTTTTAAATTGTCCTTATATTTTACTACATCCTTATGAGCTGTCTTTAGTGAGCGCAAAGACAACTTTGTTGTACACCTGTACAATGAAACAATCTTTTATCTTGAATTTCTGAAAATATCAGATATGTAATGGTAAATCTTAGGTGTGTTCTTGCTGTGTATTAGTTCTAATTCCATGCTGTAGTTCTTTTTAAAACACAGAAACGGTTTAGTTACCTGTTTTGTCGCTACGTTTCGCCGGCGGCTGCAGGCTTCCTCAGGCTGACGCTGATGGTGGCGCGTCACTTCCTTCTCCGTTTATCCGCGGGCAGCAGAGGACGTTGTCGCCCTCTACTGCCCGCTCTCCCCTCTCCGACGATGCAGTCCCATGCGCGGTCCAACGTATACACTCCGTCGTCCCTGTTCATGGTCCCACATCCACGTCTCCTTATCTCGATGGACATCAGAACACCCCACCATACACAAAATGTCAGTAATCAGAACACTATATCACCGAACAAACATATTAACAGAAGAAAGAGACCGTAAACAAGAGGACAAACACATACAACACGCTTTAAAGACCTGCGGATACCCGACATGGGCAATAAACAAAGGAAAACGGCAAACAAAAAGAAATTGTGAAATCTGGGTGTAAAAGAATTTGTTGTCTGTTATAAACTAGAATTGATTATTAATAAAACAGCATCAGACACTATCTGTTGTATCTACAAACCCTGGCGGAGACCCCCAACAGATCCGGACTGTCAGAAGTCGGGTGGACCTCACGGCACCGGGAGCCTGTAGATTAGCTCTGATATGACCCGTCCAGTCTTGAGATGTCTCCAGGTCACAACAGTAGCTGGAATGCTTCCATGCTGTAGTTCTTTTTTAAAACACAGAGCAGTTTTGTTTACCTGTTTTCCTGCTACGTTTCGTTTGCGGCTGCAAACTTCCTCAGGCTAACGCTGATGGTGGCGTCACTTCCTTCTCCGTTTATAGCGAGCAGCAGAGGACGTTGTCGCCCTCTGCTGCCCGCTCTCCCCTCTCCGACAATGCAGTCCCATGCGCGGCCCAACGTGTACACTCCGTCGTCCCTGTTCATGGTCCCACATCCACGTCTCCTTATCGCGATGGACATCAGAACACCCCACCATACACAAAATGTCAGTAATCAAAACACTATATCACCGAACAAACATAATAACAGAAGAAAGAGACTGTAAACAAGAGGACAAACACATACAACACGCTTTAAAGACCTGCGGATACCCGACATGGGCAAGAAACAAAGGAAAACCGCAAACAAAAACAGAAAGAAAAGAACAACCTAAGCAAACAACCAGAAACCCAGAAAGGCAAGAACCAAAACCAGTGATAACCCTACCATACATCAGAGGCATAACAGAAAAAATAAGAGCAACAATGAAAAAACACAACATAAACACACCAACAAAACCATACACAACAGTTAGAAACAGACTAGTACACCCAAAAGACAAAATATCAGCTGGACTTAAATGTGGAGTCATTTACGAAATCCCATGCAAACTCTGCAATAAAACATACATAGGAGAAACCGGACGCCAACTCAACACACGAACAATACAACATAGAAAGGAGTGCGAGAAAGAGGCAAATCGAAAACACACAAGAGCAGCAACAGAAGAAGCAGAAAGCACAATAAAGAAATCAGCCGTAACCGATCACTGCATAAGAGAAAACCATATAATGGACTGGGACAACACAAGGATCATAAACACCGAACAACAAAAATACAAAAGATGGATTAAAGAAGCTATCGAGATAAGGAGACGTGGATGTGGGACCATGAACAGGGACGACAGTGTACTCGTTGGGCCGCGCATGGGACTGCATCGTCGGAGAGGGGAGAGCGGGCAGTAGAGGGCGACAACGTCCTCTGCTGCCCGCGGATAAACGGAGAAGGAAGTGACACGCCACCATCGGCGTCAGCCTGAGGAAGCCTGCAGCCGCCGGTGAAACGTAGCGACAAAACAGGTAACAAAACCGTTTCTGTGTTTTAAAAAGAACGACAGCGTGCAATGGTAAATGGCCTGTATTTGATATAGCGCCTTCTAGAGTCATGGAACCCCTCAAGGTGCCTTTACAACACAATCAGTCATTCACCCATTCACACACACATTCACACACTGGTGGGGATGAGCTACGATGTAGCCACGGTGGCCCTGGGGCGCACTGACGGAGGTGAGGCTGCTGAGCACTGGCACCACCAGTCCCTCCGACCACCACCAGCAGGCAACGTGGGTTAAGTGTCTTGCCCAAGGACACAACGACAGCGACAGACTGAGCGGGGCTCGAACCTGCAACCTTCCGATCACGGGGCGAGCACTTAACTTCAGTGCCACTATCACCCCTGTAAATAACAGGTTCATTTCATTAGGTATTTTTATTTACTTTTACATATAATCAGAAAATTTAAATATGATGAAAGTCATTTAACATTCCTAATAAATAAAAACACACTTTGAAAAAAGTGTTTTCTCATCGTGGATTGGGCGATCAAGGTTTAAAATAAGTGGCTGAGAAAACCTTTGGGAGTGGCCTGCAAAACGGTGTCTCTTACACCGTCGGGAAAGTCACATAACACTGTAAAAGACGGCGTTTTTGACAGCACAAAACGCATCTTTTACACCGTTCTGAGGACGCTCTAGAAGTGTCTGCAGTTCGGCGTTCAATGACTAGATAAAACGTTGTTTTTGACAGCGCTCTGAAAGACTACATGAAGACGGCGTGCAATACGGCGTTCTGAAGGGATTTCTGCCACTTTTTTCGGCGTTTTAACATTAAAGACGGCGATCAAGATGCCGTTATATAACCAAACGTGCTCAAGGGTGGGCGAATTGTGATCCCTAAGGCTTGCGATACAGACCCCCCGGATGAGAGTCACACGTGCTAAACAAGCCCCCACAATGCGGGTCTGAAATTGAAGCCAATGCAGAAGTGAAATAAATTGCAGTTCGTCCTCATCCACTGGGGGCTGGTGTCAGAAGCGAGCAAATCCTCATCGATTCCCATGTTAAAAATACCAATTTCACAGCAGAAATAAACATGTTTACAGCCTGGTTCCAAAACATGTTTTAGGTTTAATTGATCTAGTTTATACTCATGACAACTCTGAGGGGGGTGATTTTTTTGTCACTCTTCTGTTTAAGTGTATTAGATGTCTAAAAGTCTGTATAATTAATGAGCATCAGACCCACGTGACCGCAGCATCAGACCCCTCGGTCTCGCCTGAAAATTGTTCCGCGATTTTAAGTCTGTGAACTTAGACCAGTAGTTGTAGCATTTTGGATATTATTGGTGCAATTGTTGGACAAAATGACTTGCTGTGGTATTAATTGCACTAATAGAGTGTCCAAGAAGTCTCCACTTCATTTTTTTCTGTAAGTAAAATTATATTTATGTATTTTAGGTCACTGCTGCTTTTGCACTAGCTGAGCTTATCAAAGTAGCTAGCTAACTACCATGTTAACATGTACTGTTTAACCATGAAATTTAGATGTAATACGGTAACATAATTAATAGGGCATATGTCGATGTGTGTAAATCCCTGTGCATTTAACATAAAAATGGGCTGAAAGATGACATGTTGACAATATGATATTTTATATATTCAGGGAGTGCAGAATTATTAGGCAAGTTGTATTTTTGAGGAATAATTTTATTATTGAACAACAACCATGTTCTCAATGAACCCAAAAATTTCAATATCAAAGCTGAATGTTTTTGGAAGTAGTTTTTAGTTTTAGCTATTTTAGCCAGGGTGCATGATCAGTAGGGATAATGACAGGACACTCACCCTGTCACATCTTCCCCTCTTTCCACAAGTGTGCCCGTGCTCCAGCGCAGGCTGCCACAAACTTCTAATCCATGGACTTACTTCACGTTACACAGTACTACATGGATCCTGCCAACAATGCCAAATGTGGCAAGGTGAAGAAACGAGTGCCCGGGCGTGAGTAGATCCCCAGACTCCCGGGTGAGAGTCACGCACGCTATCAGTCAATCAGGGCTCTTGTGGCCTCCTTTGAAAGGCTCACTAGGGCAGGTGCAATTAAGCTTCTGATTGCTGTTACTCCGTCAGGACGGGGTGACTACTCCCTCCCTTCCACAAGCTGAGGGGGGTGGTGGATCTTGGGCCATCTCCGTCTACCTTAAGTAGTGCATGAGAAGGGGCCACAACCATACCGGGCCAAGGGAGCCACCATGGCAGACTGGGATGGTGCTGGGACATCTGGAGTGCAAGCTGATGGCATTGATCTGCTGGACCAATAGCCGAAGGAATCGCTAAGCCCTTAACCCCGTAGGCCCATTCCTTCAAGTTCAGAGATGGTATGGCTCCAAAGTTTTATTTACAAAATGAAAGAATGTTTAATTTAAAACTACAGATTAAAAGAGGCATTAAATACAGTCCTTGTGGCTGTCATGGAGGTAGTCCTGTGAGTGGAGGAGTGTTGGTCGTCCACCTGAGCATTGATGGCCCACTTGGATCTGCCAAGCCACTCTCAGCTGTCGGCGGTTTTGGCCACAGCAGAGCTCCTCCAGCAGATCAATGCAATTAGTTCACACTCCAGATGTCCCAGCGCATCCTAACCTGCCACAATGGCTCCTTTGGCCCAGTATGCACCTCCGTTGTGACCCCTTCTCATGCACTACTTGGGGCAGATGGAGAAGGCCCAAGCTCTGCCACCACCACAGGTTGTGGAAGAAAAGGAGTAGTCACCCCGTGCTGATGGAGCAATCAGAAGCCTAAACAATGTACTTGCCCTGGTGAGCCTTTTAAAGGAGGCCACCAGGGCCTGGATTGGCTGGCTTCATAATCAAGGTAAAGAGGCAGAGGTAGAGTATTCACTCCACTCTGCCACAATTGGTTGAGTGTTAACATTTTCCAAGGGTATTCACACAAAATAAAAACATCTGGCTGTATTACTTAACCATAGCTGAGCCAATATGCACCAGATCAACTGCATACACCCCTCCCCAGATAAGTTAACCAAAACCTAGGTTGGAAAACTTTGAAACAAAGCATGCTCACCCACTTACAAGCAGTTGTCAACAGCCATAAATGGGTTATTAAATGACTATTATGTATCTTAAAATTGTAATTTAGTAAAAACACTAGTTTATCTAGAAATTTTGTTAGAATTTGTATCTTTGAAAGACAACTATACATCAAAACTTATAAACGTTGGAAGGGGATTCAGATGTTTGGGACCCTAACGGTAGGGCTGGACAATAATTCAATAACGACTGACAGAACAGAAATAAGTCTTACCCTTTCAAACCAAAACAGACAGCAATATGTTGCAAGGAGTGGCAGAGGAAACTGTCCTGTACGAAGGTTTACAGTAGTTCGCTGGCATGGTGATTTTTTTTGGGTTTTTACAATTCTGACAAAAAATAAAAATCAAGTTTGATAATACAACTTGTTTTATCCCAAACGCATAGTGAGGGTCTGCTCGGAACGCCTGGCAGGAGAACCTGTTAAGACTGTCTTCAACTCCCACCTCCGGTAGAGCTTTGACCACGTCCTGAGAGCAGTGGGGGACATTGACTCCGAGTGTGCCTTGTGTCACTCTGCGATTTTTGAGGCGGCTGTTGCTAGCTGTGGTCGCAAGGTGGCCGGTGCCAGTTGTGGTGGCAACCCCCATACCCGCTGATAGACACCAGAGGTTCGGGGAGCCGTAAGGCTGAAGAAGGCCCACAGGGCGTGGCTGGTCTGTGGATCTCCAGAGGCAGGAAACAGGTACTGGATAGCCAAGCGGGGTGCAGCAGTGGCACTTGCCAAGGCAAAATCTCGGGCGTGGGAGGAGTTTGGTGAGGTCATGGAGACTATCGATCGGCTCCAAAGAGGTTCTGGCAAACTGTCCGGCGCCTCAGGAGAGGAAGGCAACTGCCCATTTAGTCACTTCCAGGTATAAACTTGATGAAAAAAATAATAAAGGCATCCTCTGGATTCTGTCTTGTAATACTTTCTTAAATACGTGCTGCTCCATGCAAAAGCAGTAAAATACCCGACTCACTTTTCTCAAAGATGTTTATTAGCATTCACATAAAGCAATACAAGAGATTTGAAATTCACAAAAAAATGCAATACACATTTTTACCCCAAAAGCAGCCATTATTGCCCCTTAAACCTTTCCCAGGGGATCACAAGGGGACCCGTCTTCAAAGCCAGCAAAACCAGTTAACAGTGGGTAAGTCACAGAGGGGGAAACAGGAGAGACATGGGAGAGGAGGGAGAAAGAAAGAAAATTTGTACAGAACATGTAGGAAGAGAGGTCACGACACAGAAGAGGATGGTTGATCTGCAACACCTGTGAGCTTACAAACCAGCAAACGGCAGCGAAGGGTCGAGCCCCGGAACAGCTCCGGGCACTCAGCACCGCAACACGCCACACCATGTCACCACCGCACTGCACCGCATCTTAACAGCTAACCAGCATTACTCAACTGCTACACAACTGCGCCTAGTGCACAAAAGATACACAAGAAAGAGGGTTAGAGTCATAGGAAAGCAACTTTGACTAAACAGAGAAAATATAGAATTCACAGAAAGAAAATATGCTGCTGTGGTAGACAGGTCACAACTTAAATGGTGCTTATGTCAATGTACACTAAACCATCTTCCATGGAGAGGCAGCTGCACACACTGCTAACATTGAACGCATTGAACAAACTTTCAAAAGTTATTTTTTTTAATGTATAAGAAAAGGATCTCACTGAAGGCAACCTAGTTATTACAGAGAAATTTACAAAACAAAGAAAATGGATAATAGCTGAAAAACAGAAGACCCTCAACAAATCCCTTTCAACAAACTGCTTACAGATGTCACAGAACTTGTTTGGGCAGATTTAAGAACTAAAACAGGTAAAACATCCAATAACCTTTCGGTCTGCTTTCAGTGGTAACAATGGAGTCCTCTTGCTCATTCTCAGGCTGTTCCTGATGTCTTCCACAAAGGCTCAAAGCATCTGAGATCTGGAAGGAAAAACGGGATAAAGTTACTGGGAGCAAAAGCTGAAGTTTGTATAAATTCCTATCGCTGACCTGAAGGTCTAAATATGATTTTGTAATAAGCTTAGCCCTGATGCTAGCATTTAGAAAACTGGCCCTTTGTTAGTAATGTTTATTATAACTAACATTGACATTTGTGTATACATTTCTCATGGCCCAGCTCTCCCCAACACTAGCTCTAGCAAGAGTCTTACACTCTGGGCATATTTAAAAAACAAACCTCGGGGTCGTCTCCCTCTGTGAGAGGTGGAGGAAACCACAGGCACGGGTGGGAAAACTGCTCACTGCATCTGCCCGTGGTCCCCCGTGAACGTACCTCACCACACCAACATATACACCAACTGACAGCCCGAACCACCGCCATGACGACCTGCTCCATAGCAACCACCGTTGCCTGGGTGACCTGCTCCTTAGCAATTGCCATGGCTCTCAGCAACAAGGCAGGTCACATGGGCGGGTCACACACTAACTGCTCTCACACTGCAACACCCCCATCTCCTCCTCCTCTCTTTGCAAACAGGACTCAGCAGCTTGGAGGAAAGAATTCCACATTTAGGTGAACGGTTTGAGTGAGCATCCCACGTCCCAGCCACCCACATTCCTCCCAAACACACAGATGTGATCAAATCTAACAAATTATGGACCCAAATCTTCTGCTGCCAGTGTATGCTTTAAGAGTTAAAGCATACACCGAGCTTTAAACTTTAACATGCTCTAGTCTAAACTTTTTTCAGCATTCTGCAGAGGTTGTTGCTTCAAAATTAGCACACCAACTGCAGAACACAAACTCAATTAGTAATTTAAGGCATAACAGTAAAGAGTACTTAAAACAACCATTTCCCATGAATACCTTCATCTTGCGTCCAGGCTTTGGTTAAGACTCTGCTTCGATGTGACCTGGTGATTTAGGTCCACTCTTGGATTTAGACCTGGATCTGGACTTTGAGCCCCTGTTGGAAGTTGGGGTTCGGCTCCTGGACTTGGACCTAGAACGGGACTTGGACCTGGAACGTGATCGAGACCTGGAAGGGGACTTCGACTTGCTCCGCCTGGAGGTTCTGGACTTGGACTTTGACCTGGACCTCGACCTGGAGTAGGAGCGGGATCTGGAGCGGCTGTAGCGGTTGCGGCTCCTGGATCGGGACCGGCTTCTGCTCCTGGAGCGGCTTCGGCTACGTCTGCGACGACGAGGGCTGTCTGAGCGGCTGGAAAGAAAATACCACAAATATCATTAAAACTGACGCGGGATTTTAAATTAGCACAGCAGGTTAGCGAACTCAATTAGGGCTCACGCGACAGACGGAAGTCCTAAAGGCGCCACCACGTGCCTGTTGAAATGACATTAACTTGCTCTACAGTCTCACTCCCGCCACTGTGTACGTACCCTCCATATCTCCGCGGCGGAGCCCCTCTCCGGCTGTACATAGAGTCCGGTGGTCGTCCGTAGCGGGCCATCTGAACTCGCAGTTCCCGCCCGTCGAGCAGCGCGCCGTCCATGGCGTCCATTGCGTCTTCGGCGTCGCGTTTGTCGAGGAAACGCACAAAGGCGAAACCACGGCTCTCCTTTGTGTACCGGTCCCGGGGAATGTACACATCTCCGACACGACCGTACTTCTCAAAAACACGTCGAAGTGTTTCCGGCGAAGTTCGGTATGTCAAGTTATCCACTTTCAGGGAGGTCATCCCCTCGACGTCTGGCGGCGGCCTACCGTAGCTCATTTTGTCTTTAAGGACCGGCAGAACTAGTCGTTAAGGACTGAAAACAATGCCCTACAACGTAATAAAACCGGCGCTCGTGAACCCAAAACAGCCACTCTAGTAAGCTGAAACAAATCTTGTTTTTTTTTCCACCGACTATCAGGCCTCTAGGCTGAGATGCTACCGCGCTGCTTTTCACGTGAAATGGCGGCGGCAGCGCTTCCTTTCCCACTTTCTTTGCGCCAGTGTTGGCCTATTCTGATTGGCTGCTCGGCTGTTAGCAATCTTCAGCGTAAATGTCACTCTGCCCCCTGTCGGCGGGAGTTGTTCTTTGTAGCGATTGGCATAATTTCTGCCTTTGTTTCGTTAAACAAACTAGATTTGTAAAATTTCGCAGCTAAATGTTTCTAATAATTGATTTTTTTAGTTTGTAAAACTATATGCTATAGTTGCATTTAAAACAAATGGACTGTAACGATATTCTTTTTGATATTATGACTAACGTACTTGTCGAAAAAATAATCACAGATCCTTTAAAAGACTGAGGTTTAATTACACGAAGTATCGTTCGGTAAGTGGCCTTCTCTTCTGCAGTCAGCGTTCCCCACACATGGGAGGTTACTTCAGCTGCTGAGAGAGAGAGGGGGGACTGCGCAAAAACCACGGTCCAGAATTTGTGCCTGTCTGACGTCATGGGGATCCACAGACTTCTCTGACAGGATCCAGCCAAGTACCGGTGAGGGGACACTCGATCGAGCAGCCACTGGGGCTTTTTGCCACATCCTCTAAATGAGGGAGAACCGGTATCTTTGGCTTCGATCGCCAGTGCGGCTGTGGCGCACCATGAGAGCGTTGCCTCGCTGTTAAAGCCACCACCACGACTCCTTTCTGCTTCAAAACCAGCTTTAGAGTTGACCAGGGAGAGATAAGCAGCCAGACAACAAGTACTAATCCCCGGGACGGTCATATTCACGGCGGGGCTTGGACCCGACAGAAATGGACGGGGCAGCACGGACTGGATTAAATGAACTGGCATAAAGCGGCGCAGCGCACAAAGCGACCCTGAAGTGTTATGCCCGATAAACCGCGCGCTCTTTATTTGGCTGGAAATGGGAGCTTTAGCAAGCAGACAGAACATCGGCGTGGAAGAAGTGGACATTCCGTCCAATTCGGTCTACCGTTATCCACCGAAATCTGGTAAGTCACCGAACAACAGGTCGAACAGGGCTGGGTTTCTGGTCCAAAGCTCACTGCAGATGATTTATTCTTGGCTTCACACAGATGATGATGAGCAATCATTACCAACCAGGAGTGTACTTTGTTTGCTGACAGGCCTGCAGGGCATCTCAATCTTTAACCTGCAGTGGAGTATACCCTCTAATAAAATCGCGGGGTTTATTTCATTTATTTGTTATTATGGCATGTTATAGTTTTTATTATAGACCCATGAACCATCTCTTCTCCCTCCCTCAATGTTTTAACCTGAGGTTCAGACAGAATATATGACTCATGATTGATTCTCATTGGAAGACAAAATAAAGAAACCAGCATCACACAATCGGTACATAATTAGAATTAATTTAAGTTTATTTGCTTATGTCTTGTGTTTTCACTTTAGTTTGTCAAGACAGTTAAATTAAATACATTTCTTAACTTACATAAAGAGCAAAGCATCCTTTTATTTTAGGAAGCAGAATTTAGTCACTTGAACAGAGAAATCAGTTTAAACAGATCCAGGAAAGTCTTTATATAATCCTATATCTCAGTTGTCACACTAAAGATGCCTTTATAGAAACTATTTTCTTTTCCAGTGTATATCAGTGAATAAACTCTGGCAGCATTAATCTGAAACATTATATTAATTGATTGAAGGTCTCTGAAACCTGAAGATAATCCGATAAAAACAATTCAAATATTAACCTAGTGAACTAGAACACATTCTTGCTTAGCAAAGTTAAATAAATAAATAAATAATAATATATAGTGTATTCATTTATTATATATATATATATATATATATATATATATATATATATATATATATATATAATATATATATATATATATATATATTTAATAAATATAATAGCTCAGTGGCCTAGTGGTAGAGTGTCCGCCCTGAGACTGGCAGATCAGGGTTCAATTCCTGGTTGGGTCATACCAAAGACCTAGAAAAAATGGGGCCCAATGCCTCCCTGCTTGAAACTCAGCATTAAGGGTTGGGTTGGGGGCTTAAACCACCAAATGGTTCCCGAGCGCGGATGTGTCTGCAGCTCACCGCTCCCCCAGCAGATGGGTCAAATGCAGACAACAAATTTCGTACACACATCAGTGTCTGTGACAACTAATGGGACTTTAACTTTAACTTTATTTAGTCAGGCTTGCCAGGGTATTCAAATATCTCAAAGGACAGAAAAAACAAACATAGAAAGTAACATGATAGAGTGATGATAATCAATACCAATTTCTCAGCTGATGTGATTAATTAGAACATAATTGGCACAAAAATGGCCAATTAGAGAGAAAATTGCCACAAGGTGAAGATAATCTCAGTTTATTTTGGTTGGATGATGTTTATAATTTTGCAGCAGACTAGATATTTTACTACATTTTACATATGCAAATGATAATAATTGAATTGTGTTTCTATGATCTGCCAACTTAAATTAAACTCAAAGCAAGACTCCAAGCATACCTGCTTGTGTCCAGGAAAACAACATTTTTATGCATCTGGAGCCAAAAGCAAATGTAGACTACAATAATACTGCCTGTTAAAGTCAAACAAAATTTACCAATTGAGAAAATCGGATGTTTCAGGAATTAGTTGAACATTCAGAAACAAAATATTGCTTTACTTTATTTTTTTTAAAGTTTTTCCCAATAGAAGTCATCAAAAAATCTGTTGGTTTGGGGTTTAAACAACTATCAGGTTTATGTGTTATTGAGTGGTTGGTTTAGGTTTGGAAAATGCAGTTTTGGAGATTTTCTGACAAATCTGACTTTTTCTGGTTGATGAGTGAGAGAAACTAAATACATGTTTTAGCAGAAACCAAAAATGATGCAAATACACTGTATAGCACCAAAATTAAGCCAAACTAATACTTTAACAGGTTATTGCCATATTTCTGTCCTTGTGACTAAACCTGAAATTTTTGTAAAATACCACAAAGGTCTTATTGCATCACTGCCGACCAGATTTATGTCACAAAAACCATGCTTGCTGTCAGATCCTCTGTCTGTTGGACCTCAAACTGACTCATGCCATTTTTAGTTTACCTTTTTATTGAATCATGCTCTGCCTGTCTCCCTTTTCAGAGTAATCTTATAACAAAACCAAATGTTGTTTGAGGGTATTATTTCTCTTCATTTTCTTTCCTGCAAAGACATGAAGGGAAATAAACCCATCCGAAAACAAGCTCTTATTGGGTACAGCCAGCATCACATCCTTCCTAATATCATTTTGAAGGTGTTGAAACAAAGGAAAGGTGTAGGTTTGTGGACGCTGCTGTTGACGCGGCAGCAGCTATGGATCTGTGATGTATGAGTCCTGAAGCAGAGCGGCTGGTGCCAGGGAAACCGATCTGTCAGCCCCAGTTTCCTGTCTGTGGGATCTGGTGACAGAGCCTGAGCCCGGGCCTCCTCTCCCACCTGCTGTAAATAAGTAGAAGGTGATGAGAAGAAAGATGGAGATGTTTTGTTTAGGGATGCACCGATACGTCTTTTTTCCAAACCGATACGATACGATACTTGGATCTGAGTACTCGCCGATGCCGATTACCGATACCGATACTTCCACCACACAAAAAAATGCAATGATTTGGAATACAGGTTTTATTTTCTTCTCTGCTTTCAACAGGAAAAGACTGTGAGGTAGATAAAAAGTAAAATATATAAATGGAAATCATCACAAAACTAAAATATTAGGTGAACAGAAATGACACGTTACAGTGAAGCCATTTTCAAGCAACTGCATTGGTATCCTGGTATCGGTTAACTTATACCAATACAGATACTGGTATTGGTATCGGCACCGATACCGATCGGTATCGGTGCATCCCTAGTTTTGTTCCCTCTGTTTCTCTGATTCAGATTCCAGTGCTCCCAGCAGAAACGTCACTTTTTTACTGCTAATCTGATGTTTACTGTGAACCACCATTACAGTCTTAAGATGCTGGCTGGGCCTGTGATTAAACAACAGAGACTAGTCTAGAGGTGAAGCAGCTGTAGGCAGCCAACAACCAGGCTTCTAAGAAAATGTCACCCTATTTATAATTTTAGTTTGTAATATTATTAATAAAAATATAAGATATAATAACATTTTCTTAGCCATTTTGAGTGCAAGATTCTTGTTTAGGGAGCTAAAAATGAAGCATTTTGAGAATTTTTTAAAACAATTTTAGTGATTTAATGTTGATATAGGCTTTTGCTAACCAACCATTAAAAATGTAGCGTTTATTTGAACTTGAAGGATATTTTTGTTTTGTTTTTGTGTTTATTGATAATATAACAGAATCATGTTTTACATCCAAATGAATCTATTACTGTAAACCTAATAAATGTGTCTCATAAATAGTTCAGTTTCAGTGTTGATTTAGCAAAATTAAAGTTTAAACACAGAAAAAGAACAATAAAGTAGAAATATAAAGTGAAAATATCAAAAAATAAATAATGATGACAATAGATTTTTAACAAAGGAAAATGTTGCATATTAAAGAAGAAAAGCCATGCTTGCCTCGCTGTCCGGATAAGGGGATGAAAATAGATGGATGGATGGAAAATGTTGCAGCTGTGAAGGGTCCCCTCTCAGCACTACCTATGTTAAAATATTTAAAGTTTATCTTTTGTTCCTTTTTCAGGGAGTTACTTTGCCAACCATTTCATCATGGGAGGAGAGAAGTTTGATTCGACCCATCCGGAGGGTTACCTGTTTGGGGAAAACACAGATCTCAACTTCCTGGGCAGCAGACCGGTAGCGGTAGGTCATCTTACACTAAAAACTCTGATGCTGCATGAGCTAAAAATACATTTCATGCTACAAACCGATCTCAAATGTATAACAATTAGCATTGAGGTGGTCATTTTTGAAGGTTTAGTACCTGGAACTGATTTAGGGTGAAATACTCAACTGTGTCCGCGATTCTTTTAATTCACTCTAGGCACAAAATTAAATGAGCTTTTAAACCCTTCACATTTAAAAAGCAGAAATATATTTTGGTTTATTTTTTTCCCCCTTTTCCATTAAATGGTTTGGTGGATATTGTTTGATATAAAAGAGGTTGCTGACCTTTTTGACAACCGTAAATCATCATCTCATCTGATCATCACAGACGGAAATTTACTTCATCCTATTAAGCTCATTGAAAGTGAAATGATTATCTGCTGACTCTCTGGAGAATAAAGTGGAGGAACAACAGCTCCTATCAAACTGCTCAAGCTCAGTTAGGAGCCTGAAGGCTGAATTAAACAGAGCTGCAGCTCACTGAAGCCTACAGGGAAAAAGAGAATTCGACACAGACTGGAGCTGTCAGACTGATATGGAGCGGGTCTTCTTCATCTCCCTGAGTCCTAATCCCAGTGGCATGGCTGTTTCTGGCAGGTCTGGGGCTAAAATTAGGAGAACAGTCCCCCCAATTGAGTGTGTGTTTATAATCCTGTAGAGGGCACAGATTCAGCTTTAGATGTTATTATTTTTTGTAATTATTTTTTGCTTTATCTGTATTGTATAATATGCAGTGGTGTCCAAGCAGATGGCGCTGTGCAATGCTAACCATATTTGTCCTCTCTGTCTCCTGCATTACTGCCCAGAAGTAAGAAATCGTGCCCAGAGCGCTGAGATGCAGGACAGATTTGTACTCAAATGGGGGCAAATTACAGAGTTGTGTTTATTCAAACTGAAATATTGACAGTCATGATGACATGTTTTTTTTTTTTTTTAGATTTTAGAGTTTACTAACCAAACACATAGATGAAGGGATCATCTGCAAATTTGAGTACACCTGCAAAACCCAACGTTTAAATAGTTTATTTCTGAAGAACTTGTAGTCTGGATAACATTTTGGATAATCTACTGCATATAGATGAGATACTTTTGTAGAAACAGGAGCAGAGCATCCTTAAATAGGTCAGAAGAACTTTAACAGAAATTTGAAGATTGTTCACTGATTGTCATTACCATAAGTAATCATTGAGTTCTTTTACCTGCACAGTGTTCTAAAGGTGTTTTTGCTTTAGCCGAGTGAGAGTTGGGAGATCTGCAGAGCTGCTGGTGAGGTTTCGGTGAATGGGCCTTTTTAGTCTCAGCTGCTCTGAGTGTGTTTGTTTGTGTGGTTTTCAGGCGCGACTCCTGCTGAGCCCACATGTGTAATAATGCTGAATACGGTGCTATTCACAGCCGCACAAACACAGTTAAACACACGGGAGCTGGGATGAGGGGTTGTAGTGTCAAGGTACCTGACCACATCCTGCATGTTTCTCCTCCAAAGATCCTCAAACCACCTCGGTGCTCTCCTTACGCTCATTCAGCAACCTTTGGCTTCAAACTCAGTCAAAGAGCTGCTGGGAAATGATCCACTGAACCGATTCAAGTCTAAAGGTTATGTGTCGAGTTTATTCCAAGGCTTTTAATGTTTGTGTAAGAGGTGTTTCATGTTATCAAAGATCTGTTTGGTCCTTTAAGTAGCTTAAAATAACAAGACACTGCTTGACCCTGGTTGTCCTGTGGTCCTCTTGTGTGCTGAAAAGAAAAAAATCACTGTCTGAGGTGTCCGCTTCATCCCTGGAAAGACTTGATCCGAGCAGATTTTTTTGCTCAGGCTCAGCACTTGTCAGCTCTAAAAAGATCTGTGCTGACAACCCAAAGCCCTTCTGTGTAAAAGGTTAAATCGAGAGCAGTCGCTGTCATCTTGAAACCCCGAATTTGCTGCGGTAATTGAAAAAGAATGTTCGGTGGTTGAGGGAAAAGAACAGCGAGGCTGCCTCACTCTCCAAATGTTTTTTACATGTATAATTTTGTTTCTGTTTGTGTGCAGTTCCCGTACGCAGCTCCTCCACCTCAAGAGCCGGTGAAGACGCTACGAAGCCTTATAAACATTCGAAAGGACACCCTGCGGCTCGTAAAGTACTCACACCTCCTCCCACACGTCACAACATGTTATTAAAGCTCCTAATTTTGAGCTAACAGCCATTTTTAGGACAAAGGTTATTTTAAGAGATGCTCTCAAACTGTTCAAGCTTTTGAGTCATGCTGACTCCTGTGCTAATTCATAATCACATACTCTAGCCAGAAATAAAACATGCCTCTCATCCTTGGTAACTTCTGCACATATTTCACTTAAACAAGCTGGTTTGTCCTCAGATTATCAATTTTTAAGTTATAAGTGGAATTCGGTTTGATTGAAATAGATGCAGATTTCTTTTGCACATGTTTTTCCAGGTGCACTGAGGAGCTGAAGTTGCCAGGTGAAGAGGCGGCGGGGAAAAACAGGGCCAGCTACAACGTAGAGTTTACCTTTGACGCCGACACGCAGGTGGCCATCACCATTTACTACCAGGCCATAGAGGAGTTCCACAATGGAGTGCCAGTGTGAGTCGAGGTCTTCCATAAACAGAGTTACAGTCAACGAATGTGTTTATCCTTCATGATTACAGAAAATCTGACTCATACATATTTGCATTTGCTAATTTCTGGTTGTCTGCAGATATTTTATTATTCTCTATCATTTATTTACACTGACAATAAAGCATGACTCAAAATAAAAGCAGGAAAACGTAAATGCTCTGTGTTACATGTAGTGATGGGATTTTAGGCTCTTTCATGGGAGCTGTTCATTAGTCGGTCCTTTCAACGAAGCAAAACCATGGGAGCGGTGGGGGCGGTGGTTGGGTAGCGTTCCACCTACGTCCGTCACAGCGGTGGGTGGGGGCTGAGCGGGTGCGCTTTACCGACTTTCAGGGAGGTTCGTTACCGGAAGACGATGAACGTCCCTCTACAGGGCCTCGACTCTCATCGTTCACTTTGAAAACCCGTTCAAAAGATTTGATTCGTCTGTGAACATCGCATCACTACATAGGTTACATAGGTTCTTGTTTTGATGAAAACTCACAAAGTTCTCGCTGAAGCAACTGCAATGTGAGACTGGACATGAGGGGATGGTGATACAGCCTCAAAATGAGATAAAGATGTAAAGCAAAAACACTAAAAATGTTTCTGTTACTGCGGATCAGCTTTTATTAGTGCAACAAAGGGCATTTGCATTTGATTAATGTTGCTGCTATACTGTTGTGCACAGTAATGTTTAGTGATAGTATATCTAATTTTTCAATTGGACATATTTTAGCTTTAATTATGATTAATGTTTGATTATCATTAAGGGCGATAATTGCATAATAGTAAAGTAAGTGCTTATCACAAAAAGATCACAAAGTGTTTCACAAAGAACAACAAACCAAATCATAAAGTCATAAAATCATCATTTAAACAAAATACTAACAAATAAAAATGAAAAATGATTAAAATCTGAAAACACAACATATTTAAAAGCTATTTTAAATACATTCTTAAAAACATCATAAAACAAACAAAAGATTATTAAAATCAATATACTGATGAAGAAATACATGATTTCATAGAACAGAATAGAATAGTCGTTATTGATCCCACAGTGGGGAAATTCACTTGTAAAAGCAGCTTTAAATAAAGGTTTTTCAGCTGCTTTTACGTAAGGATGAAGGAAGTTCATTCCAAAGTCGGGCTGCAGCAGCCTGCAAGAACGATCACCCGAGGGCTCAGGTTGGAGCGTAAGGCTTTAACAGTTCAATAATATAGGTAGGAGCTTGACCGTGTAGAGCTTTGAAAGTTATAGTCAGGAGGATTCTAAAATGAACTCTTAAGTTAACGGGTAACCAGTGCAGAGACATGAGAATAGGAGTGATGTGTGCTCTTCTGTTTGCTCCAGTTAGAAGTCTCGCTGCAGAGTTCTGGACCAACTGAAGGCATTCGAGGGTTTTTTGTTTAAATGTGTGAAAATCTGACTAAACATTTTGTGTTCGATGGAATAATAATCTAACCAGTGAAAGAAAACTGCTTTTGTTTTGTAAAATAGAGAAAATAATATAATAAAAAATGGTAATGCCAGTATATTTACTAATTTGCAATAAAAATCGGATCAAGTGTTTGATTGGAAACTAAAGGAAAATAATTCTTTCATTTGTACTGATAAAAGCAAAGCCTATATGAACATAGACCCTCCCCTCATTCATTCTCAGCGGTGTAGAGTATTGAGTTAATATGTAAGAGAAGCAGATCAGATTAAAATATTTTTATATTAAATAAACATAACAAGCACAAAGCTGCAGAGAGTGAGTCAGGCAATTTCCTAGACTTCCATAATAAATGAGAAATTCTTAAGAAATCTTTAATTAACACTAAATATACCTTGTGTCCTGGAACATTAACATTCAATTAATGTTGCAGCTTCTCAGAAAGCAACAACTCAGCAAAACCAGACTGGAAATAAAACAATTCATTTAGTTTTCTTCTAAAAATCTTGTCAAATGTTGGTTTTTACCAATTTCTTTGTTCTTATTTTAAACCATTTATATATTTAATAGTGCTGTTTATATAAAAATCCTTCTCCTGATTCTTATTCTCTGGTAAAGTATTAAATGCAAACAGCTGCAACATTTAGAAGCTTTTAAAACATCAAAAACAATCATTTCTTCTGTTTCCTGTCCTTCTGCTCTCCCTCCAGTTACCTTCCACAGGACAGCTCGCTTCAGTCGGAGACGGTCCATTTCAAACGGGGAGTGTCCCAGCAGTTCTGTCTTTCCTCACACACCGTCAACCTCAGCGAATGGGACGATGAGGAGGTTTGTGTCGGCGCTCTCTCTCCTGCTGAAGCACAGGTTGTGTTTGAGGCTCCTGGCTCACAACTGCAGTGTTTGTCCCCCCAGCTGCTGTTCGATGTGGACAAGGAGATCTTCCCCATGGTTGTGCAGGCTGTGGTAGATGAGGGAGAAGGTGACATGTTCGGTGATATCTCAGAACGGGCTGATATGAAAGTATTTAGAAGAATTTCACCACGTGATACACTGCTTTTTCTGTTCCCAGAACATTTGGGCCATTCTCACATACTGCTGGCTACGTTTGAAAAGGTAAGACTTAAACAGATGAAAAACCAGGTGAAAACACACTTTATAATTAGTCCCTTCAATGGATTTGAGCGTGAAATATAGAACTAATTAAAAATGCACATTTTGACTTGACATCAGGCAGCCTGCAACATGCCACATTTAAATATAACTACAAATGTACATAGCTTTGCTAGACATGACTGTGGAGATTAAATTTTAGGCTAACCTGATATTATAGAGGGGGATGTTTAATAATAATAATACGCAGTTCTTCCCTTGTCCTGCAGCACATGGACGGGAGCTACTGTGTGAAGCCTTTGAAGCAGAAACAAGTGGTGAATATTCTTGTTTTTTAATTCTTCTCCTCCCTTCCTTCCTGCTTTTGTTTTATATTTTCAAAATACAAAAGATTTATTTCCTCTTCAGTGTTTTACGCCTGACCCTTGAGACTGTACGCCTTTATTCTTCATTGTGTTCCTTTTCCCAGGTGGATGGAGTGAGCTACCTGCTGCAGGAGATTTATGGGATAGAGAACAAATACAACAGCCAGGAATCAAAGGTAGATCTCAAATGACAAAGGGAGTGTTTTACACCTCTTTCATCTGAGGAGACATAATAAATCGGTTTCTTTGTGGCTCGACACTGAAGTAGTTCTTATCTTTTTATGTATAAACTTTTATCTGCAGGTTTCTGATGATGAGATCAGTGACAACAGTGCGGAGTGTGTTGTGTGTTTGTCTGATGTGCGAGACACTCTCATTCTACCGTGCAGACACTTGTGTCTCTGCAACGCCTGTGCAGACACGCTGCGCTACCAGGCCAACTGCTGCCCCATCTGCAGGCTGCGTGAGTCTCTTTCTGAGATCAGAAACTTAAAATCATTATTAAAGAAGATCTTTACTGCTGGAATTAATCCCTAGTGCACCAGTTAGGATGTTTATTTTACCCAAAGGCTGTGTTAAAGAGATATTAATTCAGATTTGACTTGAATTTTTAAGAGTCATATATATATATATATATATATATATATATATATATATATATATATATATATATATATATATATATATATATATATATATATATATATATATATATATATATATATACACACAAACACACACACACACATATATATATATATATATATATACACACACACACACACACATATATATATATATATATATATATATATATATATATATATTATAAATACAGTTTTGAAATGAAAAAGCCCTGGGTTCCTTGAATTAATGCATATCCCTCACCACCTCCAGTGCGAGAGATTGAACTTCATGTCTTGTTGCAAATTGCAATTGCAAATCTTGAGAAAAAAATGTTCTGCACAATAGTACTTAGGATATGTCATGGAAATGACTCTCGGCCATCTGTAAAAGGTTTTTTATATAGCACCTCTCAAGATAAAAATCCCAAGAACACAAAAAATAAAAAAAATGATAAAAATATTGTAATAAAAATGGGGACTTCAGGAAAAATTTAGATTAAAAAAGATAAACAATGAATAAGAAAAAATTAATTGTGGCATCCTGAGATGGAGAATAGGTAGAAACAGCAGCATGAAGAGAACGGTTTGAGTTTTCAGCTGCTTTTTAAGAGTTTTAACTCTTTCTGTGTTTTTGAATATAAATCAGCTGTGACAGCCATCATTGAAATGGATCAATTCCAAGAGTTAATCTGTCCTGGATGCACATCAAGTCACCACTTTCTTAGATTATCCTTATAATCTTTGTAGTGCTACATGAGATATTCTGCTAACAGACCCACACAGAGGTAAAAACACTATTGTCCACCGTGTGACTCTTGGTGGTGGTGAAGCATAGTAAAAATACATTTTTCATGTCATTCACACCACTGGATGCATTTTTCTTATATTTTGTTGGCTTGTCTTAAATTATTCACACATTCCCCATTAATCTTCTACCAACATACATTCCAGATAAGACAAAATCTAATGTGTTCTAAAAAAAAAAGGTATTCTGACTTTCCACGTATTGTGTAAAAATAAATTTTTAAAGTCATTATTTACATTTTAATACTGTTTTTCAGATGCTTATCAAGATTTGGATCTTAGTCTCTGATTCCGTCCTCAGTGTCATTCTGCTGCAGAATTATTTCTAGTGTTTTCTTGGTGGAGTTATTTAAGTCGGTTTAGTTCAACTGTTAAACTTCTTATTAGTGTATTATTATTATTATTATTATTAGTAGTAGCTATGGATTAAATGTCTCTCCTCAGAATGAGGCTGTTCCAGTGTGTGTTGAATTTTTAGAAAGAGCTTTATGATATCTGTCGGTAGGTCGGTCGATCTGTCTGTCTTTCTCTCTATATATATATATATATCTATGTATAATAGCATTTTACATTTCTGGAAAAAGGTAACATACAATATAAACATTGGAAGATGTTGAAGTGAATGTTTTTTAAACGTAGTAGCAGAAATAAAAGTAGCACAGATGAAGATTTCTGATGTTTATAAAGACGTCTTCAGGGAGAAAGACTAAACATGTTCTACTGCATCACTACTGCAGGGAAAAAACTGCGTTGCAGCTGGTATAAAATTAGCAAAATTATTTTAGGATGTACTCACAGAAAGAAGAGCATTTGCAGGCAGAGCAGGATGGAAAAAAGGGAAGGAACACGCTGAACAACATTTTATTTCATCCACTTTATGTAAAATTTACATTTGTAGTCATTTAAAAGAAATTGTACCATTATTATTTATAAAAAAGATTATTCATGAATCATTTTTTGTTTCTTTTCCCCTGTCAGCATTTAGAGCTTTGCTGCAGATCCGAGCCATGAGGAAGAAGGTCAGCCCTCTGACGCCAACCAGCTTTAACCCCGTCATCACTTCCCAGACGTCGGACTCAGAGGAACACTCGGTGAGGCAGAAAACAGCATCTGAACGTGGATTATTGGTCATCAGTGGTCAGCGTTAACTGATTTTCCTCCTCCTTGCTCAAGGCGTCGGAGCACATCCCTCCTGGTTATGAGGCGGTATCTCTCCTGGAGGCTCTGAACGGACCTCTCAACACCTCCTCAGGGGCTCCTCCTCCTCTCCACTCTGGTCCCAGCCATGTCTCTGGGGTGCTCCCTCCATACAGCAGCGAACCCCACCCGGCACCGGCCCGATCTCTCTCACCGCTGGACCAGTCCAACTCCAGTCAGGGACTCAAACTGAAGAAGAGCGGGTCAAAGTGAGGCCGCTTCTTGGTTTAAGGGTCCTGCTTCTTGTTTTGATCCAAACCTACAGAAAAAACACTTTTAGTTTATTTTTCCAAAACACTCATCTAAGATCCTCTTGGAAAAATAAACGGACACCTTTCCTCTTGTCTCTTCCCTTGTTTATTTTAGATCACTTTCCCAGAATTCCTCTGTGCTTCCTGAAGAGGAGGACGAGAAGTCCTGCAGCGAATCAGATGCCTGTCGACACAAACTGGTTGTGGATCAACAGGAGGTTTGTGTGTGTGTGTGTGTGTGTTACATTCAAGACTCTTTCTTGTCTTTGAGTATGTCTACAGCTGCTTTAGAAGGGTTCATATTTAGTGTTTTTTTTTACATGTGAGATCATGTAGCATCGTGAGCTCACAGCTGCTGTTCTGGTCTCACAGTGTGGAGTGACTCCAGACAGTGAGAACCTGACTCTCTCCTCATCTGGAGCCATTGATCAGTCATCCTGCACCGGTACCCCACTCTCCTCCACTATCACCTCCCCTGAAGGTACACAAAAAAAGCACACTGCTGCTCAAACTTAACATTTTAAAGGTGTGGTTCACTTGTTTAATCAATACATTTGCAGTGGTCTCTAGTAGGAATGAATGCCTTGTAAGTTGTGCTATGGGTGCAAAAAGCCCTGGTGCGCCTGTTTCAAGATCTAGAAGACTGCCGGATCAGAGCTGAGCATCAGACACCAGGGTTTGGAGTCTTACTCTCCTCTGATTGGCTAACAGAAACGTGACTACCAATGAACCTGTTTTCTTTGCAACACTGATGTTTTATCTCCACAAAAACTCAAGTCTGGAGAAGTTCTGTTGCGTGGTGGAGTTGCTAATGCTATCAGTTAGCTTCTACTAGCCGAGACGCTCTTTTCCATTTCCTGGATGCTAAACCACCAACAGCCTTCTGCGTTGTGAGTCAAGGTGGGTGAGTCCATGAATGTTAAGTGACAGTGTGACGTAGATCTGTCAGGCTTTTCAAATCCTAAAGTTTCACTGTTTTCTATCGGGAGCTAATGCAGGAGATAGGTGTAGGAGACTATTTTCATGTTCAGCCTGCATGAAAAACTCAGAGTGACCGATTATAATCAGAAATAATAATTAAAATCAGTTTTCAGTGTTCCACACCTTTAAAGGTGCAGTATGAAAGAATATAGTCAGAATCTTACAGTGAGAAAATCCCAAAAGAGTCCGTTTCAGTCATTTTGGAAGGAAGGTTTATACTGAAACATACTTCATATCCAGCTGACTGCAGGGATTGTCATTTTTTCATCTTTCAAACCAAAGGGGGGAGGGGCGTAACTATTGTTTACCATCAGTGAGTGTGGGGTTGTCATGTCTCCTACGAGCTAATACCGCAGCGCCAACAACTTTAATTTGACGACGGCCAGCAAAAAGTTCCAGAGTTGTTTAAAGTGGTTGCAGGAACCAAATTTTACCACAGGATGCCATTTTTACTTCATTTCTACATAATGCACCTTTAAAGCTAAATCAGACCTGCTCAATTGTCCTTTTCACATTTTAAAACTTTGACATTCTTGTCATCAGCATGGTGAGATTTGGTCTTTTGGTTCGAGCTTCATCACAACAGTAATTGAAATCTCATAAAAGCCCAACTCAATGAGCTTCATGTGCATCATAAAATACACACATGAATAACATAATCTTCAGTTTTAAAAGAGGAGAAAAATATGATCACGTCTGAAATTAAATACCGATTTAATTAAGAGGATTAGTTTTTCCAGTTATGTAAATATTCACTAGTAATCCACCATAACGGGAATAAATCATCCAAATCTCGAGTCGGACCGTGATGTGTGTCTCCGTCTGTCCGTCAGACCCAGTGAGCAGCAGCCTGGCCCAGTCAGTCATGTCCATGGCTTCGTCCCACTCGCAGCACTCCCACATCAGCGCTGACACCATGTCCTCCATGTCAGGGTCCTACCTGGCCGGAGCCGAAGGCGAGACAGTGGGGGACGAGGGGGGAGACGCGGAGGGTGAGGAGAACCAGGACGCCCCCATGGAGAGCCGAGGACCATTGCAGCAGGAAGTGGTGAGGATGGAGGGATGGAAGGAGCAGATATTCAGAACCATTACTAATATTAATCTTTTTTATTTATTCAGGAAATTACTAAGGAGACAAAAGAACGAAACTATTTACTGGCTGTGGAGGAGCAGGATTCAGAGGTAACACACACACACACACACACACACACACACACACACACACACACACACACACACACACACACACACACACACACACACACACACACACACACACACACACACACACACACACACACACACACACACACACACACACACACACACACACACACACACATTTTGTCAAAGAAGCTCACTTTTTGTTTTAAATATGACTTTATTTTTCATTTTAGGGAAATGATGTAACAGAGGAGGACTGTCCCTCCCCCTCTAATGGGAAAGGTAATTATTGTACTCATTCCTCACCTTTAACTTCTGACCTCTCACACTCCCTCTGCATTCATCACTCTCCAGTCAAGAGAGAAATAGATTCATCCTTTCATACAAATATATAACAACTTATATTTATCTCACGAAGAGAAAGAAATATTTCAAAATAAACCATTTCATGTCAGTAATCCTCCTCTAGATGGAGCTGTTTTACTTTATTTTGTGCTTGTTGAATACATTAAAACCTGCAGCATCTGAGCAGGGGTGAATCTTTTCTCCTGTTGAATAAGTGCAAGCTGATCTTCACAATAAAGGCTGAGTTTTCTTCATCAGAAGCCCTTTGATCGGGAGTTTTATGAGGATTGCTGTAAAGTCACTGACTTTGCTGGGTTCCTTATATAGGAAACTTTTTTTCTGATTGGCTTAATGAACTGACCTGTATCGGAATGTTTTATTATGCCTTGAGACGACTCTTGTTGTGATTTGGCGTTGTATAAATAAGCTTGAATTGAAATTGAATTGAGTTTTATGTGGTACAATAAACAAGCCCACTGCAGTCCAGCAGTGATTCTGAAAGGACAAACCATCAGTAACGCAGTTCTGAAGCAGAAGAACAGCTTGAATATGATTTATTAACCCGACTGTTTAGAATTTAATTTGTAGGAAATATTCTCAGAAGTGGACACATCCTTTCATCCCCAACAGGAAATTGCGCTCCAGGCTGCTCAGCTGCATTTGCATGAGTTGCATTTTTATATTTGAGAGAAAAACATGAATATGTATTTTTGCTGTGTTGTTTATGATGTGACCTGTTCATCTGCTGTTTCATTGGCTGCATCATTTTACATCTGCATCACTCATTAATGCACTTTTGGTCTGCGTGGAGAAAGTGTGGAGTTCACTGCTGGTGGGGCTTGAAGCAAACATAACAAGGTCACCTTTGGACACTCCAGCTCCAAACATGGAAATGAGTTCCTCTGAGAATGTTTCTGTGTGTATGTGTGTGTGTTTTGGCACCTTGGGTCTGACCTAGTTGCCCTCCAGATGGAGTGAGCTTGTCAGACTCTGACTGAACACATATGCTCTGGATGTATGTTTGCAGGCACACAGGTGTGCATCTGCTCTGGCTGTGCTGAAAGTGTTTGTCACACCTGCAGGTTCTCTGTAGACAGGAAGCATTGCTCACACTCTGACTCAGAAGGATGCTACAAGTACTGACCTTTTATCCTGTCCTGAGACAGTTTTTCAGAAAATTCATGTGTTGACCAGAAATTACCGCAATTTCCAGACTATAGAGCGCACCTCAATATAAGCCGCACCGGGCCAAAAGCCGCAGATATTTACTGAATTGAAAACGTAGTTTAACTGAACAGATCAGTATCAAACAAAACAGAAAAGTTATTGATTAGTTTATTCATCGTCCTCCAGCGCACTGAAACCACTGAAGTCATCTTCTTCAGTGTTGGAGTTGAACAGCCTCAGAGGAGCTTCATCACATACCTTTTCTGTGGCGATGTCAGTGCCGCTCTCCGTGTTGCTGTCATCATCCCGGAGTGAAGCTGGGAAAACAAGCAGCACCATTTTACTGTGAAAAAATCCTCCTGGGCGCTTTCCGTAGCACTCCTTTAACCATTCCTTCATTAGACTTTCCAGCATCCATCCTTTCTGGTTGACTAAAGCTGCACCTCATTATAAGCCGCATGGTTCAAAGCGTGGGAAAAAGTAGCGACTTATAGTCCGGAAAATACAGTACTTTGTGCTACAGAAAAGCGAGGAATTACGTGTGTGTGTGTGTGTGTATGTGTGTGTGTGGGTGCACATCCGTCCATTAGCAAAATATCTAAAACTACTTTTATTATTTAATTGAAAAATGACCATTTTTATTAAAATTCTTAGAAAAGCTTCAGTGGATGTTTTTGTGCAACTGATCTTTGGTGTCAAAATGACCAATAACACAATAACACAGTGATATTTAATGATATTGATCCAGAACCTATTGTGATAATAACTGAATCATTCACAACACAATCTCTTCTAAGTGCTAAACATTTGGGAATCAAATCTTTCAAGAATTGACCAAAACAACAACAAGTCCATCATTCCTCAATAAATGATGATCTTAGAGTAAAAGTGTGGCATGAAAAGTGAAGGTCAATGTGAATTTGTTCAATGGTCGTTTTTAGACAGAAGATACTCAGACATGGTGCGTTGACAGTACATTGTAGTTCCCATTGTGGTGGTTTTTATTTGACGTTTTCTTGTTTTCTCCGTGATTATCTAGAAGCCTTTTCCTATTGTTATCATAACAAATTCCATTTTATCTCTAAAAGATTTTGTGCTTGCAGATTTATGAATGATTATCCTTCAAAAATTCAAAATTAACTTTATTTATACGTTAGGAACTTTGTTTGCACATAGTGTCAGCACAGCCCATTAAAACAGAAACAAAACACACATACAATCAATTTAAAAAGGAGTACTCACACCTACATACAATTGATTAAAAGGAATGAAAAGTAATGATAAATACTTCCAATCAGTGTGGTCTGATCCACAGGCCCTTGGGCGGTGGCATAGCATTTAACAGGCGGATTGAGGAGGGAAGGAAGCTGGAGGAAGCCCTTTTTGTTTCATTGAGAGGGACCTGAACAGACGAGCTGATGGTAACCTGGTGTAGTGGAGAGCATGTGAGGGATCTGCTCTAGTGTTATAGGTGATGGTGAGTGGCTGCTGCTCCTGACCCATGATTTTACTGCTCATTCTGATGATTTTTTGAGCATGTTGCGATGAGCAAGTGTGAGTGAACCAAACCAGGCAGTGATGTTGAATGTGAGGATGGATTCCATGAAACCTCTATTAAAAGCAGCAAGAATGGATTGATGAACCTCATGATCCTGCATATTCAATGCATTTAAATGTTTGTCTGAATTCAGTCTTCACACTATCAATTTTCTACTGAAACAACCTTTAGAGACAATATCAAATTCTTTAATCAACAGGTGTGTTTCATTCAGTCGTTTTCCATTTTCACTCCAGCATGGCAACCCTCCCTTTGCCTCTCTCCCTCACCTTGCTTGCCCCTCCCTCTCTCCTCCCTCCTCCTTCCCCCAGCTGTGCTTGGCTGCTCTTGTTTGACCTCTGCCCTCGCTTGCAGGTGGGCGGAGCAGGTGTCCAGAGTTGGCCAATAACAATCAGGGCGTCGCCCACTGCGACCCGCCCTCTTTGGGGTTGGATAATGAGCAGGCTCCCGACAGCCGATTCGCCGGTGAGTGGCAACCTGTCGAACATGGACCAATGAGAGCTGAGGATAGAGGAAAGGAAAAATGAGAGGCGCATGAGTCAACAGCTAGCGTCCAAACATTAGAAGTTTATTAGTCACATGATTATAGTGTTTGAGTTAAAGATAAAAATGAAAACAAATCAGGATCCTTCCTTCTGCTCTTCATTCCTCTCCTTTAGTGTTGTGGTTCTTGTGCACTGTTTCCTTCCACTTCCTCTTAGCAGAAGCTCGGATGTGTGTGTGTGTGTGTGATTCTCTTTGGATGTCTTGAGTGATTTTTGCATGCATTTTTTCTTCATTCTTTTTGTTCTTAACATTTTTGTTGAGTGATTGGCGGCGGTGTCCCCACCATGGAAGTTCATGTTCAGTGTCTGCCAGCCCTGAGCCGCTTTGCTAAACATCTGCACATCATCTACTCATCCTTCACCCCTCCTTCTTTTCTTCCTCTAACCCTCCTTGGTGGGTCACTTTTAGGAGAGCTGAAGGTTCTTCAGGTTCTGTTTTCTCCAGTTCTTCCTATTTTCCCATTTTTGCCACGAGTGATTAACTGGAGTCACTGGCTGAAGTTTCACTATGTCTCATGAAACAAGAAGAAAAGTAAACCAGAGATTAAACCATAACTCACTGAAATGGCTTTCTTTCGTACTTTCCACAAAAGATTTAAATAAAATTCAAATGTTGACTTCTAAGGAAATTGATCTCTTCAGGAATCAATCATTTTAAACTTCCTGAACCTTCAACCCTGCATCGTTCTTGTTGCTTCTCACTACTTTCACGCCTAAATCTTGATTCCACTCAGTCCCTCAAAACCACTTTTTGACCCAGTTGGTGTTTTATGCCAAATGTTGTGACTTGTTTCCTATTTGTGTGTCGTAAAGTTTTGTTATCTCTCTTGTTTCTCTCCTTCTCTGATTCCTTCATCATTATCCTCATCCTCTTCTGATTTTCTTCCTAACATTTCCTCCCCCTTCCCTTTCTCCCTTTTGTGTCTCTTCTTCTCCATCCTTTCCCCTCATCCTTGGCGTTCTTTCGGATGGACAGATGAGGAGTCGTGCCCAGTGCACATTGAGGACTAGGTATGGAGTAACGGTTAGATCAAGGATCCAACTTCAGGGTGACACAAACTAAGCAAAAGCTTCATAAGATTTATTTCCTCAAAATACGTAGGAAGCAAAAAAAAAAAAATCAAAATATTGTTTTTGGTAAAATAAAATGCATTATTTTTATTTGCTAGAGGATTATTTTTTAGGAGGAAAAAATTAAAAACATCTTTCCTCATAAATCCTTTATAAAATTTTTGATTATGAATCATGAAAACAAACAAGCAAAAATGATAATTAAGGTGTAATCACTGCAGTTCTTCTCTTAAAGAGTAGGTGTTGCTACAGAGGATCACTAGATCGAATCATGCAGGAGGTACATTCCTTGTACAAAAGTTTAACATTATATTTAAAACCTATCTGGTTAATTTGAGGAAGTTTTGGTGTTTCTGTGTCATTTGCAACATCTTTACATTTAGGGTTTGTGTTTAGTCATACTGATATATGAAACATTGGGCTGTGACTGCTGGCAACAAACTGTCTTCATGAGGGACTTTGATGAATCTCTCTGGTGACCCCTCGTGGGAAAAACTGAAAGAAGAGTGTTTCTTAAGCTTTTTCAAAAGGTTTCAAGGATGCTCAACTTCCTAACAAAAGTCCCAGGTCCTCTCTGCTGTGAACTGAAAATTTAGAACATTTTCAAAGAACACGCAGGACAAATTTCGTACCTCACAAGAGTCGTGGGCAACATTGTCAACCCCTTTTAAGTGAAACTACTAGAGACCAAATTAAGAATACAGTGAGGTAGAATTGGGAATCACCTGAACAAATTGGGACAAAATAAATGAAATAAACTGCATGAAAAGTGTTGCAAGATCGCTGCACTATTTGTTTGCATCTGTTGCATGACTCACATGACCTGGTCATGGGTATAACATAGCATAACTGCCAAATTCATATCATTGTAATTGAAAGTGTGTATTTTTTGCAGTTCTATCTCCAGTTTGTATCCTACTGTCAGTCCAGTCATAGACTGGAGTTCCCTTTTGTAGTTTCAAAGTCACGCAACATAATTTTTTCTAAAAATTAGACTGAAATTAGTGAACAGATTTGTTTTACAGTAAAACTAACGTTGGCTCTTTGGATTAATCAAATAATCCTGGAACGATTCACTTTTAAAGGTCCTCCCTCTTTGTGTCTCCCTCTCTCTTCTAGACCTCATGTATCTCAGGGGCTACCGGCCTGTTCTGGATCCCCGCCCCCATCACATCTCCACCAGCAACATCAACCTGGAGGAGCAGGAGGCCGAGAACGGGAACAGCCAGAGTCCCAAACATCCCCGCCGTGGACCACTCATTGTCTGATGAACCCATTTGAACCATCCAGAGTGGAGCTTCTCTCAGTCTGACGTTAGTGCAGCAACACTGGATCCCACCTTCACTGAGCAGAGAAACACAACATTTCCTTCAGTGATCGCTGAAACCCTGCTGGAGTGGAAATGGAACGAAAGAAGGATTAGCCGTGCACTTCTATTTCACATGTTTTCCTTTTGTTGTCTGTAATGTGTGTGTTTTAGGAATTACTGCTACCTTATTATTTATTACCCATACATTTAATGAGAGCTGTGTGTTGTGATGAAATCTTACATGCTGCTACTATTCTCTGCTCTTCCTTTCCTTCCTACTGACCAGCCAAACAGTCAGGTGTTACTGTGATCGGCAATCTGATTTATAACTTCTTCTCCTTCTTCCTCTTCTGTGTTAAACTGTGTGCCGAGTGAGTGGTCGGACTCTTTGATGCTAAACATCAGCTCTCACCGGACTACCTTACCGAAATAAAACATGCTGACCCTTCCTCTTCGGATCAGGGAGCTTCGATCTTGACTTTGCATGCAGCTTTTACATTTTCCTTCCATTCCCAGTGCTGCGTAAACACCTGTGCTGAATGTAAAATTCAGATGAACTTTTAAGGGGTGAACAAGCCAAGGAACAGCTGCCAAAATGACTTAAGAAACAAAAACACAGAATGTAGGATGGTGGTTGCATAGGAAGGGAATGTACATGTCACCCTAATATTTACTTAAACCGGAATTAAACTTTTCCACACACAACCCTCCATGGCCATCCTCCTCTTCAGCTCCATTTAGCATGTCAGTATTAATGTAGTGCAACTGCAAGCAATACAAGACACATCATCTCTGTCTTTTCCTGCACTGCGATGCGTATCTGCGGTTCAGACTTAACTGCGTTTGCACTGGCCGGTTATATACAAACATAAGTGTTTTCCATATGTTGATGTTGCCATTCTGAAGGGATTTACTGTAGGAAAAGCCTCCTGTAGTGAATTTCTTTCTCCTCCTTTCAGATTATCTCTTGTTTGTGAAGCTTTTAGTTGGTTTTTGTTTTGTACAACTTTTAATAATTATCTCACCCGTTGTTGATGCTCTCTGTGTTTTAATTTGTTGCAGAATGCTGTGTTGGTTATTAGAATATATGTGAAAACATTATAACTGTTTACATACATGTGCAAACATTGGACCCACCTAACCAAAACAACAGTGTCTACATTCGATGCACTAACAGCTGACTCCTAGATGACACACTGAGGTGATGGTAGAGTAAGCATGTTAGTTCAGGTCAGCCTGCACCCTCCAGTAGACTTGATAATGGACCACTGCACAAGCCTAAGGAGATACCATATCGTGCTGTAGTAATGTTTCAGTTGGCGCCTTGTAATATTGGCCTGATCAGGCCAAGACTTCTGCACTAATATAACCAAGCTGCAAACAGTCACATGATCACTCTGAATGTGCAGGCAAATATGTACTCTGGTATCTGTCACCGTATGATTTCAACACAATCTGCAAAACCCCACTTTTCTAGAGTAAAATGACAAAAACACAACAGAATAAAGTTTTTGCAACTAAACAACTGCTGAGTGGTTTCCTGTTGTATTTTTTTCCCCAGGGCGGGGCTATTAATGGCTTTCCTAAAAGGTTTGTCACCAGAAATCTCCTGTTTCATTGTTTTTCAAACTGATGGGGTATTTTTTTATTTATTTTGCATCTGAATTTCTCAGGACAAGTGGATTTCTTAGTTACACTGAAATATTTCCAATCATCAGTTTTATGTAACACATAAAGGTAAGCTGAGTAAAGAGACAGTAGTTTTGAAATGAGAATTTCATTTAAGTGATAAAAGCCATTTTAACCCTTTAGAAGCCAAACCCTTTAGAAAAAGAAAACTGATTTGGAATAAATACATAAATTATTTTTGATATATCTATGGATAGAATGTCACTTGGTGTTGTCAAACTTGAATATATGAATCAAGGTGCAATTTTGCACGGGTCCTTAAGGGTTAAAAGGTGATTGCCCCCCTTAACTTTATATGTAAAGTTCAGTTAATTTCTAGGTCACACCTAGACCCAGCACCAGACCCGTAGAACCTGCCTGACAATGACGCAAGCTGCTAGATCTGAAAAAGAAACACTTGTGAACCATTGTAAAGAAATCAGAACAATATATAATTCACCCTGTAATCTGTGGGTTGCCGGTCTGAAACCAGGCTTTGTCCATGTAAAATGTTGTGTCCTTGCCTGCTGGTGGTGGTTGAAGGAACTGGTGCCACAGATGGTGTAGAGCCCGGTCTCTGTCGGCGTGTCTCAAGGCAGCTCTGGCTACAGTGTCACCATCAGTGTGTGAAAGGGTGAATAACTGTAGTGCAAAGCACTGGCCATAATGTCTAATGTAAGAGGGGTCTGGTGTATTGGCATTTGGTCTGTGATCTGGCCTGTGGCTGGCTTCAGCTAGGTTGGAACCCCGGCACCGTTCCTGGTTCTCCCATCACAGTGGGGAGTCGCTCGGCGAGCACTAAAAGTTACAGCATTTGCGTTAACTTACCACACAGCAATACTTCAATAAAAATGACAACACCTGTGAATGTAAATGGAAAAAAGACAGCTACACATTTCCCTGCAATTGCTGAAAGACTCCTACTATCAGACAAAGTGCAGCCCACAGATCCCTTATGATGAATAATACAAATGAAAACAGTGTTCCTTTGCCCGGACGCGGGTCACCAAGGATCCCTCTGGAGCCAGGCCTGAAGGTGGGGCATGTCGGCGAGCGCCTGGTAGCTAGGCTTTTACCCATGGAGCACAGGTGGACATAGCCTGAAGAGGAAATGTGAGTCCCCTTTCCCATGGGCTCAACACTTGTGGGAGGGGCCAAAGGGGATGGGTGCATTGAGTGATGGGTGGTAGCCGAAGGCGGGGACTTGGCATTATGATCCTTGGCTACAGAAGCTTGCTCATAGTACGTGGCATGTCACCTCTCTGGTGGGGAAGGAGCCTCAGTTGGTGTGTGAGGTTGAGAGATTCTGACTAGATGTAGTCAGACTCACCTCAACGCATGTCTCTTGCTCCAGAACCAGTTTCCTTGAGGGGTTGGACACGCTGCCATTCTGAGTTGCCCCCACTGAGAGGCACCGTACAGTAGTTGCCCCCACCTTGGTGCCTGCATGATGGAGTTTACCCCTGTGAATGAGAGAGTTGCCTCCCTCCGCCTACATGTGGGGGGACGGGTACTGACTGTTGTCTGTGCTTATGCACAAAACTACAGTTCAGACTACCCATCCTATTTGGAGTCATTGGAGATGGTGCTGGAGAGCACTCCTTCTGGTGACTCCTGAATTTGAGCTGTGTTTGTTATTGGATTTTTGTGCTCATCATGGATTGTTAATAATGAACATGAAGTTCAGAAATAAAGGTGTCCAAATGTGCTCTCGGCACCAGGATACTTAAGGTCTCAGCTCGATGACCAGCTTTGTTGTCGTCTCATCTGATCTGTGACCGCATGTTTTGGACACTTGGGTGAAGAGAGGGGCGTAGTTCTCAACTGACCTCTACCTGCTGGTGAGTTGGCTTTGATGGTGGGAGAGGATGCCGGTCAGACCTGGCAGGCCTAAACATATTGTGTGTTTGCTGGGAACGTCTGGCGGAGTCTCCTGTCAGAAAAAGTTTCAATTCCCACCTCTGATAGAATTTCCAAAATGTTCCAGGGGAGGTGAGGACATTGAGTCAAAGTGGACCATGTTCTGTGCTTTCATTGCCGAAGTGGTATTCAGAGCCGCTGCCGCATGGTCGTTGGTGCCAGTCGAGGTGGCAATCCCCAAACCCGCTTATGGACACCGGTGGTTAGGGATACCATCAATCTGAAGATGGAGTCCGATCGGGTCTTTTTGTCCTGTGGGACTCCAGAGACAGCTGATGGGAACCGGCAGGCCAAGCAGAATTTGGCTCAGTTGGTTGTGGAGGCAAAAACTTGGGTGGGGGAGGAATTTGGTGAGACAATGGAACAAGACTTTCGTACAGCTTTGAGGAGATTCTGGTCCACCATCCAGCGTCTCTGGAGGGGAAAGCAATGCACTACCAACACTGTTTATAGTGGGGACGGTGTGCTGCTGACCTCTTCTTGGGACTTTGTGGATCAGTGGGCAGAATACTTTGAAGACCTCCTAAATCCCACTGGCAATTCTTCCAGTGAGGAAGCAGAGTCTGGGGACTTTGGGTTGGACTCTCCAATCTCTGGTGCTGAGGTTACTCAGGTAGCCAAACAGCTCCTTGGTGGGAAGGCCCCATTGGGTAGATGAGATCCACCAAGAATGAGATCGCAGATAGAAGCAGCCAAAATGAGTTTCCTCCACAGGTTGGTGGGCTCTCCCTTAGTGACAGGGAGAGAAGCTTGGTCAACCAGGAGGGGCTCGGAGTAAAACTCTTTCCTCAAATGCGGAAGAAAGGCTTTGTGACATTTTATTTGTCCTGAAGCATTTGGACTCAGCTAATAACTTTAAGAAATTTAACATTTTAATTGTAAAATTATGAAAAGATGTATAAATTATACAACATAAAACATTTAAATATTGTAAAAACTTGTAACATTCAACATAACTCTTGCTCTTGATGGTAAGCCCATAGAGAGAATTTATGCAGGAAGACCTGTCTATTTCTTCAGTCAGTTGATCTGCATGAAAATGTAAATTCAGATATTTTTGTACATTTTTATAATTTTACAAACAAAACAAACTTTGACATTTATTTTTATTACTACTGTGTGTATTTTAAGGTTTTAGGATTGTTTATTTCCTTTCTTCCACATTAGTTAGTTATTAGTTGAGTCCACCTGAGCCTGCCCCATATCAATCCATGATCTGCAGCCGGGGGTACTTGTAAAAAATTTGAAACCAAATAAATGAAGCTGGTCAGTAAGCATGTCAGACGAGTTTCATAATTGGCTTTAAAGGTAAAACTCACAAAACCCAAAGTGAATAAAGTTCTGTGAGCTAAGGAAGCCACATAAATGCCTCATGTACTGGTGACATATGGGATAAACACCTGTTGCTGCATCTGGTGATAAAATAACACTAATTTTCAGATAAATATCATACCAACAGTTAAACATGGTGGTGGTAGTTTCATGGTCTGGGGCGGCTTTGCTGCATCCGAACCTGGATGACAGATGTAACTGATGAAACCATGAATTAGGTAATTAGACTCAGACCTTGTCACCCATTTTGAGGTAGGAATTTGTCACCTGATCAGCTTGTGAGTACAATCAGCCATTAATGAAGCAACCTGTTGTCATGTTGGCTGATCAAACTCTAGCTGTGATGCCATTTTATGGGAGATATGCAGAAACAGAGACAAGATCTGGCTGGGTCTGATCTGGTGAGATTTTCCTCATGTTGCACAAAGACACAGCTGCTAGAGGGACAACTGGTCATTACATGTTGTCATGTCTCGTGGAATGTGTTTAACCCAAGACATGCAGTAATCTGACTCGACGAGCAGGTAGAATGAAATTAAAGTCTTTATTTATTAACTGGAACAAAAGGTGCACAGGGAAGTCCTGTGGAGAGGGTGAGCAGTAGCTCGAGTCCATAAACGTTCGGGGAGAACGAGGTGAGGAAGCCGCGGTGAGCTCAAGTCAGTCCAGGGGTGATCAGGAAACAGGTTAGACAGCGGAAGAGATCCAACCAGGCTCAGCGGAGGAGGATGGGACATGGTGTGAATGTCCAGTCAGTAAAACAGCAAGTTGAGGCGGGTGGAATGGGATTCTAGAGAGAACAAACAACATCCAGATTTCAGGGTAATCCAAAAAGTAATCAGAGCGGTCCAAGTTCAATAATCCAAAATATCCTATATTCGAGTGACGAGTTCACAAAACAAGAACAAGTGGCTGGGACTACCTATACAGGAGCAATCATCCGGCGTAATGAGGTGTCACCATCCTCCTTTTATACCCGCGTCCCTGATTGGAGATGTTCTGCAGCTGCGGCCCCCCTCCGCTGTCACCTGTGGAAAATCAGTCAGATAGAGTGAGATGGGGGTGATGTCACTCACCTCGGCTCAGGAACATCACACATGTGCGCAAGGGCGGAAATCCCATTTCAATTTTGGGGGGGACAATAAACAGTAAAACTTCAGAGAGTAATTTTTGGGGGGACATGAAAAAAATGCTCTCTACATACAACACTGTATGTCCTTTTAAGAGACTGACCTGTGACTCTGTGCCTGTGTCTGACAGGCTCTGGCTGCCTGTGCTCAAGTGACTGGACTTTGCCTAATGAAACCATTTAAATGGTAAATGGTAAATGGCCTGTATTTGATATAGCGCCTTCCTGGAACCCCCCAAGGCGCTTTACAACACAACCAGTCATTCACCCATTCACACACAAATTCACACGCTGGTGGTGATGAGCTACGATGTAGCCACAGCTGCCCTGGGGCGCACTGACAGAGGCGAGGCTGCCGAGCACTGGCGCCACGGTCCCTCCGACCACCACCAGCAGGCAACGTGGGTTAAGTGTCTTGCCCAAGGACACAACGACAGTGATAGACTGAGCGGGGCTCGAACCTGCAACCTTCTGATTACGGGGCGAGCACTTAACTCCTGTGCCACCGTCGCCCCATAGGCATTTCATTTCTTTGCTATAGATGTCTTTATCAAAATGCAAGTTTCTACTTGACGTTCTGGAGCATAAAAAAAACGACCTGATGTCTGCTGTTTTTCATTTCTCTGCCATTTCAACTGACCTGGTCTGCTGACAGTTGGACAGCAACACACACACAGATGGGATATTGTCATTAGAACGGAGCTGGAGGATACTGATCAACAATAATATCTTGCCAAGTTTGTACATCTCCATAAGCATCCTTTATTTTTGTTTTCATTTCAATAACAAAACTGTGGCCTAAAACAGAATAAGCAATTCAGAATAAAGATTTAAAAGTAGATCGTTAATAGTTGAAGCAACATGTCCTGAAATGACATGGCTATTAGCTGACCAACAGCTACACGTGTGGACGGATGCAAAGCATTAATTTTAAGTACTAAAACATATCTAACTTTTTCACAACAAAGAGAAAGAACATAAATGTCAAATTAAAATTTTATTAAATCACATAACATGAAAGCTACTACAATCCAAATATTAAAATCTCTTTAATAAATCATAGAAATGTTTGTAGGCTATTAGAGAATAACTCTGTAATATTTAATAACTTTATCTAAGTCCTACTGAATGAAAAGATACACAAAATCTAAAAATATATTCTTGAAATATTTGTTTCATTTTAACAATAAAAATTAAAAACATTTACTTTACAAATACACTAAACATATACATACTCTATAGTTTATCTGTCAATTTAATCGATCTCTCACTTTTCTCAGTTTTCATAGTGTTTTTGGGTCTGTGTGGCCAACGGGATCTTTGGCTCTATGTTTAACACTGAGAGCTTTGAGCAACGTGCCTCCACCACACATTTGCTGCAACCAGTTCATCCCTAAGCTGCACGGTGCACCTGTACTTTGACATATTGTAAACAACTGCAGAGCCTGGGGAAGACGGGATAAGAGCGGTTAAACGCTGTGGTTTTCCATACATCCGACCAGTTAGTTTTGATTCTACCATATTCATCTGCTAAATAGGATGAAACGCGGACATTTTAATCGATCTATATATGCTCTGCAGATTCCAGGGGCAGACCGTGAACGCGTATGTGTCCGGAAAAAGGAACTTTTGGTCACCTTAGTGAATGGAATAATAATAGTGGAATAATCCTGGAATGACCAGAGAACATGAAGTGACAACTTGTTTTTTACTGTTGTTGGGGTTATTAGGAGCGAACAATTTGTAAGCTTTAACTTACTTTTGGATTCTTCAATAAATTCTGTAAATATGGGAATATTTACTGATTTATTAATTAATTAAGATATTCTTAGATATACGGGGCACCATTCCCCTTTAACCGGGGAAAAATTGAGTCCAAAACTCTTATCAGTCTTTCTTGAAGTTCGTAGAATCCTCGGAGCAGAGACTTCTCTTCGACACAACAAAGCTACTGGAGACGAAAATCTGAATTTTATAACGTTTAATTAACAATTTGTCAAATGAATAAACTGTGGCATAAATGAATAATAACCATGTGATATAATAAAAGGATGTATATTCAAAATAATGTTCAAGGTGTTTTGTGTGTATGTATGTGTGTGTGTGTTTCTAAAATGGAGTCTGTATGCAAGATGGCTGACCCCTTTGTCTGGCTAAAGTGTGAGTGGCAACTTGCACTTTAACTTCCAAGGCACTTAGAATCATCAGTAACTTAACCTTAAATTCACTCAAAACATTTCAAAGGATCATGAAACAACACAAAAGATTAATCACGAATAATATCTTTTAGTTTAACCACGTGGCCAAGCAGAAAACATTTAAAGATACCAAACAATGATCAATAAGCAGTTTATTCTTTCAGAATGACCCGACGGACGTGTTTGGGAACGAAAGAGGAAAACACGAAGCTACTTTTTAAGCAATAGCGCGGTTTTATTGCTTATTCGGGACTATAGAGGAAACGGGAGAAGAAAAGGAGAGAGAGAAAACTGAGTTTTCTGATCACCAGAACAGCAAGGCGTCCCCGCTGTTTGATTTGACAGTTCTCCGTGTTTCTCCGCAGTTTGGCGTCGTCCGTCGGTTTGATGCTTTCTCCGTTGTTTTGGCCCCACGAGTGTTTCTCCAACGGGCTGGACACAAAGAGAACGAAGTTTCTTTTGGGCTGAGTTTGACAACTTACAGCGTCTCTGAGAGCTGGATGGAGCTCCGCTCGTTCCCAGTCAGGTCCTGATGGAGTTGGAGTGTAGTTTCCAGCAGTTCCGTGGGCTCAACTTGGGCACTTAGAGCTTCCGCGTGCTCAAGGGAGTCGGAGCGTTCGACAAGCGTGTCCTTACCGCCAGGTATCCTGGGCAAAAGAACGAGGTTTCTTTGTCTCTGCTGAAGATTTATGGTCTTAGTTCGCGGGAAAAGCTCCACGGCCTCCCGCACATGCGCAGAACGTGTTTCTGGTACTAGGCGGTGACATCATCCCAAAGCTTCCGTGTGCAAAGCATCATGGGAAATGAAGTTTCTTGGCGCTGATGTGATTATTTGCTTTCCAGAGCAATTTAAGCACAGTCATTTTGGAGAAAATCACTGCATAGTAATTTCCTCATGAGGTCAGACCCTCAACACTGTGGTGATGGTGGTCTGTCATAAAGGGATCTCCGACCGGTGAAAATCTAATGATAATCGGTGTCAATGTTTGACATTTATGACCACATTTGACATACATATTTAAGTTTGTAGAACAAGCGTGTGATAAATGACTTACTGCTGGAAACCGCTGGCTTTTTGATTCCTGCCTCCTGTGAGCCTGCGGGCTGCTGTGAAGCTGTGAGCGAGGCAGAGCCGGCAGCCCCGCCCGTTGGAAACAGCGCGTGGTGGGGGACTATAATTTCTCAACAATTAAAAACTCATTGTTTTGTATTTGCAGACTAACTTTTACGTTGTGGTTTTAGAAGAAAATACAGGTTTACTGATAGCATTTATACGTTTACAATAACTTTTGTGGGGGGGACAACTTTGTGTGAGGGGGGGACGCGTCCCCTCCGTCCCCCCTGGGATCTCCGCCTATGCATGTGCGTGAGGTTAACAGAGGATAATTTTCATAATGTCTTTACCATGTCGTGTGAGAGATCATGTTTCACTCTGATCTAATTGCACCTTCTCATTTTCTGTTGTGTTACATCATCTGTTTTTAAGTGTCCAAAGGTTCCTGTTTGTCATGTTTCCTGTTTTTCCTGTTGTCCTGTTTTATTGTTGTTCCTGACGACAAGAGGTTGTACAATCACATCATCTCAGCTTCCACACAGATAAATGTCTTTCTCCTGCATTTTGATTTAATTTAATCTTTATTGGTTCTTTTTCTGAAACAATCAGCCTGAGACTCAACTGCATTTTGTGTGTCTCCACATTGTATGAGCTAGTTATCGATCACGTTTGTTCACATGGGAGGGATTTCTCATTTCAGGCAGTGAATGAGTTTGTGCTCGGTGCACAGCCCTCCTCAACTGCAGCTTACAGCAAGCTCACCCTGCAGAAACAATGAACGTTATCTTCCCTCTACTGCTTATCTTGGCAGGTATGTAAGTCTTCTCAAGTATCCATTCATAGTTTGCTCATTGTTTATCATGATCAAAAGTGTTGCAGATTGTTTATCTGACAGATGCAAATCTACTTACAGATTGTCAAATTTCTTGTGTTCTGTCTTCTTTTAAAATCAGTAGTACTAATCTCCTACAGTATATAAAAATGTTATGGTAATGCAAATTATATCTCTGCCCTTCTAGACAGTCAAAACTTAGAATAGAATAAATATTTTTAAATTAACTTAAACCCCCAAAATGCAGCTAGTTTTTAAAAAAGTCACAGTTAAAAAGATAGATGATCACATTTTTTGAAACTTCATGTAAAAATGGTTCAAAACTAAAAATAGTGCAACAAGTACAAGCACTTGATTTATTTCCATTTTCTGTTCATTGGTTTTATATTATTACTTTACAGTGTACTTTCAAAAACTGTTATGTAACATGTAAAAATTATTGTTACTAGGACCAAGCGGAAAACAACCGCTTGTGTTGAAGCCTGTTTCCCATTAGAACCGTCCATAAGCTCATCTATTGGCTCTGCTGATACTTGCTAACGTGTGATTGGCTGTTCCTGTCACCTGTTACCTTGACAGTTCTGCATTCTTGACATTGCATGAAAGAGCCTCTAGACTGTAGTTTTATACATATTTTTGTATACTTATCCCTACCCCCCCCACACCCCTACCACAATTGTGTCTCCCCCATTTCTAAAGTCAAAACTACGTCCATGTTTTCACTTACATTTTTTTTCCAGATTTATATTTTTAAAATGTCTTTATGACTGTATCTGATCACTGCAAAAGCTATTTATGTTTAAGTTTATTTATTTGGCAGATGCTTTTATCCAAAGCGACTTACAATTCATAACCTATAGGGCATGTTGTGATCTGTGGGGGAAACGGGAGTACCCGGAGGAAACCCACGCACATGCATGGGGAGAACACGCAACTCCACGCAGAAAGGCCGCAGCCGAGTTTCGAATCTGTGACCTTCATGCTGCGAGGCAACAGTGCCAACCACTGCGCCACCATGCAGCCCGAGCATGTATGTTAAATGTAAACAAAATTGAAAAATCAATCAGCACCTCCAAATCTGAGACCATGGTTCTTGACCGGAAAAGGGTGGCTTGCCAATGTATTCTACTACACCAACTTCGGGTCGGGAGAGAGGTCCTACCTCAAGTGGAGGAGTTTAAAAATCTTGGGGTCTTGTTCACGAGTGAGGGTAGGAGGGATCGGGAGATCAACAGGCGGATTGGTTCGGCATCTGCAGTGATGCGGACGCTGAGCCGATCTGTTGTGGTGAAGAGGGAGCTGAGCCAGAAAGCCAGGCTCTCAATTTACCGGTCGATCTACGTCCCAATCCTCACCTATGGTCATGAGCTTTGGGTAATGACCGAAAGAACGAGATTGCGGATACAAGCGGCCAAAATGAGTTTCCTCCGTAGGGTGGCCGGGCTCAGCCTTAGAGATAGGGTGAGAAGCTCGGACATTCGGGAGGGACTCGGAGTAGAACCGCTGCTCCTCCGGATCGAAAGGAGTCAGTTGAGGTGGTTTGGTGGTCAGGATGCCTCCTGGACGCCTCCCCGGGGAGGTGTTTCGGGCATGTCCTGCCGGCAGGAGGCCCCCGGGTCGACCAAGGACACGTTGGAGAGGTTACATCTCCAATCTGGTCCGGGAACACCTTGGGGTCCTGCCGGAGGAGCTGGTGGAGGTGGCTGGGGAGAGGATGGTCTGGAGCTCCCTAGTTGAGATGCTGCCCCCGCAACCCGGACCCGGATAAGCGGAGGAAGACGATGACAATAATAATAATAATAATAATAATAATAATAATAATAATAATAATAATAATACATTTATGACAAAATACCATGTTCATACTTTTCTATAGGTGAGAATCATTTTCTAAAAATAATAATTTGAACGTTTTATACATTGTCTTTGTACTTTATGATGTATATAACATTTATAAAACATTTATTTTTAATAAAACTAGATTTTTCAATAAACCACAGCCAGCTTAGTCTTTCCAGCGCCATCAGTTAATAAATTAAAGTCATCCACTTCCACCATCTGACATAGGCAGCAGCAACAAACACTATCTGCAGAATTTGTGGAAATATAAAATAATGAACATTTAATAATAAAAGAAAACAGCATGCAACAAACATGTAGAATATGAAGTTGGACTAAAAATGTGCTGTTTTTGTTAATAAACCCGTTGCTCTGTAGATGGGGTGTCCTGTGAAGTTTGCCGTTACCAGGATGTTCTGGACCACCTGGACCTGACGCCACATAACGGTGTGTATGTAATGACCCGGCCTGTTCTGGACTACACACATAAAACTGTGGTAAAGCTGGACATCTTACTTTATGCCATCCTGGGAGTGGTATGCTTTGTTTTAAATCTTTATAATCTCAAGGTAAAATATGTCAGAATGTCTGATCCATTTGCTTTTGTTCTCAGGTGGAAAAAACTCAAACGTTTACTCCTTTCATCTGGGCATCGATGGTGAGCAGACTGACACAGTCTTAGCAACTTTATCAATATCTGAAAAATGAATATAAGCCTCTTTAAAATGTCCATCTAAGCTTTAATTCTTATAAATTGTAATTCTGTTACTCTGCCTTTATTCCTCTTCAGCAGTGGAACAATGAACTCATCTCTTGGGACCCGGCTCAGTTTTGTGGAATCACTGAGATGTCAGTTCCTAAAGATGCGCTCTGGAAACCCGACCTCTTCATCTATGAGATGTGAGTCTGTCAAACACACAAACATAAAGTCTATTTCACAACAGAATTTTAAACAAATTAATAAAAACAACTAATGAATATCACTGATTGACATACTGTATGTCAAATGGCCATTTACTTATGAAAGACCACAACACGATTATTAAAACAATCAATAACCATAAACTATTCCTAACTTAGTCCAAATTGGACCCCATGTTACCAAATAAACATCATCTTTTACAAAGATAACCTAAAATTAGCAGATTTCTTCAGCCTTGTGTTTGATAAAATCAATAACAAATTTCTAAATAATCTGACTGCTTTTTGATGACAAATGAGTTGCAAATTTTGGGTAATTGCTGTAGACTGCTGTATTATTGCGGTATAAACCATCAACCCTGCTCAAGGGTCAACTTTCCTGGCAAGGTCACCCATGAAGACAGTGGGAGGGTTAAAGGAGACCACTGAGTCCACTGATCTCAGGCTAAGAGGGGAGAGAGTTCCAGAGACTGGGGCCACAGCAGCAAATGATCTGTCACCTTTGGTCCTTAGCCTGGTGCGCTGCACAGCCAGTTGTCACGTTGAGCAGGGGTTAGGACCCAAAAACACAGAAACACTCAAGCCAGGGGCAGATGAAATAAGTACATCATTTATTTAAAGGAGGAGACTTGATTCAGCAGTCAAAAAATACAAAAACAGAAGCTCTAAAACTGAGCATGGACACGGGCAAAACTCTGGAGAAGATAGAACAACATAGACACAAAACAATGGACCGACAAACACTGAAGGATGAGACAGGGTTTTAAACACAGAGGAGGAGATCAGTGGAACAGGTGACAGGTGTGAGGAGTGAAATCTGGAGGGAAGGCAGGTGCAAACAATTACCTAAATAAGGGGAAAGAACAAGCAGGAGGGCAGACAAACCTAAACCTATAAAACACGGATAAACTAAACCTAAAGACAGTGGGCAAGCATAAACAACTAATAACTGGATGAATGAGGAGGACTAATAGGGAGTGATAGGAGGACACCTGAGGGAAGCCTAGAGAGAGGACAGGAGGGGCTGGGGGCCAGAGGGACACAGAACAAGACAGAAGCACAGGAATGCCGAATAGGAGACACATAAGGAGGACGCAGGACGCAGAAAATGACACCAGTAGGTTTTGATCACTGGACCACAGGGACCTGCTGGGGGTGTAGGAACTAAGAAGATCACCAATGTATGATGGTGCTTGTCCATATAAGGCCCTGAAAACCAGAACCAGGATCTTGAAATGAACCCTGAAGTTGACAGGCAATCAGTGAAGCTGGAGGAGAAGCAGGGTGATGTGGGTGCATTTGGAGGACTTGGTCAGGAGCCGAGCACAGGCATTCTGAACCACCTGCAGACGGTTGAGGGAGGTTTTGATCAGACACATGAAAAGAGAGTTGCAGTAGCCTTAAGGTTGGTTTATGCTTGACGCGTCCGCGAGGTCCGCACAGCTACGCGCGGAAAAGTTGCGTCATTTTAACAACCACGCCCCTCCACCGCGCCTCCGCACGGCCCAAAATTTCCGCAACGCGCATCTAGGAAATTTTCTAACCACGCGGATGGTCGGACGTGGAAAAACATGGCGGACCGGCAAGAACGAGTATGGCAGAGGTTTGTAAATACAGACATTTGTATGATTCAGCTCTCAAAGATCACCGTGATCAACATGTTGTTAATAATTCTTGGAGAGAAATAGCTCGCACTGTTGGAAAAGACGAGGACGCTGTTAAAAACTGCTGAAATGCCATGTTGTAAACAGTAATTTCTACTTCTACTATGGTGTAGTGTTGGATGCATGCCGTGGAGCTCCATGCTGCCCCGTTCAGTTTGGGAGAATATTGGCTCACCGCAGAGACAAGCCGCATGAACCATAAACGCTGCGAGTTGTGAAGCGCGTTCCATCTGTGAGCCGCATCACCAAGCGGAAAGTGAATGCGTCAAGCATAAACCAAGCTTAAGCGTGAGGAGATGAAGGTGTGGATAACAGTCTCAAGCTCAGAGCAGGACAGAATGGGACTCAGCTTAGCAATGTTCCTGAGATGGAAGAAGGAAGAGCGAATAAGAGAACTGACATGAGAATCCAGGGTGACAGCTGGGTCAAAGGTCACACCAAGATTCCTAACAGAGGGTTTGGTGTGAGAAGCAAGCTGACCAAGAAAGTCTGACTTTAGGAACCAGCTTGTCTTGGGCACAGTTGAGGATCTCAGTCTTATCTTCATTCAGCTGTAGAAAGCTCCCAGCCATCCAGGTTTTAATAGAGTCTAAGCAGGTGTGTGACATCTGCAGCTTAGACATCTCATGGGGGTTAAAGGAGATGTACAGTTGGATGTCATCTGCGTATAAATGGTAGGAGATTCCTTTGAAAGAGCTCAGAATGTACCGGAGAGGGAGCAGATAAAAGAGGAACAGTAGAGGCCCCAGTACAGAACCTTGTGTGACACCATAGGTGAGGGAAGTGGAGAAGGACCGAAACTTGAAGACGGACGCAGAGAAGCAATGTTTCCTTGGGCAATAGGAGAACCACTCCAGAGCAGTTCCTGATAGGCCTATCCAGTTTCTCAGCCTCCCCAGTAGAAGGTGATACAGTCAGGTCCAGCAGGACCAGAAGAGAACAGTCCCCTGCATCACTGTGAGTCAGAAGGTCGGTGGAGACTTTAAGAAGAGCTCTTTCAGTGGAAAGAGATTTATGAAAACCGGACTGGAAACTATCATAGATGTTATGTTTATCAAAAGCAGCTTTGAGTTGTTTAGCCACAATTTTTTTAAGATCTTGAAGATGATCGGGAGTTTAGAGATGAGTCTGAATCTGCTGCAGAGAGAGGGGTCAAGATTGGGATTTTTAGGAAACGGGTGGATTTACAGCATTATTAAAATAAGCAGGGACCTCAACCGAAACCAGAGAAGCATTATTTATAGAGCACACTGGGACAGATGAACTGAACTGGAATTTTTATTATGTGAAGTGCCTTGAGACGACTCTTGTCGTGATTTGGCGCTATATAAATAAACTTGAATTGAATTGAATTGAAAAGCATCTTTGAACACAGATGAGAGTAAGATGTCGAGGGGGCATGCAGAGGTCTTCATAGAGCTAACTAGTTTGGTTAGCTCAGGCAAACCTCAGGGGACCTACTGACTGGAAGTAGATGGGCGTGACTTAAGTTTCCCATCCAGTCGCTTTTGGCTCACCTCTCCTCTGGCTCACTTCTAGATAGATAGATAGATAGATAGATAGATAGATAGATAGATAGATAGATAGATAGATAGATAGCTAGATAGCTAGATAGATAGATAGATAGATAGATAGATAGATAGATACTTTATTTATCTTTTAGGGTTTGGTAAATTGAGTGCTTTAAGAGCTCAACAGATATATTACCTCTACTTATGACCAATAAGATGTGATACTCTATCTAAATATAGAATATCACCCTGCCTGGTCTTTATTGTGCTTTAATCAGAAGATTCTAGGACTCTTTATTTATTAGGGGATTGTACACACTTCGTTTTGATTCAGAAAACAGTCAGGTTTATAAAAGCAAGAATTTCTTTGACCAACAATTAAAACATGACAAGTTAACCAAGCATGTACTGTGATGGATGGAACTAGATGTGATGTATGAAACCTATGTGTGAATGCGATGTTAGTCAGAACTTCAGTTTTGAATTCTGGCTGTAAAGTAATTAGGTTTGCGTTAAGCTGTTGAGTTGATTATTATCAAAGCACATTCAGACGCAATCTGTCATGTCTACTTCACCCATTTTCGGAGACCCTCTGAGTGGATCCGAAGGTCAGAGAGGTTGGATGACCTCTGGCACCGAAGGGCTGTAGAATACCGTGGCACCGATCCTTCAGTCCAGAGATGTCTTGGGTCACGACAGATGGATGGAACCGCGCGTCTCTGGTGGACTCTTAAGGAGTCTAAACAATATCAGCTCGTTCTGCAGGAACTGTTTGCTTTATCAGCTTTGCAGGTGAAAAAGGTTTTGACGACGTATCAAAAGCTTTGGTGGTAAAAGAGGTGTTGCTCCAGGTGGCCGGTCTGGAGCTTTCTCTAGAACTGATGAATCACCAGAGTGATCTGGTTTTAATGTTCCCATGTTATGATTGTGTAGCCAACCAGAGGTTGACAAGTTTGAGGGATATTACCAAGAATCTCAGAAACACATGCCCTCTTTGACACCGGATTCTCTGAACTGGGGTAAAGGCTATTTATGTGTCATGGACTTAACTTAACCTTACTTGTTCTTGTGTGAGTTGCAAATGGTTGTGACTTTGTCAAGTAAACATGCTGAAGCATATATCATTGAGCACAGATTAATGAAAGCATTTCATTATATTAATTATTTTAAGTAGCAATGAACAAACATTTATTTAATGATTTTAAAATCTTCTTTCTTCTGTGAAGCAAGGAGTTTTAGATAAATGGCTACTCTTTGAGGGACCTTGAGGAGAGAATGTTATTGTTATGATTTCATTATCTCTGTCAGAGCTGCAGGCTCTGAGCTCCAGCTGGTGGGATGACGGCAGGCTGATATAAAGGGAACACATGCAGTCCTATGTCTCCTTTTTGACCAGATGTTGGATGGTCAAACAGCACCTAAAAACTGACCATTGCTGGACGTTACATATCCCCCCTTTGCAAGGGCACGGGGTCCTGGCGAAAACCACAGGCTGTTGCACAGTCCCAGAGGCCCTAAGGACTCAGTCGAGGAAGCACAGGTTAGTTTCCAGGTAACAGGAGTGAGGAAAGCAAACCCCCACCAGACAATAGTCAACGTAGCTCACAAACTTAAAAAGGGTTACTCCACTTATCGTAATCCTCAGGAAGGAAGCAGATGAGCAGGGACCGGACCAGGCCCCAGGCGAACCACAGAACTCCTGCAACCATGGCAGGAACCACAGGACATTCAGACCCGAGTGAACCTGACCCTCAGGCAGCAGGCAGCCGAATCAGGCGATGGTGCAGAGAGACCCTCCCAGGAA